CTGACATGGTGTATGTCTGTCGCACGGCGATCATTCTACTACGTCAACCTCAACCAAGAAACATTGCTAACCGAGGTACAGATGATTCATGAAGATTGTACTTAGCAGTGTACAAAGACAGAGGCGCCGAGGCTTGAGATGAAGTACACGCGGAGAATGGGAAGGCTGACTTGGCCGACGCACTAAATGAATAGTAGCGTACACGAGGTTCTCCGAAAGTCGCTATTGTGGCAAGTTTCAGTCGTCCACATTCCGCCTTTACCATGGCCCGCCACCACGGGATCGCTGCTAGCGCTTTCTGTTTGGCCGCGTTGCCTAGTTTGTTCGGGAGCGTAGCCGCAAGGCCAACGACATTTGGCTAGAACCAAACCCCATGAATCAGGTACACGACGAGCGCCGTCCATCTGGGCGGTGGGGAAGTCTTCCCCTGGCTGTTGTCGCTACCCGTTCCGGTTTAGGAGCATTGAGCGGGCTGCTATAAACTGGAGAATTTGGAGTGCGGCTTTGGGTATCGAACCATATCGCGTTGCCCTGAATCAATGCCAACCCAGAGCGTTGGAAGAGAGGAAGAAGACCAGGCGGTTAACAAGTCAGCTAGTTACCTGCTGTGGGCGCCTGTCTGGGGAGAAGAAAGGGCGAGTACAAGCTCCTCCGACGTCGAACCGACTATTGCTAGTCATTTTTGCCTCCCAATTAGGGTGCCTGAGCTGGAGGATTTCTCTCTAGGGCAAGCTCTAGCAGACTGTGGCATTTGAGTTTGCGCAATATGGGGCGGCGTTACCAGACTCCTGGGATCGCGAGACTAGAAGCAACCCCACAACTAAGGCTTGGTGCTAGAACTTAAGGAGGTTGCTCAAACGAATGGTGAATGGGAGGTATTGCAGGAGCGCCGCAATATCTTCCATTTTCGCGCACAGTTTAGCAGGCAGGATGTCCACGTTAAGCCGAGGCATGCCCCCTGATTTACAGACGCTATTTCGACCATTACAGCCATTAGTTTGCGCCATGTAATTTAACAAGGGGGACCTTTTCCAGGGCAACGGTCAACAGGTACAAGTGAAGCGAAACGGTCTACTTGTCGTGTTGTAGCGGGCTTGCGCGATTCAAGAGGGGCGTGTATCTACATCCGTGGCGTTTCGCTCCCGGAAGCAACTTCATTATCATGGCGTGCTTGCCATGGAAATGAATGGCTCTATTGGTATGGTAGCATTTGAGGCCGAATATTCCAGGAAAGATTCGGGTTGCGTTGGCCTATCGAAGGCGTATCTGGGTGGCTGAGTATCGCGTGTTGATCCGATGAGCGCCACGCTACACCAGTTAGAGAGAGTTCACATGCCACGAGAATAACAAGGAGATTGCCACGAGCCGGGGCCAAAAAAAAATCAAAAATCGATGGCGCGTCTGGAAGATTAAGCAATGCTACCTTTCACACGTGTCTGCAGATACACGATACAACACCCGTTGCACGGCAAAGACCCAGCCATTCTGTATCTCCTCGCGCTAGTCCCTATTGCTACATCCAGGACTGAGATCTGGAGAGCGATGCCATTAGCACATATCCGTCGCACTTGTCGGTTGATGTAGCGGCAGTTGCTGCAAGTCACATAAAATGGAACCTGCGAACGAGAGATATGGGACACGCCCTATGGTCTGATTTTCGCCACGTGCGTTTACTTTCTAGGCAGATACAGTGCCTCAAATGGTTTAGGCAATAGGCAGTACGCGATGCGCGCGGCGTGGGCAGCAGAGCAACAGTATTACGACTGGGCCACTTCATGTACTCTGACAGCGTACGAACATCCCGCATTATACGCGTACCTCAGGCTGTAAAGGCGTTCTCCTTACGCCAACGCCATTCTCCACGCAAAGCCAGACTGGACGACGCACGATGACGCTAGACGTACCGTGTCAACTCTCACTCTGTGGTTGTTTCTCACATGGCAAATGGGGACATTGTGTGCGGAGATGAGAAGGATTGGTCCATTTCGAAACAAACTTTTGCCATGTGTTGCATTCAAATAGACAACCGTTACAAGAACCACCATACCTTCTCCTCCGCCACGGTGACTTTGCCTTGGCCGCACACCATGTACCCCCAATCTAGCTGATGAGGTATAGCAAGCCGTTTAATGCACTGAATAGCCAATGCCATCAATTTATTGCAGCAAGCATTCTGTACCGGCATCATCTACGCGACATCGCTACGCTAAGATGCATACCTTCTTGCAGTAGACCAAGGCTTGAGAGAGCGCCACCCAAGGTCAGGCGCAGCGCTGTAAGCGAACCTGCACAAGTTGTTTACTCACTCTCGGTTCGATATTGTATTGCAGCATGCAACTAAGATACTTTACAAGTATTCACCTTCCCCTTTTTCTTGTTTGCTACTATGGCAGCCTTTCCGGTTATGCGGCATTGCGCTTATTGGTGAAAATCCCGATCCGCAGCGTGTTGATTTCCAGACAATGCTTGTTCTCGCTTCCAACATCATCAATATGCAACCACACGGCCTCTTCTGCAAGCCCCATATGCAAAGTACTATGCCGGGTCGTCCGGCCTCTGAGTGTGTTATTACTATTCGATATGATGCTATGACAATCTGGCTGTATTAGGGCTTGTCTTGGGTACATTGGAGGTACGCCACTACAAGTCGCAGACTAGTACCTACGACTGGTGCTGTCAAATTCGTATAGGCTTATAAACTGTCCGACATGATCTTTCCGATGGCGGCCCGCATGTTTAATATACGAGACCCTGGCAGACAGTGCCCAGAGCAAGAGCTTTGATAGGCGATGGTATCCATATGCTACGGAAAGAAGTTTAGTTTGGCGGAGAGGCTACGCCACTAACAGTAGTTTTTCAGCCGTCACCATGGGGCGGCGGAGGAGAGGAGAGGAGAGGAGACTAGGTCTGGGCTCTATCTGCAAGCACAATAGCCGATGACAGGTACAATGGGCTGGGCAAAGGGGGCGTGTGGCTTGCTGTGCTGAATCGGAAGGCGGTGGGCATTTGATTTAAGTCTACTTTTTGGATTTTCATCTATCGTTGCGCTTCTTGGCTAGGGTTGAAGGGTCAAAGAGGGGGCGTGGTAGATGGAAATGGCGATGTGGCCGATGGTGTAGTGGGTTCGTGGTTTCATATAAGTGAAGCCTCGCTCGGAGCAGAATGGATCCTCCCCTGTGACCCCCCCTGCCGAATGCCGCAGCTTCTAGACGTTTGGAGCCAGCCTCTTCTCTTTTCAGCAGGTCGACGATGGCATGGAAGCTTTATCCAGCCTGCCACAGCAGATGCAGATAGTATATTGCGGCGCAAGAAGTGGTGTGTTGGGTGCATAATCGGGGCGCACGTACCAGTAGCCGGGGACGCAGGGCGGCTTGCGTATTGACCAAGTCACTGGAGCGGACCGACGGCAATCGACTACGGAGATGTTTGTTCTGGCCTGTTCATAGGCATTTGCAAGACCCCCGAGGCAAGATCGACCTTGATGTCTCGGAACAACGTTGTAGATTTGGACGGGTAGAGAGGGGTTAGCGTCCTGCTAATCTTGTTTGTGTTTCCCTCTGGCTCTGCGAGCTAGCCTCGGCATGCTCCGTACAAATGGCATAGCAGAAACTGGCAGCGGAGATGCAAGGTTGCATAGAAGCGTTAAAAGCCGGTGACCGCTAACGGCGCCGCCTCTGTTGTGTTGTACCTCGCCGCTAGCAACACGGTGGGCAGCGACTTGGAGCGGCTGCTAAATTAGCGACTGGATCCGACGCCGACGGAGAAGAACAAATCGACTACCGTATGCGGTCTACGCTGCGAATGCAACGCTCGACTCCGGACCTGCGTATGCAAGACAAAATACGCTGCAACACACTCACACACACATAGAGCGGTTGAGCACATGAGAGAACTTGAAGCAAGCTAGCCATGTGTGGCGTTGCTACTAGTTTAATCTATATGGTGAAGCTGAAAAAGATGGAAAAAGACGTGACCTCGCCCTAGAACACCTGCCGGTAAACAATTCCACACACTAACGCGCCATCGTGGAGATGGAGGCTGAAGATGGAGCTCAGACTGTTCTTTATTGGCTGGGCTGGGCGTTCTTCGGCGGGACGTGCGAAACATGATTTCCATTGGCAAGGAAGTCCTCGTTTGAAATCTCGCTGGCGGCCCTGCTCATTTACCCGATAGCCGGATGATGTCTTTCTGTGCTGTTGCTCTGCCAAGAGCGAGATTTATGCTACGTTGGAGCGGAACCCTGCCGAACGATAGCGCTGTAGCCGTGCGCTGTAGGGCGCGCTGCAGTGTCGTGGCAAAACTCTGCTGCATTGGGTTTAAGTTGATTGGCTTAGACTCTTAGTATAATGAGAGAGTAGCGTAGATGACGTATTTACAAAAAGGGTAATTAAAAAAAAGACCGCTCTGACAAAAGTTAGCAACGACAACTGTCACCGTGGACCAAAAATAAGCAAAAAAGAATCGACAGAAATGGGATTCGAACCCATGCTCCCGAGGGAAATGCCTTAGCAGGGCATCGCGTTAACCACTCCGCCATCCTGCCGTGGGATGGTTGGAAAATTTAGGGACCTAAATGCGCTCAAATACACTGCGTCGTAGGGCGATTCACGAATCCAACCCCTTTCACTGTACTGTTGACAAGTCAAGTAAAAAAAACAATGTAATCAATTCCTACGTATAAAACGTGTTCATGACTCAAGCAATGGAAACCTTGTGAAAGATTACTGAGCCTGTTGATTACACCGCTTTTATTGGGCCATCATTTCATCATCAGTGGGCTTTGTGTGGTTCTAGACACTAGCAACGCCAAGGAGCATAGACCGCAGGAAACGTTACAGAAACAATAGAAACAAAGGAAGGGAGGGCGATCCCGTCACTGGAATGTGGGTAGCGACGGCTCCATCGGCGTGAAAAACAGCTCAACCTTTTTAAAACACGAACCTAGCAGGCCGGGCAGACGTCCGGGCCTAACAGAATCTAAGGAACACGTTGGATGCAGTAGCCCGGAAATAAGGGTGACAGGGCAAGGGAGATGCCCGAATGTATTATGTCGCTTCGCTATACGAAGCTAAGGCCAAGACTAAACAGAGTCGCTGTACACACAAAAGCAAGACTTTTAGTTCGTATAAGTGTAAGAAAGAGGAGGAGGGGTGTGGAACAAAGGGCAACAGAGGTGCAGACGACAGAAAAAAAAAAGAAACTCGAAAAACACCATCATGATTTTCCTAATTGATATTAGTGTAGGAATATGCAACACTATGGAGCAGCCCTCTAATCGTATCAACTGCAAATAAAAAAGCATGCATAGATGGGCCCGGCATAAGGATCGCAGCAAGCAATCGCGGCATACGTCGTGCACGGTCGATGCGTTCCCGGCAACCAGGTTCGCTGTCGACCACCAAGCCCGCGGAAATCTCTTACAACCTGCATCATAGAATTGATAGGGCCCACGTGCTGTCACGATGATGCTATTATTCATTTTCAATTGTTGTCGTTGTTCGCGATGGAGCTTGTTCGGGCTATCATCTCGGCAAAATGTCAGCGCCTCATTCCGCCTAGACTCGTCTGCATCCACGCCCTGCTGTATATACAGCTGCCACTGTGGCGGGCCACTATAAAAAACGGAATATTGATTAGAAACTGTGGCATTCTTTCAATCTGGAAGAAACAAAAGAAGCGACATGGTCCAAGAAACAGAGGTACCTGTGTCGAAACCAAGCACAAGTACCTTTTCTTCCACTCCACCCCTCAACAATCAAAAGAAATATACTTGACGCCAGAGAGAAGAAGGAAAAGAAAAAAAGTAAGGCGACACGCAGCCGATCTATCTCATGCGAGACCTGCTTTAGCGGGGATGCGGCGCGTCTACTACAGTAACTACAGTATACCACTGTATTATGAGACTAGTAGGCGACAACGTTGAAGGGGAGAGAGGGCAAACGAAGAAAAAAAGAAACGCGCGTTGAAAAGCCCCAAGACATCCGCATCTGGACAGGTGGGCATCGTTTTTCTTTTTCTGTCTTTTTGTCTCCTGTCTCGTCTTCTAACGAATACTGGCCCGTCTCGATGAGTCTCCCTCTGTCGATCAGGGACCGATGCGATGCTGTGCTGTGCCGGCCTCCTGGCTTACACGGCACGCGGGGACACCATCTTTTTTCTTGGGTTGTAGGACATATCGCTTTTGTACATTTTCCCCATTGTCTAGTACGTTATTTCCCCATGCACAGTGTGCTCTCGGTCGTTATGGATCGTCTAGGGGTCCTCTGCTGGCGCCGGTCAGACGTCCAACATCTTGAGATCTTGCTCGATCTCTAGTACATTCCCCTGATCTCCGGATATACGGACTTTGCTTCTTACTGCGTCCCCCCGAAGGATTTAGCTTGCACTATGTGCGACTTTTTCCCATCTCTGGTGATTCCGTTGGTTCTTTTTACCCCTCTTTGCGGATTCAGGGCTACGCTGTCCCGCTGCTAGTCTTGAACAGTGCCGAAAAAAAGCAACAACTTGCGCGGCCGTATCAACCGAAGTCTACACTGCAGCAGCCACGCACTGGGTGAGGCGATTCGAAAATGTGACATGTTTGTATTGTTGATTTTCGTGACTGATCCCTCTTTTCGTGGGCTATAGCCTGATAGAAGGGGCTGCTTGTGTAGACGACGATTGGCCGGACCTTGTGGAAGCATGGCAAGACAGCCAGGGATATCATGGCTAAAAAGCAACGTCTGCTGTCTTGAGTTATCATACGAGACTGTCAGATCCGATGAAATTCCCCCGCTTCTGTAGTGGTTGCCTTTTGACTCGGACCAGTGTGCCTGTCTCGAGTATTCGTGCTTGGACAACGAGGGCAGATGTGTCTTGCGCAAGCCGTCTAGACAGGCCATCATTGGCTTCGTTTCCGATTATGCTATAAAGTGGACTGATGAGAGACGGTTTTGGATTTTGGGGTGTGCAATAGACAAGAACCAACCATGATCAGCTCGATTTTTATGTCGACTCCCCGGGGGTTGATTCGCATACACGGTTAAAATGGTTCGCGCACGCCTGCGACAAAAAGAAAAGGCGGCTTCCGGTGTATGTGTATGAACAGTTTCCGTATGGAAGATGGAAAGGATACACAGAAGAGGAGGCTAAATATGCGTGGGATGAGGGGATGGCCAGTCTTGCACTGCCATGGCACTGCGCTGGCACTGGCAGGGTGGCAGCTATAGACAATATATGTATATGTGATATTGAGGCATGATAACCGACCATGTAAGTGAATAGATCTAATTTTATCATGTCGTATATTCTATACCAGATCTTACTCAAGCACTACTTTCAGTAAGTTTCAGCGCTTGGATATTCGCAGCCATGCCACCCTCACCATCGGCTATTTGGCTCTTTCGCCGTGTCAGCGCTTCCTCTTCACCCATGGCTAGGCCCTTTCGAATAGCAAGCACGCTATCCACAATGACGGCATCTATACCTTGCTTCACTTGGCGCTGTGGAATCGTTAGTACATGTATACAAAAGAAGGGTCATCTCAGCTTACCTGGACCATCATGTTGTCGTTGTTGAGCGATCCGTAACTCACACAAACCAGTCCATTTTCCTTAACAACACGCACCAACCGCGGACTGTTAATCAGCGGCTCCGCGGCAGAAACGATACCCAAAAGGTTCCAGCGGCTAGCAAAGCGAATGGCCTCTTGTAGCGACGATGCTCGGATGTCGCTGACGGGGCTGCAACCGGCGTCTGTCAGGAACAAGATAGGAATGGAAGGCTGTTTAAAGTTAAGACAGAGACAGATATCCGGGTTGAAGGAGCTGAAAATAATATGGCGTTCTCCAGCCAGATCATAGACCTTCTCCAGGACGGTATCACAAAACGAGTTGAGCTCAACTGCGTAGGCATCCATGTCGTGCTCCTCAGTCTCGTGCAACATGGGATACTTCATTTCAATATTGAAGCCAATGTGCTCGGGAAGTTTGCGGAAGAGATCTTCCAGCGTCGCAAACGGCGCTTGAATAAAGTTGCCGCGCGAGTTGGCTTTGAAGCCCTTTTCCTTATAGTCACGCGTGTGCTTCATGCGCTCTTCCATTTCCATATCAGCAAGGCCGCTACCAGCATAACCCATCGACTGGGAGCGCTGGGGCGTAAAGCTATTGCTTCTGACCCTGCGTGGGCCACCAGGTACGTCTGCTTCCTGCTCGCTTACAGCTGGCTGTTGCTCCTTGGGTCGTCGCTTATCAGGGTTAATGTGCAGGAATTGTTCCAGCGTTAGCGTGTGCACTGGCGCGTCAATGCCTGTTTCGCTGACCAAAAAGTCGTGATAGATGACAGGAACATGATCCTTGGTGAGCTGAACGTCAAACTCGACGTACTGAGCACCCAAATTGGCAGCGGCAATGAACGATGGGAGCGTGTTTTCACCAAGCTGAAGAGAGCGGTTGGATGTGGCATTCTTGCCGAGGCCGCGATGTCCAATCAGCATGGTAGATTCCATTTTCTTCCAATATGTCTGCTGCGACGTGATTCCCATCTTGGGATGAGCAAATGGTGTGACTACCAGGAAGTGGAAATTGACGGTGCCAATTACGTCAAGGTTGCTGGACATGATGGGAACGCACATGTCTCCCTGGAGGTTCATTCTCTGGACTCCCATAGTTGGCTTAATTGACGATAGGAGTGCCACAGCGCGGCCAATCTTGTTCTTCTGATTGCCCGAGTAAGTCGGCACAATATCAAAGAGAAGCTTCACCTTGGGTGTGTCTGCTGTGGTAAAGACAATGGGTTCAGTGGCAATGCTGTCGTGGACAGGGAGATCGATAGTCGTCGACTCGCCTGCCGCCCCAGTTGCAGAGACAACAACCGACAGCGCCGTGTCGAGCTGCGTATTATGAGCCTCATTCAAAGGAACTCGGTCGAGGCTAACAGCGTCAGTCGTTTTACGGAGATCCATAGAGCCCAGATTGACAAGGATAAGGCTCTGGTCGGTGAGATAACGATGACCGAAACTCTTAATGGTCTCAGCAGCGCGTGCTGCTCCGCCGTTGGTAGTGTTGGATCGACGGCCATCTAGAGACGAGTGTTCCGCAACGGCAGGCAGGCCAGGCGACTCGGCAGCAGCCCTCCTGGGCGGCTCATCTTCGTCACCGTAAAACGCTAGGAAACGGGCAATCTCCATGTGTCCTCGAAGCGCCGCATGTTCCTTTGCCGTCCATCCAGACGCATCTGCCTTGGTAACGGTGGCACCAGCCTCAACCAAGAGCTTTGCCACGCTGAGCGACCCATCAACAGCGGAGACATGCAAGGGCGTCCAGGAGTACGTCTTTTCAGCAATCTCCAAATCCACCTTCTGAGACTCATTGCCCTTCATAATAATCCTAGCGCATTCTTCGTGGCCGAATCTGGCAGCTACATGCAGGGCCGTTTCTCCCGTCTCGTCCGCCCAGTTGATATCGACACCAGCGTCAACCAGCATCTGAACGATAACAATAAAATTGGCCTTGGTGGCAATGGCAAGGACAGCGCCGGATTTGCTCACGCCCATTCTAATCTTGGCTTTCTCCTCGCTGCTGCCTTGCCAATTCTCGCCTTGCAGCAGGGCCTTGGTCGTAAGGGGGTGGCCGCCAATGACAGCCAGATGCAGCGGCGCAAATCCATCACTATCTTGCCATTCGGGGGCATCAATGCCATCCTTGGCATCAAACTGGTCCCACTGCTGCATTCGGTACATGATCTTTTGGCAGACAACGACGAAGCCAAACTGAGCCGCGTAGTGCAGAGGCAGTCGCCCAAAGGAATCTCGCGACTTGAGGCTGTGGCGCTGTTCGGTACTTAGTGAGTCAAAAATGAGCTCGAGAAGCTGCACCGTCTCATCTTCTTCATCCAAAACATGGTCCTCCTTTGTGTTGATTGCCTTGTACGGGATAGCGCTAGATACAGCCGGCTCGAGGTGCTTGTTTGTAAACTGCGTGCCAGCGGCAACCTGGTAGGCGTTGGCTTCGTCGCCTTGCTCAGCTGACTTGGTGCGGCCAATATGGATAACAAGACGGTGGATACAGTTTCGGCCGTTTATATCATCCGGCTCGTCGAGGTCTTTGACTTGGCTGAGAAGAAATGCAATAGCCTGCCGCGAGCGGGCAGAAATGGATCGCTGAAGCAAGTTGAGCATAAGCGTCTGACCAGCGGCTCCTTGGTTACTGTTGGCCGTTTCAAGGCCAGCCTTGAGAGCGGCGACATCATCGTTCCGCACTGCCTGATCGAGGGTATCCAATTGAGCCTGTGGAAGGTTGAGCATTGCCTTGGCTGATGCTCTCCCCAAGGACCGCGAGGATCGATCGGACATGGCGTCATCTATGTTCTGAGAGTCACTGAGCGCCGAGAGCCAGCGGTTAATTTCTACCAAAAGTCTTGAAATGCTTCCATCTTTAGCAAACGCTTTCGGATCGACTCTGGTGGAGATGTAGCCTGCTTGGGCTGTCATGCCAGGCACTTTCTTATCCAGCTTCTTGGTGATCTTGACAAAGCCGCGGCGATTAATCTCTCCAAACCACTGGAGGTTTCGTAGAAGGGCTCGAAGCTCCAGGAGAGCACCCATGACCTCTTCGACTTCGTCATCGTCCAGAGTACCGACGACGTCTGGCACTCGGCCGTAGCGGTCTTGCAGAAGCGTTACGCGGCGACAGGCGTCTGTATATTTCTTATTGTAGAATGAATCGACATCTTCCAAGTTTCGGTCGAGAGCGAAAAACAACTCTGATGGTAGACGTTAGTATCTCACTATGGCCAGATCGACTCCATTTTGTGCAGATGAAGCCAAGCCGCCAAACTCACCCGCGGGATCGACATCCTCGCCATTCTTGGCCTTCTCCGAGGCCGCCTTGACCAGCTTCTTGAGGCCCTTGTAATTGATGTAGGATGCTGCCCATTCTGGGACTTGGTTTCTGGGAAGCCTTTTCACCGTTTTGTAAGTTATCTCCATGTTGAACACATAATTCAGCTGCCACACTTACTGCCGTCCAAATTTCATGATGAAGAGCCAGTCAGCCACGTCAAGCGGTCAATGCAATACAGTGGCAATCTTTCCGATCCCTGTGTCAGATAAACCGATTGGAGCATCCAATGACAAGCTGTACCCCGCAAACACTGAGTTGAATTAAATTGAAAGCAGGCTGTGCGAGACAACCCCTAGTGATGCAAGGTAGATGCCGGCAGTGCAGTCGCGTGATCAAGTAATGGTGCTGCGGTATAGACTTTGGTAGCGGTCTCAATGGCCCGTCGTATTGCCAAGAGATATTCTGACTGTATTTGCAGACACCCTTCTTTACCCTGGTTCGTGATATGTTTGTTGTTTCTCCCAAGTTCAGAGTGCACTGGAAGCCCGCTGACGCGAACGGAAATGGCGAATCGGGACAGCTGGCGGCGGGTCGGATGTCGCTAGTCTGGCGGTTGTTGTTCAGCGGTCAACCAACCAGCAACTGCACTGTACTAAGCAGCGCCTAAAGAGAAATACCCTGTTGAAAGAATCAGAAGGATGGTGAAGAAAGAACAGGACGACTCGCCTCCCCCCCCTTTTTGTCTCATCCAGTTCTTCTTCTCTCGTTTCCCCCGATGCCGCTCTTCCTATTTTTTTTCATCCGGCCCGCCGCCAATTGCCCCTCGCTCACGAGTTGCCCCACGTTTACAGTGCTTCGAGGGACCATTACAGTGGACCGCGCGGTGTGTGTGGGGCGCTGTGGGTGGGCGGCCAGTTCTTCACCGTCTCTGACAGGCGTGGAGCTGCCGGGGTTCCTGACTGGTCAGTGCAGTGCTGTAGTGACACACTCTACGAGACATCCCGATGGTGCCGAGGGTCGATGCGATGAGATGACGCTGCGAGAGAAATAAATACCAAAGAAGATAAAGACTGTATTTATTGTATACATATGCATATGCGTTGGTATAATCGCTCATCTATAAACTAGGTACATTGCGTTTTTGTGGTTATAATATACACGTCTGGTGGCTCTATCGCTTAGATAGGCGCCCGCATTGCCATCGCCTCCATGTTGTAAGGTGATGATGACTGTTTGGCTCCACGCCATGCCTCAGTATTAAGTGCACTGCCTGCCCATGCTGAACGGGCTAGCTTGGGCTCAGGAGGAGATATAATAAGTCGCTTCTCAAAAGCGTAGCCAAGAGCATCGTCAGCATCACGGTCTTGTTGTCCACGGTTTGACGGAGCCACGGCTGCTTGCTTCTTCAGCGACAAGCTTTGACTTTTGGTCGCCATCAAGAGGTTGACTTCTCTGTCAAGCTCTGTACAGGACGACAAGGCCCTTTGGCTAAGATGAAGAAGCATTGCTTGGCGGAATTCCGGTTGAAACTTGGGGTGTAGGAGTCGGTGTTCAATGGTTCGGGTTGCCTTATGGACCTTGCTTAGATCCTTGGACAGACTCTCAATTCGCAGTAAGTTCGATTTACTTTGCGCACTGTCGACTGTCGAGTTCAGCTGAAGAGATCCCATCATTGCTTCAAGCCCCTTATAAGCCGTCTCAGGAATATTAAATAGATGTAGCTGTTGCGACAGCTGACCCTGCGGTCCCTGGCCGAGACCAAGTAAATCGTGCAAGATAGAAAGCTTATCGGATATGTAAACCATGGAATCGTTGCTTTCCAAGGTCAATCGTTTGGTTAGTTGCTTGTGGCACAAAGCAAATCCTCGAACAAGCTCTACGGTGCCCTGCCAATCCAAAGCGCTGATACACTCGTCTAGCACCTGGTGGACGACGGAGGTGCTGAGATGGATTCCGGCAGAGAGTGCCTGCATCAGCATCGATGCAGCACTCTTGAATAGCTGGAAATGCAACAGGCCGCGAATCAGCTCTTCAACAACGTGTCGGTTGAGCGGTGCGTGCTGGTAGATATGTCGCCCAGTGGTAGTAGTTGCAGCGGCATCCGCCACCCATGTTCGTTCAACGCGGCAATTCTGCGTAGATGCAACAGACCGGCGTCCAGCCTTCGCTCCATGAATAGGATCCAGGCCTGTAATCCGAGCTATTGTGCGCATAAATCGCTTACCGTCGCCAGCACATTTGTAGTGGTTCAGGACGGCGACCGATGTGCATGGTGTAGGTTTTATTAATCGATCGTAAAAGAAGGATTGAACAACGACATTGGACGCCTTGTGGAGGCCAATGCGGTCCAGTCCAAGAATGAGGGTATTGTAGGTATGTGTGTTAGGAGCGTAAGGAGAAATGACTAGGTTGTAGCATATGCGGAGAATCTTTTCGGAATTGTCAATGTTGGTGTCAGCAATAATTTGACGGATGTGCTCGTTAAGGCTGGAAACGTTTTGTGTCGAGCGTAATCTGTCAATGGAGGGATATGAGAACTGGGGGTTGCCTGAATCCAAGCGCGCACGCAGCTGGGACCAAGTCGGGGATGCTTTAGCATCAGGATTCAAGGTAGGCAGCTGGCGAATGAGCAGCTTGACTAGCTTTTGGACTGCCTCAAGTTCACGTCTCAGCTGTCTGCCATTTTGCGGCTCCAATCGTGGAAGACTGTGATCGTGCTCCTCGGCGATAGCAGCCTGTTCAACCAGGTCATAATCCAGCTGATGGCCGTTACGCAGCGTCGTAGAGTCCTTGGCACCATAGTATTCCGTTCGAAGATAGTCGAGTAGTTCAGAGGCTTCCAGGGAAACAGGGTCGTTTATGTCGTTCTTAAACGGTCGCTCTTCGTATACTCGCTTCATCTGCTCCCAGATGGGAGCTTGCTGGCTCTTGAAGATGTCGTGGCCAGAGGCGTCGGGGGCATTTTCGCGCAATTCATCCAATTCCCTTTGTGCTTCGTCCAATTTTCTATCCAATTCGCGTCGTCGCTCATCCTTTCGCACAGCATCAATGACGGCGGCTGTGGCAAAGACAGAGCTATACGCCGCGGTAAAAATCTCAGCAAAGGTTGGCTTCCGTCTGGCAACGCTGGCGCGCTTGGAAGCCCCTTGCACAACTGTGCTGCAAGCCCTGCAGCCGCATCGGTGAGCTTGACGAGCTCGATGCAGCAATGACCGCATTTTGATGTGCAAAGGGTGCCAATGGGCTGGTTTGTTCGGCCCTACTGCTGTTGAGAATTATCTTGCAGAACGTTACGGGGCGGATCGACCTAGCCTCTGTTTTCCAGTTCACTGACGGTCACATGGTGGTGCACGTGACCCGTCCCGTCCCCTCCAACACCAATAGCTTGAGAGGAGTTTATAAGCCGTCGGTCAGAAATATTTTAATAACGGTGCAAAATAAGCCAAAATAAACATGTTTGCTCTGTATTTGACTGCTGAGCTGTCCGGGTAACTACTACAGTGATCTCTCGGAAATATGAACAAGCTAATGCGCCAATAGCGTCACGAACCTGCGTCCTCAGGATACTGAGGCAGAGCCGTTCTGGTATATGTTCAAGGTGCAATGTACATCTTGCAGAGAGGTCCACGATAACTTTGTCGGTGTTAACCGATTTGTAAGTACCAAAATTGTAGGCTTTAAGCGGTATCGGGGGGTTAACGCTGGCTAGGAAATGAACGATATGAGCGGCAGCAGAGGCGAGGCCAACTTTGTCTGGAAGTGCAAGAACTGCAAGGTTTGTTCAAATCATATCTGAAATGGCAATATGGCTTCATACTAATATAGCCCTTGCAGCGCGAGTCATCTGCTACTATCAAGGCTGCTCCTGTAGCATATGAGCATTCCGAGCCCCCCAAGGCGCAGAAGATTATTGAATTCGACTGTCGCGGCCTTGAGTTTACAGAATTCAAGCCAGATGTGAGTACTTACTGAGTTGACTCACAACTATACTCTGAGTCGTCAAATTTTGTACTGACAAGCGTTGTTCACAAAGGGTGACTGGCTCGCCGAAGGCCTTGACTCCAACTACAAGTTCACCAGCATTGATCTCTCCGAAGGTGAATGGTTTGATTATGATGACAAAGCCGGTGAAGAGGTCAGCATTAATGAGTTAAAATGGGAGGTTCAGAGGTCGTGATATTTTTTTAGGACATATTTAGAGCACAAAACGGGGAGCATAGCGTGGTTGGGGTTTCGGTGTCTGGTGTCGGGTAGTTGCTGAATGTTGTCTGTTGAGGTGAATTAATTCAATTGAATCCATCGCGTCTACCTTTGCATAAAATGTGACTTGTTTTTGAATAAATGGAAAATCTCATTATTTATGTTGGTACAATTAGGAGTTTTTTTTTTCATTATAGGTCGAAAAGCATGATATATCTCACTTTAAAGTTGTTACTGTGTTGAGTTTGGCTCAGTCTGAAGCATGACTAAGAAATTTTTGGTGCCCCCCAACTTGCCTTATACATCTCATCTTGTTCATTACGTTCACAGCGACAGCCAAACAGTTTGTTAGCAATGTCGGAGGAATCCAACCTAGCGACGCAGCATTATTTAGCAGAGGCTGCTCATCTCCTGTATCGTGATGCACCCGAAACATCTGCTCTTCTCTCGCATCGACGCATCCAGCTCGCTGAGCAGCGGCCTGATTCAGCTACCAATCCCGATATCGAGCGCCAACGCGCGTGCGTAGCTTGTGGCCAAATCTTTGTGCTAGGAGTAGACTCATCACTCCAGCTGAAAGGCGCAACTCGGCCAAAAAGAACCAAATCGCGTGCATCTATCCCCGAGAGCCAGGCGTCTGGCGTGTGTAAAGAGATTACTTGCGGACGATGCCACCAAGTCACGCGCATCCAGTTGGCTCCGCCGAAGCGCGTATACCGAATACCGGTAAAGACAAATGAGTCAACCAAGGCAAAGACAAGGCCATCGGAGACTATCTATGAGAAGCAAGAAGAGCTGCCCAAAGCGAGTGCAAATGCAGTGAGCAAGAAGAGAGCTAAGAACCGAAAGGGCGGCCTTCAGGCGCTCCTATCTTCTCAGCCGAAACCTGCAAAATCTCTCAGTCTATCTGATTTTATTAAATGAGCCTATATCTCTTTTCGCGAGTTTTTACAAAATTATTGGCTCTATTTTCAGGGAGCTATCTGCATTTTCTGTAGCTGGCTGTCATGGAATGAGCCAGCTTGCTGCCTCCGGTGTGACGAAGCTTCCACCTCCTTCTAAAATGCGCTAACGGGCGCTGGGGAAATGCAGCCTAGCGCTGTTTTTTTTTCTGCGGTGGCGGCACCGATTGTCAAACGTCACAGAAAATTGCCCCTCCATAAAAATTTCAGTGCCCCTCCTCCATTCGACACTGTTTTTTTCTTTCCAGCTTCAACGCTTGAACATTTAAAGAAATACGAAAATACACCCATATCTCGATTCACATACATCCGATAGACGATTATTCATATTCACATTCGCCATGGCCCACGAACACAACGGGGTTACCCAGAACTCCTCCGACTTCTTCCAGTCTATTGGTAGCCAGGTCGCCGGACTCGACAAGGATGCCCAGGGAAATGAGGAGGAAGATGTCCCTCCCGTGGAGGAGATCGAGTCGCTTTGCATGAACTGCCATGACAACGTACGTTTCTTTAGACTAGGCGCAAAAGGGTATTGTTTCAGCCGCTAACGCTTTCACAGGGCGTCACCAAGCTCCTGCTTACTTCTATTCCCTACTTCCGCGAAGTCGTTATTATGTCCTTTGCCTGCGACCACTGCGGCTTTGCCAACAATGAAATTCAGCCGGCCGGAAAGATTCAACCCCGTGGTGCTCACTACGAAATTAGACTGACCGAGATGGCCGACTTTGGCCGTCAAGTTATCAAGGCAGACACAGCCATTGTCAAGTTCATTGAGATGGATTTGGAGATTCCTGCTGGTCGTGGTCAACTGACCAACGTGGAAGGTCTTTTGACCAACGTCATGGAGGATCTTGAGGGTGACCAAGAGGCTCGCCGAGAGCACCAGCCGGAAGTCTATGCTAAGATTGCCGAAATCATCGCCAAGGGACGCGCTATGCTTGCTGGTGAAGCCTTCCCCTTCCGCATGTATGTCGATGATCCTGCTGGCAACTCTTTCATCTCTCCCGATCTCAAGGACGGTGTCGGCAAGTGGGAGAAGCGCGAGTTTGTTCGCACACCTGAACAGAATGCCGCTCTTGGTTTGTCTGCCAGCGACCCGAACACCGCTGCGCTCCAGAACCCCGGTGTTACTGCTGATGGCGAGATTATCCCCAACGAAGTTTACAGTTTCCCTGCCTCTTGCCCGGGCTGCATGCATCCCTGCACTACTCACATGAAGATGGTTGATATCCCCCACTTCAAGCAGGTTGTTATTATGTCTACGGTTTGCCACGACTGCGGTTACCGATCCAATGATATCAAGTCCGGTGGTGAAATTCCCGAGCTTGGAGAGAAGACGACTCTTATTGTGGAGGATGAGACTGATCTTGCTCGTGATATTCTCAAGAGTGAGACTTGCGCTCTCGAGTGCCCAGAGCTCAACCTCCACGTCAACCCCGGTACCCTGGGTGGCCGCTTCACAACTGTCGAGGGTCTCTTGACAAACGTACGCAACGATTTGCACAGCCAGATTTTTGAAGTTAACGCCAAGGCTGGTGAAGGTGGTGACTCGCTGGACTCCAACGAGAAGACCCAGTGGGATCTCTTCTTTGAGGGCCTTGACGCCGCCATTGCCGGACAGAAGCGCTTTACTATTATCCTGACCGATCCCTTTGCCAGTAGTTTTGTACAGCCTCTTGTTGACCCCCCTGCTCCCGACCCCAAGATTACCAAGGAGACTTACGAGCGAACTCAGGAGGAAGAGGAGGAGCTCGGTTTGCTCGACATGAAGCTCGAGGGCTACGAGCAGCCTGATGCCAAGGTCGATGAGGACAAGATGGAGGAATAAGCAGCAGCTAGCTACAAGTAGGGTGGGCGAAGGTGTTGAAGTCCACGGAGTTTTCGGAGTGTGATTGATGATTACGAGCTGGCATTATGATGATGAAAGGCAACGGAAAAGTGCAGTTATAAAGAACATCTCCCTTCAGGAGACAAGGCGTTTTACATTGGGAATATATTAACGGTAACTTTTTGGCCGTTCCAACAAACAAGTATATAGAGTTTTGCAAAATAAGTAAAAACAGAAATTAAAAAAAAGTCCACCTGGTATCATGTGTTTTGCAGCCGTATATTCGTTATCTATAAATGAAATACAGAACGCAAGGCCGCCCTAGGAAAAGAAACGCAAGAAAAAAAAGGAAGCGAGAACAATGGCGCATGGACGGAGCGCAGAATCGATCCGGTGATGCCGCTTGGGGAAGGCCGTAAAAGGCATAGGGTGAGAATAGGTAGATGCAAGTCGAGTAGTCTTTTCTCCCGCTGCTGGACTTTCCCCATTGCGCCGTGTAGCAAGGAAGAAAGTAGAAAATTCGGCCGTTAGAAAGCTGTGTAAGAGGGGGTAGAAGGGGGAGGAACAAAGTCCATAACGAAGATCCTGGCTAGGGACAGGCTTAGAAGAAGGTTGGCTTGGTCAGAACGCGGTATTCGACGTAGTCCTCCCCGTCGATGCTGATAATGGCACCTTGCGACACAAGCTTGCCCTGGAATGGACCTGTAGCTTTGCGTTCGTACTTGATGCCGTCGTGCATTTTTGCGTCGTCGGAGCCGGCTGTTCGGATTCGCGCAGTCTCCTGGCGCGCCCAGAGCTGGTTCAGGCGCTGCATCTCCTCTGAGTCCTGCAGCGAGCCGCGGCCGCCCTGAGCGCTACTGGTGGGTGTTGAGGCTGACGAGTCGACGGTAGAGTCTCGATGAGACGAGTGACGATCGGCGCGGTTCTGAGCGGCTTCGGCTCGAGCGATTTCACGACGGGCCTGCACGCTTGCGCGCTCCTGAGCCTCGTTGGGCGCAATACGGAACTTGGTGGCACCCGTTTCATAGGGGCGTGGTTGTCGTGGCTCCTTTTCAGCAGATGGCCCTCTTACTATCGCTCCTTGGGGTGGTTGGCCGGGGTTGGTAACACGTGTAAAGTACGTCAATGGCTGCCAGTTGGAAGCGCTGGTTCTTCTGCGTGCGTCCTCAACAGCCTTGGCTTTGTTGCTCTCTTGCTCTTCTGGCGTCTCTCCCTGGTCTAACTGGTATTGACGAACTCGGCAGTATTCCTTGACTTCGTTTCTTGTCAGCTGCTCTAGGTGCGGCTCAAAGACCACTTCCTCGTAATGAATCCAAAGAGCACCGGCGCCAGTGGGGAAGTTTCCGTCCATGTATCTACCATCGCGCGTTTCTCGCAAAACCTTGACTCGGAACATGTCGTTTTGGCCCAAGATGCCTACAACGGCGTGGCGGTTTTGAGGATCTTCTTCGCTGGAGCCTTTCCAGTAGCCGATAAGAATTCTCGTCGGCCGTGTGCCATAGAGAGGGTCCAGGGGCTGGCGGTCTGCTGACGGTGTTTCTTGCGTGCCTTCTGATTCGAAATTAACGGGTACGAAGCTAGCACTCGTTCTTCTTCGCTTCACCTCTTGCCGGGGTTGGTCGGCAGGTGGCGGTGGTTGCGCGGTGGCACCACAAGCAATCTGAGGTTGACCGCTCGAATGGTCTTGCAATGCCGCCTCCCGTCCACGCTGAATGGCCTCTGTGATTGCGGCACTGATATTCTCATCTTGCTCCTCTTGTGTGTCTTCACCAAGCCCGGCGCGGATGCGAACGAACTCTTTGACTTGGTAATGGTCGAGACCGATAAGATGGTCGGAAAAGTGAATGCGCTCAAATGTCACCCAGCTGCCGCCAGGTCCTGCTGGCATAGGCCATTTATCGTTGATATGGTCACCGTCCTTGTTGGTGTGCTGGATACGAGTTCGTAGCCTGTCACGAACATCGATGAAGCCGATAACTCCGTGCCTATCCTTTAGAGTTGGTGCTGGAGAATCGCGCCAGTGGCCGAGCAACACGCCTTTACCACCAACACCGAGGCTGGCACGTTGATGTTTGGGCCGACTACCAGAGGTTGGCAATGCAGTACGCTCTTGTCGTATGGAGGTGGGAATTTCTATTTTACTTTCACTCAAATCAGTAAAGAGAGATGTGCGTTTTCGTCGAGGATAGTGGGATGCTGCGCCGGCGCCTTCAGCTTCATCGTCATCGTTATCGTCACGATCGGCCATTTCGTGATCCTGCATATGAACGCTTTGGTCTAGAGACCCATCGCCTTCGCTTGGTGCATAGTCGGCATCACCGGGGCGGCGGCGTAGCCTCGGGGAGCCGAGGTTGCTGGGGACATCGCTTAGGCTGCTGTCCTGGTCTAGGTCATCCATGGCTCTGTCGTGCACAAGTGGTCTTCTAACAGGAACTCCAGTTAGCATATTCCACAACCTAGAACCGGCAATGGTCGCTCATGGTGTGTCACGAGTAAAAGCTTGACGGCGCATCTGCTGTGTGGCCAGACGGTTGGGTGAAGGTGAAGCCCGATGCGTGCACTTGCAGCATGGGCAAATAAATAAAGCCAATGGAATCATGCGCATTATATTTTATGCATGTGCAGCAGCTTTGGGTAAATATCCTGCAGCAGCTATGCACCCTCGGATGCGGTCTCATTGCGCAGCAGCTCAAAGTGACTTGAAAAGCTTACCCCCTGCAGTGTCAACTGAGCAACAACTGAAGACTTTTATTCAAAGGGCTGCCGGCTCTTGCGAGCTTCAGCAGCGGCTGGGAAGGTGAACGAGCGCGGCGACAACTGCCGAGGTTGCCAATGAGAAGATTGTGAGGTGCTGGGGAAAGGCATGCTGCGACACAACATTCGCCGTCCTTAAAAAAATTAAGGGCCTCTCTATAGTGGCCAGCCGGCGTGTCGTATGGCGCCGTGGAAGGCCGCGAATGCTAGAGTAGGGCGGGGCTGTAGGCTGCGTGGCATCCCCTGTAGACTGCTGCAGAAGAGCCACTGCCAACCGAGCCAAGCAGCCGCCACCAATTTGGGCGACCAAGCATACTTCGCCCGGATGAAATAGACCAATGGGGTTACTGCGAAATACGCAAGACGTGGCAAGACATATAGGAAAATAAAGGAGAATATGCTCCCCATATACACATACCTGGTGATAACTTCTGTCGAGTGAAGCACGTGTCCTGGCAAAACGTCGCTAAAGGATCTGCTTGTCTGAGGACCCAGCTGTAGATGGACACTACTCGCAACAGTGTCGCCATCCCGGACCGACGGCTCTTCGGGGCGTGAAGAGGTCAGTGGCGCAACAGGACTCCCCCCTTCGATATCTGCAGAGGAAGCTTTTCGAATTGGCAAATCGGGAGCATCTGATTGCTGCGGGGAGCTTGGTGCTGGATTCAGGATCATATCACGGTGACGTTCGCCCAAGGAACCCATTGCGTACGCCGCTGTTGTCGGTTAAAAAGGTTGGTAATGCGGCTGAGCCTCAACTCGTGGGGTATTTGGGTATAATAAGATTAAGTAGTAGGTTGTGATGAGGAATATTCGTATCGAAGAGAGCTGGTATATCTGTAAAGACTGTGGTGGCCAACAACGGGCTGGTAAGAAGAAACAGGTCGTATTTAGTGCTGGTGTACTGTGAGCGAAGGCATGGCTTGACGGATAAGGCGATATATGACAGCACAGGTCTCTCTTTGCGAGCAAAGATATCCTGGGGCAAGGTTGAGGTGGAAGATGTAGAGGAAGAGAAAGAATAGTACAAGGAAAGCGGCGCTCGCATTGGCGTGGCACTGAGAAAAGCTGTGGTATGATATGCGCTCGGGATCTACACCACTTTGACGGACCAGCAAATCCCAAAAAGGTAGCTAATCCGCTGGCGCAATGTTTACCGCACAGCGCATCGACTGGCTGGCCCCTGGGGATGGATCTGGGCTAGTCTGCTGTTGACGTTGGCGTGCGGCTGGTGGCGGCAGTAGGCTCTGTGCCCTGTAGCGATGTGCTGTTGGTGGAGCTAGGAGAGCAGGGCCAGCGGGGAAACTGCCCCGAGAAAGATGAGACGGCCAACTCTTTTGGCTAAGATGAGCGCCGCATTGCCAGGATTTCTCTATTACTGTTGGTCAATTTTAAGCTCTTTGCCAGCCAGCACCTATCTCCGGAACGCTCTTATTCCCGGCGTACGCGGACCAATTGCTGTCCCCTTCTGCTACTGCTCCTCTCCTACAAAAGGCGCATTGCTGCTCTGACCACTACTGAGCAACGCAAATATTCTCTGTTGCCAGCTGGTGCCAGCTGGTCTCCTCGATTGCCAGTTGCCGGCATTGCTTTGCCAGGTGCCAATCTTTTGGCAGTGCCAAAACGCAGCTGGCGGGTGGGGCTTGGTGGCCACTGAGCTCTTGTTTCTACAGTAGGCGGCCACTCTTGTCTCACGACAACTTCCATCCGTCATGATGCTTCGCCGAGGGACCACTATGGCGAGTCAAGGGCTCACGACTGAAATGGCATTCAACTTGCTGCAGTAACATTGGCCTCCCCGTTGCGCTGTTGCTCCAACTGCCCAGCGAAAAGCAAGTACCGACCGCCAGGGCAGCGGGTCTGCTTCCATTGCAACGCTGACGATGGGCAGTGGATTCGCGAGGCTTTAGAACGGACAGGCCCTCCAAGCACAGCGCCGCGGCGCGAGGGCCACTGGACAACAACAGACGTAATGAAAGAGACCACTACGGTCGCTCATTTAGCCACCGAAGCTTGGTGGAAACCACCGTGGCCGCGAATCCCAACGACAGCGAACCGATGGTGGGTTCGCCAATGCCAAAAAGGGGATATGTTTTACAACTGGAGCCTGGTTTGTCCTTGATGTCGGAGACGCTGTGCGAAACGTTTCTGTTGTGCATGTCAATATCCAAGTGAAAACTATCATCCAATATTGGTATCAATGTTGGGACAAACCCATCAAACAACAGACCATCGATGTCGTGCTGCCAAAGGCGTTCGAGCGATCGAGGTTGCATGTTACCGCGGGCCTTTACGTCGCCGACTAAGCCTTGCACTGACTCGGTGGCAATACCATTGCCACTAAAACACCCTGACGTTGGGACCTTACGCGATGCTCTTCCACTGGCTTACCATGCGACGGCCAGCTCAAATTTGCGTACTGGCATGTGCTAACCCCCCCTGCCCACCAGGTATGGAAAGCGTTGGATCTTGCACTAGCTTCTCGGTCGCGAAGCTTCCGTCTACCGTAGTTTTTCTAGGAGCACCCTAGCGCTTGGCCACTGGCCCGGCCCCCATACTGGTGTCACCACCTGATTAATATTCTCAGCGTGGCCTTGAGATGCCGCTGTAAGCTGACCATGATTGGCGCCGTCTGTGCCCGCTGTGCCCGCTGTGCCCGCCGCTAAACTTGGCCCTCTTTGGCAGGCAGCCTACTCAGGGCGTTCCATAGCCTTGATCGCAGCCTCGCCGCTAAGGTTTGCTGCCATCTTCTGTGCTGAAGCGGCGCATTGAGCGACAATTCTGGAGAGAGTAAAAGAGCTATAATAGCCTTTGGCTCGCGCTTTTGATTTTGCACTGTGCTTTGCTGGCTGGCTGGATAGACGCATGGGAGAAATCTTTTGCCAGTCTGGGCATGTTACTCGAGAACGGTCTACACGTTGGCAACGCACTGCAAGCCCAATTTGAGAGGCTGGCTACAACACCCTGTCAACTAGTCATTTATGACCACCGGAAAGTAGTCGCGAGCCTACGCTTTGAACCAACCTGCTGTCTAAGTACCACTGATTTATTTGGGCCGGCTGCATTTTGCGGTGCTTGCTTTGGTTTCTATCGGAAAGGAACTAACTGTGTTCAATCCTGATGATGCGCATAAAATAGCCCTCGATTGCGAAGCGACATACACAGAGGCAAGACTAATTAGCGAGAGGGAACAACACTAGTTTACAAAGTATGCATTAGCTCAAGCTGCCTGGGGCGCTTCCAGGAGCCGTAAGTTGCCGTTCTCACCTGCGCTAATACACTAACTAGGCTGGACCCGACAGCACGGGTCTGATGGGCAGCCACCAACCAACGGCAACGGGGCAAAAGTTCGCTGGACGTAACGTGTGTTGTTGGTCCCCAATGTGGATTAATCATGGGGCCAAAGTTACAGCTAATTTGCGCTTTGATTTGGGGCGAATCGTTTCTTCATGACTAACACTTTCCTGTACCAGTTTATGACCTCCAGTGTACTCAGCGCTTGTTGTTGGTAGCTGGTTCGCCCCTCTGCATGTCATTTCCCAGCGCTTGGGGCGGATCGAATTTCAAAATGTCACTGAATACATACGTGCTGCGAACCTGAGAGGCCATAAAAGCATGGGATGCGGAAGAGCATATTATTATTTTATGGCAGATGCTTACTAAATGCAGAAATTAGGTGGTAACCAGCAAGCCAATGAGTGCTCTCATCGCACCCCCCAATGTCTATCGTTATATGAGCGCGCGGCGTGTGGAAAGAGCAAAGGGGAAGAAGACATGAGGTTCCAATTGGGGTAATAATATACGTAACAAAGGGGGACTTGTCAAGCCCAGGGTCAACGCCTACCGCCGCGTCCTCTGCCTCGCCCACCACGGCCACGTCCTCCGCTCCGCTTCCCGCCACCTCGGCCCCCCCGCTTGGCGTCGTACCGTTCAAACACAAGTTCCTCGCCAAAAGCTCCCTCGGCAAATCGCATATAGTTGACGAGGCCACGGTCCACAATTGCTACCAGCACATTGCGGTGCCCATGCTTGAGACGCTGGTACATGCGTCCTGGGTTGCCACGCATTGCATCTGGAGGGGGGCAGTAGGGAGTTGATTGCAACAGGCCTTCGACCTCTTCCAGAGTAGGAAGGCCAGTGTCGGTTGTATCGGTCACGGCAATTCGGAAATCTGGCTCGCGCGGACTTCGCTTCGAGAATGGCTCACCGCCAGACTTCCAAAGAAGGTAGTGGACCTTGAAAGGATCTTCAGCGTCATGATTGACAGATGGCGTCAGCGTAGGCTTGTGTCTTGGTAAGATGGCGAGTTGCTTATAGACTGGGCGATATGCCCGGTACAAGCCCGGGGCGATCAGAGGACCATAGGGCTTTGGTGTTTGCTGGGCCGCCGCGTCTATCGAAAAGAAGGAAAACAACCACTGCCAGAGGGTTGTCTTGGGGCCTTCCACCTCGCCAGATATCGGCAAATTCTCAGTGTTACGTAAAATGTGAAAGCCTGCGCGTTTGAGATTTGTGAAGACTTGATACTTGGGCAAGGTAGTTTTGCCTGGCTCGTTATCCTCGCCAATGAGCAGCGAGTATGCGGCTTCCAGGGTTAGAGGGACGCCAATGTCGTAGTTGTCTGGGCCCATGTCTTCAATAGAGGGCTCTCCAGTCTGAGGTAAGAGTTCCTCTAACGATCTTGATGGCCACCACAAGTCCATGGTTCCTCTCTCGACAAGGTGCAGCGCCTCTTCTGGGAGCAGCCAAAGTCTTCCCGCACCGGGTACGGTTTTGCTTCCCGGTACAGCTCGTCCCAAGTCTTTCATCCAGCTTCCGCGTTCGTGTTCGACCACAACAACTCGCTGCTCCAAGAACAGGCCGTCCTGGTCAGCCGGCCGCTGATCAGGCGGTACATTTGCCCAGAAGTCAGGGAAATACCACCCACGGACCCATGACTGGTCACGGTGGACTCTGGTATAGGATAGAACCTCTTCTAATGCTCGCCGGCTGGATTCCAGTGTGTTGTCTTGTGCTTGTGTTCCGTGTGACTCAAAATCCTTTTCACCCTTGCGGATGGTTTTGCTGGACACGTTGCGCTTCTCAAACATGGACAGGAAGAGCTTGTAGTCGGGGACTTCGTCTTCCAGTGCATCCTCAGCAGCGTTATTGGCTTCGCTATCCCCATTTCCCGTCGTGGGTTTGGCCAGCAGGCTTGGGTCGTCGTCGTCGTCAAAAGGCATTTGTGAGATATGTCGGATTGCGAGAGGTGAGCTGCAGGGGACGAAAGATAAAGTCTGTCTATCGATTATGGATAGTGTATGGCATTAAGTTGAGCTGAAATGCAAATGAGATATAGATGGTGTGGCGGTTAATGTATGAAAAAAGGTAAATATACCGATGATGGTATTGGTGAGTATGCCCAAGTTGAAGGTTGAAAATCTCGGGTGGGTCTCAGGCTGCCTGCATAACAGATGCGATATACAATGACTTAATTGAAAGTCTGACAGCCAAGAAGTAAGATCAAGTGTTGAGAAAGATTAGACTAAAATAAAAATATACTTGCAATAATTATAAGAGTTAAATCGGCAAAAAGAGAAAATGGCAAAAAATTGAAAGGAATGAGAGCCGCAGGATTCGAACCTGCGCCACAATGTGACTGCGGTCTATAGTTGGGATACAACCTAAACACAGCGCCTTAACCACTCGGCCAGACTCCCTCCGCGCTCAAGTGGCGCTATTTTACTACTTAAAGCTATTTCGTACAACACCTGCAGGAAAGCCGTTGTTAGTCTTGAACACACCCGCAAACTGCATTTAAAAGTCCGTTCTTTACAATTTTAAAAATGGCCTTTATCTGTGGAACTCGCCCCATTTCTCTATCTATCGGTAATAACGCACGTTCAAGCCGTCCGGCGGCGGCGCGGGTGTGACGGGTATATCGGAAGAAGCGGCACCAGCGGGGAGTCATACCCTGTGGAAAGCTCCTGTTTCTGCACGGAGATAATCCATACATTTATATTGCATATAAATATTCACGGTCCTTGTTATTTGATATTTTCTCGTTCTTCTTCAAATACTGCATCTCTCCTAACTCTGTCGTGTCAAGGTTGTTCTTAATACAGCTACTGTCCCTGCTAGTCAACTTACAACAACTCCACTTGTCTCGCAAACATGCAGACTACAGTTCCCGATGCTGAGCAGCCAGGAGAGCTCTCCGATGGCTCAGATCACTACGAAACAACAAACGAGAAACAGGGACAAGCATCTACCACTCCGCCGCCAGATGGAGGATACAAGGCCTGGTCGCAGAGCTTGCTCATGCACATTGTCTTCTTCAACACCTGGGGCGTTGCCAACGGATACGGCGTGTTCCAGGAATACTATACAGCAGCACTGAACCAGCCGCCGTCATCAATAGCGTGGATTGGAAGTGTGCAAGTCTTTTTGTTATTTGGCATCGGTATGGTTTCTGGCCGTCTAACAGATGCTGGCTACTTCCGACCCATCTTTACAACCGGCGTCGTGCTGCAGGTGTTTGGCATCTTTATGACATCGCTGTGTACAGAATACTGGCAAATCTTCCTCGCCCAAGCCGTATGTCTAGGTATTGGCAACGGCCTCACTTTCTGCCCAGCACTGGCTGTCCTAGCGCAATATTTCAAAAAGAACCGTGCGTTTGCTGTCGGTCTTGCTGCTGCCGGCGCGGCGGTGGGCGGTCTGGTGTATCCCGTCCTCATCAACCGATTGATCTTTCACCAAAACGTCACCTTTGGCTGGACTCTTCGAGCCATGGGCCTTATTATGCTGATTACGTATATCCCCTGCGTAATCTGGTTCCAGCCGCGTCTGCCACCCACGCGGTTGACAGCTTGGACAGATACTTCGGCATTTACCGATGCGCCATTCATGTTTTTCTCGCTCAGCATGTTTCTCAACTTTTGGGGGCTGTACTTTGCTTTTTTCTTCTTGGGAACATTTGCACGCGACAAGATTGGCGTCTCGGAACCAATGAACTTGGTCATGGTTCTGAACGGCGTGGGCATCCTGGGGCGGGTGCTGCCCACCATTATCGCAGACCGATGGACGGGTATGCTCAACTTGGTTATCCCAATCAGTGTTATCTGTAGCGTGGTTGTCTTTTGCTGGATCGCAGTAGTTTCTGCCACGGGGTTGTATGTATTTGCCGTGGTCTACGGGCTGCTCGCGGCTTCGTTGCAGGCCCTGCTTCCCGCCGTGGCGACGACTATGACGCCAGATCCTAGCAAAACAGGTACTCGAGTTGGCATGATTTTGGGATTTGTCAGTCTGGCCAACCTCACGGGCCCTGCGATATGCGGCGCCATTATTGAACGAGGCAATGGCAGCTATGTTGGGGCGCAGATCTTTGCCGGTGCCGTTATACTACTGGGCGCAGCGATGGCTCTTGCAGCACGCATTGCGAAGGGTGGAATGGAGCTGAGAACGAAGATTTGAAAATGAATATTGACGCCTATTGAGACACAAAAGCATTAATAGTGATCACTCAAATTTAGGTAATAGTATATATGTGAATGATATTGTATATGTGATTCTATCGTGGGCTATTGTACAAGAGTTAGGGTGTGAATCGAGGTTATGATCCGTCAAATCGTAAGAAAAAAGAAAGAATACAGGCGGTGTGAAGGCTCCTAGCATGGCCCAGATGAATATATCACATTCGCCATACCACTGGAGAAAGGGAGAAAGGAATAGTAGTTAGCCTAATACAAAGCCAAATACAGCAGTCAGGCCAAACAGCAATGCATAGCCCTTGGTAAAATGGAGCGATGCAGGCTGGATGCCCGCGGCGGCTGACTGGCTGCTGGTTGGCTTAGAAGCACCAGGCGTTGTCCATGTAGGAAGAGGAGGGCAAGCTATGAGTTTCAAGGTTAGATTAAATGATATTCTAGCGTGTGAGAACTATCTGGGCAATCTGCCAACGTACTAGAAACGCTGTCCATTTTCCGTTTGGTGTGAAAGGTACAGCTCACGGGTGTGTGTAGGCTGGGCAAGGGCTTTGCGGTGTAATTTGCGCTTGTGGTCTTGGAAAACAAGGTAGAGTGATAATCACAATTTTAATACGGCGAGAGTTTCTCTGTCCTTATAGGATCAGCATGCGTGCAGCGTGCTTGTTCAATTTAAGTTTGTCGAGGCTAGGTATGGTTGCCGCAACAAGCTTCTAGTCTAACCAAGACCGACTAACCAACGCCAAGACTAACGTTCGCGACTCTGCTTGTGGAGGCGCAGCTCAAAAAACGCCTCGCTCGCTAATCCCGATGCTTGGGAACAGAGGCCGTGCATTTTCATCCGTTTTATTTTTCTCCCCATCTTGATATACCATACACACAAGATAGTCGCCAAGCAACTGCGCCACCTGTCAAAATGAGATCCATCGAGGCTATGTATTCTTCAGGAGAACTCAAAAAAATTACTCGCGCGCAAATTGAGGCTCTATTCTGTGGCGAAGTTAGAGGGGGCGGTCGCAAATGGACGTTATTGGTCGATGGGATGCCTCCGCTCTCCATTGCTAGCTTCCCATTGAGGATATGCCGTCGCCGCATTGGGAAGAGGCTTGGGGGATCTGGCATACTGCAAGCTCGGCATAACCGAGTACTTAAGCCTCCGCTATGCATACTTTATCGTAGGCGCAGCAGACAAGAAACAACATTTATCTATATATACATATAGGTGTGCATTCAACTCGTTGCTCGTTGTCTTTGCAAGTTAGACTACCCTCGCTACACTCTTATTTACCCACTACCGCCCTTCTTTTTCCTTATTCCCCACTTGAGATGCTTCACAAATATCTTTTTCTGGCTTCTCTCGCTGGAGCTGACCTGATTCGACCTGCCGAATGGGGCCCTCAATCCGGCGTCATTATGGCCTGGCCATCCATTGAGACCAATGCGTACTCAGACGACGGTCTCAACAGAGCCACGACAGATGTTTCTGCTGTTGCCGATGCCGTTTCAGGCTTTCAGCCTGTCACGGTTCTCGTTGAACAAGATCGCTATGACGAGGCGCAGAAGCGATTCAAGGATGCCGCCAATGTTACTGTGCAACCCATCAATGGCTATCCCAGACTTGATCTCTGGATGAGAGACATGGCGCCAACCTTTGTGCACAATACGGAGACTAAGAAATTGGAAGGCGTTGACTACAATTTCAACGGCTGGGGCAACAAGTACCCTACTGGCTCATGCAACTCCTTGGCAGCCATGTACATGTTCAACAAGAATATTTCTCGACAGGCGTCATCTCTGGTTGGCGAGGGAGGCTCCTTTGAAGTCGATGGCGAAGGCACGTTGCTGGTGACTGAAAGCTCAGTGGTCAATGACAACCGCAACAAAGGCAAGGACCGCGACACGATTGAAAAGGAGCTTATCCGCACACTTGGGCTCAAAAAAGTCATTTGGGTCCCAGGTCGCAAGGGCCTCGACATCACTGACACGCACATTGATGGACTTGCGCGATTCATTGCGCCGGGCAAAGTGATCCTGAGCAGACCTAGCACGGTTTCGGCTGGAGACCCATTCTCCGAGATTTATGAGGAGGCCCGCGAAATTCTATCGAATGCGACAGATGCTAGCGGCCGAAAACTGGAAATCACCGAAGTTCCGGAGGCCGACTTGAACAAGATTGGCGCCAGCGATGAGACGCTCGACGCAATCAAGAATGGCAAAAAGGACTACCCTTCGCTCACCTATGTCAACTACCTGCTCGTCAACGGCGGCGTCATTTTCCCTCAATTTGGAGACGCCGATGCCGACAGCAACGCGCTGAAGGTTATGCAGTCCTTGTACCCGGATCGCAAAGTTGCGTCCGTTACTACTAAGGAGCTGCCTTATTTGGGCGGCGGTATCCACTGCTCCACACAAGAGATTCCTATTGTGTAGACGATCTGTGGTTGGCGCAAAATAAGGTTAGGTTGCCGCCGTTGTTGTACTGGACCGAGCGTAACGTACCAGTATCCTCGTCTGATCCCGGGATTTCCCCTTTGTCTGTATAGTAAATTACTCGCTGCTTGTATAGTTAAATAGAGATCGTGTGTATAAATATTAATTTTGCTACGATTCTTCACTCATGTGCTGTCTATGTACAGATATTCTGCAACAGAAAAAAAAGGACGCAACTTGCTGGTCTGTAGGTTATCCCCTTTCATGAATCGTACTGGATCCCACTCGATGCAGAGTATTTCCGGACCCAAAAGGGTATTTGCGAAGCTAACCCCAGAACCATGACTCTGCTTCGGTAGTGGGTGGTACGTTGTAATCTAATACACCGAGCGACTTGCCTCTTTAGGCATGTTTGTTAGGCGGCAGTGCTTGGCTCGAAGAGGGGAGAGGGGGCTATGCCTGATTCACGAGTATATTAAGCTGGTAATGCAACCGCACTTTTTTATTATTATTTCCGCAATCCGATACTTTTCTCTCTTTAGCCAAAAATGCATTGCAAGAATTTGGTCTGCCTAGTGGGCGTTGGTAAGTAGATACACCCCTGTTCCACTTTGACCAGCCTTAGACACTATACTTACACGGGAACCAACCACTATAGCTGTCGCCCAGGCTATCGATGTCACCATCTTGGCCGACACCAACCGTGACGGAAAGATTGACGCAAAGACTGATGGTCAGAACAAGGCTTCCTGGACCAATGAGCGTGGCGCCATCTTCCTCCCCAACATTGTTGACACTGATGGGCGCTGCTCAGCCAACATCAACATCAACACTGCCGACAACGAGCTCGAGACCTGCCATGATGCGTCGGACAACGTCTTGCGAAATGCCAACTACGTTGCGCCCCTCAAGGTCCTCCCAGTTACTGGTCTGGCAAAGGACGCAAAGGGCTATCTCACTGTGACCAACGCCGCCAAGGTTAGACTCTTCCGCAAGACCAGCAAGGGATGGAGCTATGTTGACGGCTCTACCACCTTTACCTCTGCGGATCTTGCTGCTGGTCTGGATCTGGGTATCGATGGCCGCGATATCCGTCGCCCCAGCGGCTGGGATGGACGCGCCAATGTCCAAATCACAGTTTCGAGCGGTGGCAAAGACTACAAGGATACCGTTGCCCTCCGTGTTGCCCCCGTCTTGACCCATCACCATGCACAGTCTGTCGAGTATGTCCTCATGCACAATACGAAGAAGGAAGATGGCTTTGACAACTACTGGACCGAAACGGTGGGCGGCGTGACAAACGCAACTGCCTGGGCTGGCATCAAGGGCGGCCTGAAGCAAGCCTTTAGCGGATTTGACCGCTGGTCCCAAGACTTCATCGAGCCTGGCTACGCTTCCATGCCTGGCCCCAATGGTCCCGTCTATCTGCACATCATCATTCGCTCGTTCCAGTCGGATCGTGAGGCTGGCCGTCAGGCATTTAGTCTGCGATCGTCCAACACAGGTGCTGTCCAGTGGCTGGTGAACGGAAACTCCCAGGACTCCGGTGGCAACATTGAGACTATCCCTCCCTACTCGAACAATGGTAAGCACTGGCCCGTAGGCCGTGTCATCTCCGGCCGACAGGAGAAGTTCCTCCCCAATGCCTTTGCATTCTTCAAGGCGCAAGAGGCCCAGGACGCCCTGGAGCTCGACACAAGTTGGCTCATGGTTGGCCACGTCGATGAGTTTATCCAGTTCCTCCCAGCCAAGACCAACCGCGGATGGGCCATCATGGTCGACGACCCCAAGCTTGGCCTGGAATTCTTCAAGAACCTCAAGGCGCAGGGACACGGCGATCTCAACTGGCTGTCCCGCAAGTTCAACACTGCGTACCCCAAGGGTTACCCCAAGACAATCACCGACCTGCTCGCCCTGAACAAGCTCGAGGAGTACACCAAGCTCGCCAGTGACAAGATTGAGGCCAACCTCAACATCCTGAAGAAGGAAACCGGAATAACGGATCCCGAAATCTACCGTCTGCCAGGACTTTACTACCTGTCGCTGGACGACAAGAGCCCTCACGATAAGGCAGTCGCAAAGGCCATGGCCAGTGATTCCAGCGATGGCGGTAATGCTGGTGATATCGCCGAAGAGGAGTGGCAGTCTTCTGAGCCCGTCGCTCAAGTGCCGACTCTCAACGCTCTTCAGGCCGGTGGTGGCAGAGCAGAGGACTCCCTTCAAGCACGTGCTGATCAAGTCCATCTGATTTCCATTGGTCCCGCCGTCATCAACGGTATTGTCCTCAGCGACAAGCACTACGCCGCGCCCAACCCCTTCGGACCTATCGTCAGTGGCGTTGATGTCCTGCAGAAGAATGCCCTCGACACCTACAAGAAACTCGGCTACGACGTGAGATTTGTCGATGACTGGGAGACCCTGCACACCCTTGATGGCGAAATTCACTGCGGTTCCAACACGGTTCGCACCCCCAAGGGAACTTGGTGGTAAATACCTGGACGTGGCATGTACATTTGTGTTTCTAAAGGACATTGGGGCAAAAACGCTCCGTGTTATATAGCAATAAAAAAGGTTGTTTCTAAACTATCGTACACTCTTTGGGATATTAGCAAATATGCGCAGAATTTGTTTTCGGCCATCAACGATGGGATAGAAGCCAGCAACCAACATAGTGCCCCAGACCCAGATAATCGCCACAACCACCCAGGCGACAAAGAAACCCTTACCAAAAATGTAATTCGATGCGTACATAGGTAGCGGCCTACATGAGTCAGTTAGCCCACGTGGGGTTCGGATGCATTGTAAAAGTGAGAGAGATACGTACCAAAGAACCCAATGTCCGAGGAATGTGGCAGCCGCCCACGCTCCAGAGATGGTGAGCAATCTCTTCAACTGACCCTTGTCGATAACATATCGATTGATGTTTTCTTCGTGGGACTTTGCTTGTACGTCGTCATCCGAGCTGCTGTCGCTAGTAGTTCCAAACGTGAGCTTCTCCTTGCGGAAGTCTCGCCAGTCGTAGTTGGCGGGCTTGATCAGGGAGATGACAATAGAGAATACACCCGGGCTAAAGGCCGAGGCTACAGTACCGTACACACAAGGAAGAGTTTGTCCTGTAGTGGTCACGCTGACTTCACCGTACAACGCGTGGGCAGTGCCTAGCCAAACGCTGATGCCAGTTGCCATACCAAGTAGCGGGCTGACGATGGCAGCCACCTTGGATTGACGCTTCCAGAGAATAGTAAATACTGTCGGGAGGATGCCAGGGCACGTCAAGACGCCCAACATGTAGAGCGTCCATCCAAGGTCGACGTTTCCGTAGTGTAGAGCAGTAGAAAAGGCTGCCGCAAAGATGCCGAAACCAACCACGCCGATATGGCTCCATCGAATAACGTCCTTGTCAGTCGCGTTGGGATTGATGTACTGGCGATAGATGTCGAAACTGACAATGGAGGAGACGGAAATAACCTGCGCCGAAATCGTCGATGTGACAGCCATGAAGACGATGAGCAGGATGGCAATGGCACCGCCTTTACCAGCAATGGCGACAGCGGCATACGGCAGGACCAAGCCATTGGATACCTCTGTAGGCGTGAGACGGCGAGGGAACGTGATGAATTTGGACGTGTGCTCAAGACTGAGAGCAGAAAAGCTCATAATTGTCCCGAACGCCCAGGGGATGGCGAAATATGCGATTCCACCGACAATGTATCCCGGGACGACGGCGTGCGGCGTTGCGGAGAAGGCCTTGACGAAGAAACCGGTGTCCATGATGACAAGACCAAAGTTGGAGAGAGTATGGATGATTCCAAAGAGGATAGCCTATTCCTGTCAGTGAGTCTGGGTAAAAGACATGGGAAGATAGTTGCTTACATTCTTGCTTGTCATGGTGAGGTATGAGCCTCCAGCGTTTCCCTCAACAGGCTGTGTAGCGGCCAACTTGACCATGATGTCGTAGAGACCGCCAATAGATCCAATTTCGGGTACGGTAAAGGCCTTTATTGTGAAGAAGCAGACGACAATGGTGATGACAAAGGTGTGGAAGTAGTCGGTCAAGAAAGTTGCCTTGATGCCGCCCACAAACGTGTACAAGACGACACCGACGGGAAGAAGAAAAGTTGCCGCAATGATGTGCATTCCAGTTCTAATAGATTCCAGTTAGCCAAAATGGTGGTTACAACCCAGCGGACTTTGTAACTTACAGCGCGGAGATGGTGGCACTCGCACCGAGCAGCATGTTGGCAATAGCAATGATGTTGTTGATCAAGCAGAGAACAATCCATACTACATGACCGACCTTTCCGTAGCGAATGCGAACAATCTCAAGCAGCGTATGCGCCTCGGGGACGCGAAGCTTGCAGGCGATGCCGAGGACTGAGAAGAAGACAATCATGGGCGAGCATCTGTCACGTATTAGTGTCACGATTCCTAGAAAAAAAAAAGAATAGATACAACGAACCCAGCAGCAAACCAGAAAGGACCAGCAACACCAAAATTGTAGCCTACAAAAGCACTGCCCAAGACAGCCGTACTCCAAAGCCAAGACGAGATGACGGCTGAGGCTGTTAGACCTGTCCCAACGCTGCGGTTGGCCGTCATGAACATTTCCGTCTTTGTGTTGTCTTCGCCGAGAGTTCGGCGCAGCAATCTCGTCGTGGCAATCATGACAAGCGCAATCAGAAAGCCAATCACAATCACCACCACATAGCCAGCCGCCTGGGGAAGCGGCGGGTTGATGGGCGCAGTCGCCAGATCGTCCGCGTTTCTTTGTACCATATCCATTCTAGCGGTTGGTTAAACGTGTACGATGCGGTGCTTTAGCAGCAATTTTGTGCTCCAAGGCGATTTTGCAAGTCGCAAATCGCCTTTGTATTGTGCCTGTATTCATACTTATAATCGCAAATGCCGTACCATGATACCATCCACGGCAGTGGTTGTAACGCTAGGGTCAGTTTCTAATCGTTGAAAGCCTTGAAATCTGCTTCTCCCCCGAGATCATCCGGCATGACGCGATCTACACAATCTAACGCGCAATTGGAAAAAAGATACATCGCTGTGTCTGCTCGACTGGCTTTACCTGGACAGACTAGACGCACATGCGGTACAGTGCCCTGGAAATGCAGAAACACACTGTGCCATTACAACAGGCGCTAATACGTGATCGGCGCTATTTGGCAGCGGGCGACTACCACTAGTGTGCTGCTATCGCGTCGTCTAGCGGGTCAAATGTCTAATGGCGACTACCACCAAGCAGATCACGCCATGGCCCTTTTAGGCCGGAGCCCACCATCGGCGCCGTAGCACTTGTATTTGTGGGCGTATTAGTGGCACTTGTAGAAGCTGTCGTAGCCAACAACGTCATAATAGTACAATATTGTAGATAACCGAGAGCTAGAAAGCACGCAGCCGTCTGTACCTTGAATGCGGGGGATGTATGAGTACTAGTAATGGTCCTCTGCTGCAGAACGCTGTCTTGTAAACATTAAGCAGAATCGACCAGAAACTTTTTAAAAAATGGCACCGTCGGTTACAGATTCGCAGGAAACCAGCACAGCTAAGAAGCTCATCATCAATGCGTTTGTAGAGAGCTGCAGCGGGCATCAGTCCCCAGGGCTGTGGCAGCACCCAGACGACAAGTCTTCAGGCTTCAACAATATTCGTCACTGGGTAGATCTGGCAGTATACTTGGAAAAGGCCAAGTTTCATGGAATATTCATTGCTGATGTTCTGGTAAGACGAATGTCTTGAGAAGATAACACACAAGCGTAGGTTTTGCTAACCATTGCTGGTACAGGGCGCCTATGATGTATACAAGGGTCCCAAGAATGCGGCACCGGCCATTGTTTCCGGAGCGCAATGGCCTGTGAATGAGCCACTGGCAACTGTTCCAGCCATGGCCGCTGCGACTAAAAACATTGGCTTTGGTGTGACGATTGCCACGACATACGAGCAGCCATACCACCTCGCGCGCCGTCTCAGCACCGTCGACCATCTTACCAGTGGTCGCGTGGGATGGAATATCGTCACTGGCTATCTTGATTCGGCGGCTAGAAACTTGGGTTATGCCGAACAGCCCAAGCACGATGAGCGCTATACAATTGCAGAGGAATATGTCAACGTGACTTATAAACTTTGGTGAGTACAAACGAATAACAGCATAGCAGCAACAAGCTCACTAACACGGTACCACAGGCTATCTTCATGGCGTGACGATGCCGTCAAGCTGGATCGCCAAAAGGGCATCTATACCGACCCGGAGCTAGTTCGCACAATTGACCATGTTGGTCAGTACTACACTGTACCTGGACCACACATCTGTCAGCCCTCGCCGCAGCGAACACCCGTCATCATGCAAGCCGGAACATCAAGCTCAGGCAAAGCATTTGCTGCCAAGCATGCCGAAGTCATCTTTGTCGCAGGCCACAGCCCCAGCACCGTAGCCAAGAACATTGCAGATATCCGCAGCCAGGCAAAGGATCAGTACGGCCGTGACCCTAGCACCATCAAGTTCCTCGCGTTGCTGTGCCCCATCATCGGCGATTCGCAAGAGGAAGCCGATGCGAAATACAAGGAATACCTTTCCTATGGCTCTGAAGACGGTGCCCTGGCCCTCTTTGGTGGCTGGACAGGCATCGACCTTGCGCAGTATGCAGACGACGAGGAGCTGCGACACGTTGAGTCCAACGCCATCCGCTCCGCTGTGGAAGCTTGGTCCAAAGCAACACCAGACGTGCCCAAATGGACAAAGCACACGGTAGCCAATCACATTAAGGTGGGTGGTCTGGGAGCCACGGTCATTGGCACGGCAAGCAAGGTAGCCGACGAGATGGAGCGCTGGGTCAAGGAGGCCGATGTGGACGGCTTCAACCTCGCCTACGCCCTATTTCCCCAGACCTTTGAAGACGTGGCAGACAAGCTGCTTCCCGTGCTCCGAGACCGGGGTCTGTTTTGGGATGACTATGCCGTGCAGGACGGCACATACAGAGAAAACCTGTATAGCCGCCCCGGGCAGCGTGTGCCACCTCCTGATCATCCAGCCGCCGCGTTCCACTGGAAAGCGGAATAAGAGGCGTTAGCGTACCAAACTAGTGAAATACACGATATTGACAGTAGTACATGTGCCTTGATTTGCCGAAGTATACCAAATAAAAACCACTTCAGGCTGGTGGTGAGTGAAATTTGTGGGCGGATAGCCGTGTAAGTCGACGGCACCGTGTATGTGGTGTGTCAAAGCCAGTCGCTTTGTTCTCGATTCGTGCCTTAGACTGCTAGATAGGACCAATCAAGGCCAAGGCATTCATTTGTGTTATCTATGGCGACAGTGGGACGATATCGCACGGCTTTACAGCGAAGTACATGCCACCGGCTCGTGGAATGCCCCGAGCACCCCAAACAGCATCGAGATGGCGCCATCGACTGCACAATGATCTAACGTCATAGGCCCAAAACCAGAGATCCATAGCGTATATGGCAAGTTGGTTTTTAGGTTTGAGAGAAAAAAGAGAGAATGTAATCTGGTTATTAAATTTTGATGTCGTTGATGAACTTCTTTTGGAGACTCAACCGCAGACGCCGTTCAGTCACCGTCATGGCATCAGCACTGGAATCTCCCATTCCTCAGGACGTCCCTCCCGCGCAGCAACGAGCGCTATTATTATACGGCCCAGGCGAGACTTACAAGATTGACGAGGCCTATCAGGTTCCCCAGAAGCTGCACGCTACAGAGGTTCTAGTCAAGACGGCAACAATCGGATTGAACCCCATTGACTGGAAAGCACCGTTCGTCGCTCTCAAATCACGGTGTAATTGAAAATGTGCTGATTCTGTCTTTTATAGTGATTTTAATTTCGGCATACCATCATATCCATACATATCTGGGCGTGAGCTGGCAGGAGAAGTAAGCCTCGTTAGCAATGAGTCCCGGCTCCTGCCCGGCGATAGAGTGAGTTGGTTTTCTCTGGTACACGAATTTCTTTTTCTAATCCGTTGCAGGTCCTTGTGATTTCCACAGACTATCGCGATATTCGTAAAGCAGCCTACCAGGAATACTGCATAGCAGCAGAGTACAACGTTGCCCGTCTTCCCAAGCATTTGTCCTTCTCCAGCGCGTCGACCCTAGGTGTCGGTTTTGTTACAGCCGCGCTCGCTCTTGGTGTTTCTATGGGTGTAGACTTTTCAGGCATTTCAGGCGGTCCGGATTTATTTCATTTGGTTCGAAAACATGAGCATCAACTTCCAGCAGACCAGAGAAAAGAGGCGTTAGAGTTACTTCGGCAACAAGAACGGGCGCAGCCAGGCGATTGGGTTGTGATTTGGGGTGGTAAGTGTTTATTTCCTTAAGACTCTTGTTTCTAATTGGCTAACCATGCCAAGGCTCGGCTACCTCTGCCAACCTTACCATACAACTAGCACGACTCGCTGGCCTCCGGATAGCAGTAGTCGTTGACCAAGCCAAACATGGTGAGTGGCTTTCTTCCAGCTGCAGCATCCGCCCCGACTTCCTCGTAGACTCTCACGATCCGGCCCGTGCTGTGGGAATTATCCGGTCAGCAATTGGCAAAGAAGCCAGGTTTGGATTCGACACATGTGGTAAAGAGTCGGTAGGGTATCTCTTACAAGCGCTGTCTAAGGATGACGAGTCCGCTGGCCTCTCGCCGCCGTCTACACCGACCGACTATGTTGAAAGGCAACTGCGAAGCCATGTGATTGGACTTGCAGGCTTGCCGAAAGCATCTTCGGACGACATTGTGCTTCATACTCTGCCAGTAAAACTGTTTCACGAGGTTGAAGTCGTGGGCCGCGCACTAACAACGTGGCTGGAGCGACTCTTGGATGAGGAAAAGGTTGTGCCCGCGCGCATCATTGGAATAGAAAACGGTTTGGAGAGCGTAAATGGAGCTCTTGATAGAATGCGCCAGGGGGAAATCAGTGGCGGAAAACTAATCGTGGCAGTCTAGCCGAGCCGCCTCTTTAGGCGCGTAAAAAGCTCATCGGCCGTCTCGTACTCGAGTGGTCCACACGTTTTATATACTTTTTTTTTGAAGCATCGTCCAGAGCGCGTGGAAGGGGGCATGAAATTATGATCGCTTTTGTATTCAATTATGTCAAGTGATGACTTCCTGGTGCAGCTCACAGCCCAGAGTCAGAGTCTTTTTCGCTCTTCTCCGGTTTGACCTCGCGCGCCGACTTTGCGCCGCTAGACTTTGCGGATTCCTTATCCTTTTTTCTTCCCTGACCCCATTTCTCAAACTTCTCCTTCATATAGCGCACTGTTCGGCTCCAGCCACCCATAATGATGCCCTTGATGCTTTGTGTTGTGCTAGGCCAGTTGACGGTTTGTCGGATGACTTGGCGCACTAGGCCTTGGAGCTCTTTTGGATCGTCTCTAGCAATTCTCTGCTCAAACTCGCCACCTAGGCGACGCTTTGTAGATGATGATGTAGCGGCATCATCCGCTGCTGCCTGCATCATTTGGTTAAATTCGCCGCGAGGGATGGCAAACTTCTTTTGGTATTGAAAGTAGAGTCGCGAACGGAAGCTTTTCGGCAAACGACGAACCATGTTTCCTCGTTTCACGGGATCCATGTCTTGCTGCAGACGGTTGTCGCTTTCTTCATCGAGCACCCAGTTTTCATCGTCCAGTCGGCACTGGCCGGTAAATGCCACATTGGGCAGCGTCTTAACCAACGGCGCATAGAGTCGGCGGAAGTGAACCATGTTGTTATTCACAATGTTAGAGACTTTGTTTTTGTTCTCTGTCGGCAGCGCCATGCGGGGGTCTCCCATGTAGCTGAGCCCGGCAATGGTTCCATATAGCTCGGATTCGGTAAAGTCGGGTGGCAGCAGGAGCATTGCTGTTCGTAGTGCAGCAATGAGGTTATGTTGGTTTGCGAGACGGACTTGGGGGTGGTCACGGAGGATTTTGACAGGCTTTTGCAGCCGGCCAGCGAGATAGAGGTTATCCCATGTGGAGAGGTCGCGGACAAGGTTTTCGATACTGGTGACGCCGTATTTGATCAGCATACCATTCATCTCGATGTACGGATTGAAGTAGACTCCAGCGCCCATGTCCTGCACGGAAGACACAAGACCGGAGCCTAGCGACGCGATGCCGGAGTAGTGGTTGCGGTGCTGTTTAATATTGATCGAGTGCCAGTGCTGAGTGTGTGTGACACCAAAGATGAAATCAATCATCTTGGGTGATCCCTTCTGTGCCTTCACCAATGCTGGCGGTGGTTTCGGGTGCACTGAGCGAAATTCGGCCTCACTGATGCTGCGGCCTAGGTCGCCTTGGGGAAAGACGCCTGATCCATAGGCAAAGCAGTAGACAATGGGAGCATTGAACTGGCGCAGCATTATACGGAGGGCCTCCTTGAGCTCGTAATTAATTATCATGTGTTGATTGACACCAAACATTCGATGGGGGAGGTCTTCGAAAGACTTAATGGTGAAGTCGACCGAGTCCTCCCATTCGTCGCCGTAGAGGTTGTACTTTCCGCCCGCCGACTCCTTCTTCGACTTGGATCGTGTGGAGCTGGCATCGTCGGTAGCAGCAGTAGTGTCGGATTCGGCGCTCGATTGGCTATTTGATGAAGATGTAGAGTATGAGAGGGATGAGGGCGATGGCCAGTGTCGAGCTGGGTAAGCAAAGGCAGCTCTGTGGGTTGTGGTGGCGGCAGCGCTGGCTATAGATACAAGATGTGACTGGCGAGGGATTGTGCGGCTGGTTCGCCAGAGGGCATGGGATGCCTTGTTCTATTTATTTCAATGTCATAATTAGCTTGCATTTCATACTGTTGTAAGGGATGCGATTGGAGATGCTATACCCGGAAGGCAACGGAAAACATCGCGTTCGTTGTGATGAATATGGCGGAAGGAGCGTGAAGAGAAATAGAAAAAATGAGAGAATAGCCTGCAGGAAGGCAGAAGATGTGTTTTTACAGATAAACCGCCATTTAGAAGAGGATTGTGGTGATGACAAGAAGCTTAGGCGACTGCCAAAGGATAAAGTTGGGGGAATCGCGACACTTTTCCCCCAAAGCTCAGGGTGAGTAGTGGGGCAGCCGCACTCGTAGCACCCCCGAGCACATGCTTTTTTTTAGCGATTATGTAAGAAATCCTCTAGGGTAGTGCCAACGGTTGGCATCGGCGAGACGTACGACCTTGACCATTGAAATACCATGTGTATATTATCAGCTATCAAACTTATAGACGCTGTGGGCGTTCCTATCAAGCATTGGTAGTATATCTGTTGAATGAAACTAGTATGAAATATTCAGCTAAAACATGATGCACGCGAGATTCTACAAAGGAAGCGAAACGAAACGAATGACATGAGTACCGAAATCCTCATTCTTTATCATTCGCCGATGCCAGTACTCGGTCGAAAAGCTCAGTGACGACATCAAGACGATGAGACACCATGATGATGGTATCGTTTGCAAATTCTTGCATAATGATATTCATCATTTTGCGCTCTGTCTCACTGTCCACGGAGCTGGTAAACTCGTCCAAGAGGAGCAAGCTGGTTCCATTCAAGCGCTTCTTCAATACGGCTCGAGCCAAGCTGAACAGCTGCCTTTGACCGTAACTGAGCGCAGAGCTGCGAAAGCTATCGCTAGCACATCCACCAAAGCCCTCGACAGCGGATGAAAGCCCAACAAGGGATATGACTTCCTCACACTGCTCACGCGTCGCGGTATTTAAGGGATCAATATTCTCAGCAGCGGTGCTCCCAGGAGGCAAGAAGATGGGATCCTGGGGGATAGTGATAAGGCGCTCACGCAGCACCTGCCTGTCCATCTTGGTGATATCTTGTCCATCAATAGTGACCCCTGATGACTCATTTGGTCGATCTAATGGATCTAACAGAGCCAATAACAGCAAAAGAAATGACGACTTGCCACTTCCAGTCCTTCCACACAGGGCAACCTTCTCGCCTGCGGCTATGTTCACGTGCAGCCTCTCAAGACAGTAGTCTGAACCAGAGCTATCGTAGCTAGCCCAGATATTTTGAATGTCAATGACACCCCTCTGCGGCCAAGATGGTGGTGTTACGGTATTGGACTCTGGAACAGGTTCCGTTTCTGTGTTTTGACTGAAAGCCCGCAAACGTGCGACAGCTCCGATAGATGTCTCTAGTGACGCATAGAATGTCACAAGATCAACCAAACTCTGGCTGAGCCTCATCAAGGTCACTAGAGACGCTCCAGATATGGCTGCGCCAGCACCTAAGCGCGTCATTAGAGCCACCAAACAGGTAGCTGTCACCGCCACGATAAGACTAAGCGTGAGATGTAGCCATCTTTGAATCATAGCAAGCTGGTAACGGGCCCGTTGGGATCGATCTACGAGTTGTGCGTTGTACTTTAGGCTATCTTGAACCCAGCCAAACGCACGGATCGTTGCTACTCCATTGAGCGTCGAAAGGTAATTTGCATAAAGAGGGCTTTTGGCTTCAAGATCCAGAAGTCGCAACTGGCGAGATGTGCGTAGATAAAAGTCCTGAACGAACCATAGAATACCGTAGAGAGCGGGATAAGTAAGCGCCAGCCAAGGAGACGAAGATGCTAACAACGCAGCCATACCAATGATACTAGTGAGATCAAGAATAATATTGATCATCGCGGAAGGAAGTTGCGCGTCAACAAAAGTCATGTCTTGTGAGAAGTAGTTTATCAAAATGCCAATGTCTGTCTTTGTAAAGAGGGGAAGCGTGGCATTGATAATCGATGACAGCGTCTGACGGTGTAGCTTCGAGCCTCCCTGCCGCGTGAACGTGGTTAATGCCACGAGAGATACCATAAAAACTGTAATCCAACCTAAAAGCTGAAGCATGCCGTAGATGTCAATGTAATAACCTTGTGTATGGGACGGACCATGGGATTCGTCTAGATCCTGGGTCCAGAGCGTGAGCCAGACACGGGGAAAGTTGTCCAGAAATCCGAAACATATACCGCAGATAAAGAAGGCCGCAAGTGGAAATTTGCCAATACAACTAAAGTAATATTTGTATACTGTTCTGTCACCGGTTCTGCGGGCACGGTCTGCCGCGGAGGGTGTTGTCGTTGCCATTGCAAGTGGAACCTCAGATGGTCCAGGGACCTTGCCAGGCGGAGGAGAGTCCGACTGGGACGTAATGCTGGTAGTTGGTGAAGTCAACCGAGGGGTTCTGCTGATCTGGCTAACGTTTCCGTCTGAGTCAAGCTCAATGAGACTGTGTGCAAAGGCAGTAAACTTCTGATTGTGCGTGCACACGATAACAGTTTTGCCTTCGCTAGTTGTGAACCCATTGGGGCCAAATACATGGTTGAAAACATATTCTGCTGTAGTTGCGTCCAAACCGCTCAGTGAGTCATCAATCAGCAGTCTATTGATGCCGGTGGCATATATAGCACGAGCAATGGATAACCGTTGCTTTTGCCCACCACTAAGAGAAATTCCCTTGCTGCCAACAACTGTCTGATCGCCCAATGGCATCGCCAGTAGGTCCGTATTCAACATGGTTACTTGTAGAACTCGCTGATATCGTAATTCATCAAACTTGGAAAAACCAATGATGTTGTCTTGGACAGTGGAGTTGGTTAAGACTGGTTGTTGATCACAGTATGCAATGCTGCCGTTTCCGGGTATCTTAACCTGTCCACCAGCGAATAGAATTTCACCAAGGAGGGCTTTGCAGAGTGTTGATTTGCCGCTTCCCACTGGTCCAGAAATGATGGTCAATTTGCCCTTTGGGATAACAAGGTTGACATTGCGCAACAGCGGCGCGTCCTCGACCCAACCGAAAGCGCCATTAGAAACTATCATATCGTCGGCTAGTGGCGCAATAGTAGCCATTGGCACTTGTTCATCTGACGGGATAGTTTGCAACCGACGTTCTTCAATCTCTTGGTGTCCTGAAGTCCTCATATCGTTTCTGTCGTCTCGTTCCAGAAAGTGCTGGATCCGTTCCAGGCAAGTAAGCCCGTTTGCGAGCTGGGGAATCCTTTGCAACATCACCTGCAGCGGAGATGCCAACATCATTATATACGAAGTGGAAACAAACACAGTGATAGTGTTGAGAGTCTTGGACGTCAAAGCCAGAGTAACAATAGGAGATAGAATCATTGGTGCCTGAGCCAAGGTAGAGCAAAACACCATCATGATCCGCCAACGACCACCGATACCAATCTCCTTGTCACGGAGGGCTTGGATACTCTTCTCTACAGGCCGTGCCATGCCAGCCATTTTGATGTTCTTCATCTGTCCAATTGTATCGGCGGTAACACCCACACGAGCTTGAATAGCTTCCATCCAAGCACGTTGTCGTGGGGTAATGAGCTTACTAGCAAGTAACACCAAGCCCGTTGAACCCAAAACAACGATTACGGGGGCAACAAACACTGTGCCAAGAGTCTTTTGCAATAACCAGCATGAAATACCAGCCTGGATCATGTTCGCCCAGAATTCGTGGAGGCTGAGAATGCCAATCAATACGCGCTCAACGTCGGTGCTCATAAGAGTCAACACGCTGGCATCTTCAGAGACGGAAGACGGAAGGTTTGTGGTTTTGAAATATGTTGCCTGGACTAGGCACCCTCGCACTCGTGCAACAAACCGTTCTTGCAAGTACCAATACAATGTCTCTGAAGTTGCCATAGTTAGATACATCAGCATGGTTGCGAAGATGAGTCCATAGCCATGGCTTTTGTCTCTCACGTCTTGTTGAAGGAAGCTGAGAAGAGCATCGATCAGAAAGGGTTGGCAAAAGCTCGCACCAAGTAGGACTAGGCGCGGAACAACCGGGAGCATCATGTAAATGTACAGCGTCCGAACTAGTGCTCTTGCAAGGCCGTAGCACTTGCCCCGTGTAGGGTGTTTTACTAGGACTAGCTGAAAGTTCTGCCACAGCTTCTCGCATTCCATGTCCTTATCAAGAACATAGAGCGTATCGAGACAGAGTAGACCCCGGTAACCGTTTAAGAAAAGGCTATAAAGCCACCCAAACACTCCGAGGCTCAATAATGAGCTCCTTGCCTCTGGACAGATTGTCTTCGCATCAAGTAGAATCCATCGAGACTTTTGCCATGATTCAAGGATGAGGAGAATGAATTTTATACATGTGGCAGCGATCAATAGTCTGCCGTACGCCGGGCGAACAGTAGAAGGGGGCATCAGCGACGCAGTACGTGCAGACGCAACGTCCAGGAGCACAGTAACCACAAGGTACAGTCCAATGATATGAGATGGTCGTAGAGATCTTGAGTTACTGATATAGGAGTACGGCACGAGACAGAGGGCGGCAAAGAGGCTAGCGGTGGCAGCAGAAGAACTAATAGCCTTGTTGTCGATAGCCTGGAAGGCGCCTGAACTGTCCAGTACCACAATAGAGAGACGTAGAGCGGCATGGGTGAGAGTAAAGATCTATTAATTCTGTTAGAAGAAAATAATAGTCAGAAATATTTAGAAAAACCTACTAGCTTCAGGCGGAGCAACCATGCTGCTTGGACCACCACTGGAGCTCGCACTTTCACAACAAGAGCCGGCAGACTCAGCAGAATGAAGAAACATGACGGCGTAAGCGTAAATACTGTTTGTTCGAAGAGAACTGTAAAGTCAAAATCGTCGCGACAGCCACCAACAGTAGGTCCAAAGCTGTTGTCGCTTGGGCAGGCCATGTCTGCGGGCAGTTGGGCAGTCATTGGCGGTTGGATGGTTGCACTGCATTCGACATAGACCTTTCTAACGACTCAAATACTTCAAGCTATGTGCTTAATACGGCTTAATATCAGTCCTTCGCACAGTACCAGGTGACGACACCATCTCTTATGTTTGTACTGGCCGCGCGGATTGGCGCAATAAGGCTCTGGTGGCGCTGACCAAAGCGAGCCAAGGGCTCGGGCAAGAAACCCGAATGATTTACGGCACTGTCGTTATTCATTTATTCATGTGTAGTATGTATACAGGATAACATTCATAATGACCATTGCAAATTGTCAGCTCAATAAGCAATGGTTATCATTTCTTGAGGTATCTCATAGTCGATATTGAGAGTGAATGAAGAGGGCATGCGCTGTAAATCTGCTAGTGGAGTGGCTCGCCACAAGACCCACGATGATCTTCAAGTGTTAGATGCCCATTGGTTATTTTCACAGCGCCTCTTCAGGTGTTTACAAGAAGGCTACGCAATCACTTACCTAATGTGGCGCGCCACACGAGATCGTTCAGATTGGGATATTTCCGTTGGCCAGTTTAGAGACCACAGCAACTTTTTCAACAATTATATCATAGCCTAAAGATTCTCGGGTGCATTCCATGAAGCCTGTGATTCTTAACCATGGCTTTAGAAAGCAATCCTAGCGAAACGTCACCGCTGCTCTAGCAAGACGTAGACAACAGCTGTGTTTCAATTTCGGCTTATACAAAAGGAGCAGCCCGGCACAAGATCCGCAACTTTCTGAAGAAATGGAGAACAATAATTCTTTGTGCTCTTTTCATCATCGCTATTCTTGTTCCCAACTCAATTGCTGATGCTGCAAAGTTACGCTTGCTGGAGCTCGGCGTTTGTCGAGACTACCATCTTGAACATGATCCGTCTGTCATTGATGGGCATGGCAATATTCAAGAGAGCCTCTGTACAGATTCTCCTATTCAAAGTCGATTAGCAGCAATAAGGAGTTTGATCCATTCATTGAAGCCGTCCCTGGGCTTGTTATGGCTGTACCCTTTGGTGTCCTTGCAGATCGCAAAGGTCGACGGCTAGTACTCACGATTTGTTTGTTTGGCTACCTTGTGCGGGATACTTCGATGATAACGACCCTCTATTTTTATCAAAAATTTCTTTTGGAGACTGTCTATGGTTCCTCCCTGTCTTCCTTAATTGGCGGTGGCTCAATCGTCTTCGGACCCATGCTCCTCCCCATTGTTGCAGCATCTGTCACAGACGAATCTAGGTTAGTCTATGCTCCGCATGTTCTTGCTTCCTCACTTTTACTACTCTTGAATCCCCAGAACACAAGTCATTTTCCTAGTCCAGGTCCTCACCATTGTCTTGGAGTTTATGGTTGGCCCTCTCGCTGCACTTCTTCTGGAATGGATCGGGCCTTGTCCCACTCTTGCGATGTCAATTCCAATTCGGCTACTGGCTTTATCTTTTTGGCATTTATCACCTATCAAGAGTAGCAACGTCACTCACAGAGAGCAAGCAGAATCCGTTGGCCAGTCTAGACTGTCCGCTTACCACCAGTTGCAAAAGGCAATTGTTGACCTGATGCACTATGTCCGATACGACATGGGTACCATTTTTACTAACCGCTCAGTCATCGTTGATCTGGTGGCCATGCTTATTGCTAAGGTTGGCCGTCCCATAGAGGATCTGATGGCGCAGTTTTTAAGTGCCAAGTTCAAATGGCCAATTAGCAAGGTACTTCTCAGGAAATCTCTCCGCTTCAATCATGTACATCTACAGACTCTATAGACCAATATGCTTCTTTCTATCGGTACCGCTGCTCAAATACCGTGGTACCTTGTTGCGCTTCCAGCTCTGAGCGGCTGGCTGCAGCGACACAAAGGTGACGCTATTCAAGCTAACCGTGCCTTGGCCATCATCCTGGTGTCCTTCTTATGGCTTGGCATATTGGCCAGGGGTCTAGCACCAACCATTAACCTGTTCATTGTTGGCGAGTATCCAGAAGCCAGCATTGTTTCAATTGAACTAATTATTTCTAGGCATGGTGATTTATACAGCTGGTGGCGGCTATACTGCGACCATGCGCTCGTTACTCGCATCGCTAGTATCAACGAACCAGCTTTCGATACTATTTACATCCATTGCTGTAGCTGAGGCCGTATCACTGCTAGCTGCTGGCCTCTTTTGCAATTGTCTCTCTCTTGGGGTGTACGAGTTGGTGGGTTATTTATCAGCACACCATTTTTTATCGCATGTGCACTGTATAGAATAGCGTCTCTTGGTATATCTATTACACCGTTCAAAGCTGCAAAGGATATTACACATCCATAAGAAATAACAGATTTGTTTGTTTACGATCGTTGCGTGCAGAAGTTTTGTAAAGTGAGACACTTAAAGAGTCGCGAGAGTGTAACTTGATTTCAAACCAAATCTAGTGATAGCAACTCTTATATATATATATATGTTTTATTTAAATATTTCAATTCTATATACCTCATTTAGATGAAGTTAATAATTAAGAAACCGTCTGTACCTATTTTGGGAACATAATTGTTGTTTGTTTAGGTCTGTAGGGTAGTCCGTCTTGCCAAGTTGGTGTACATTTACTTTCGACAACCGCCAAGATACATAACTAAATATCGTGGGGACATAACAAACGTGCAAAAAGCTCCATAAATTGGAATAAGTGGCCATCTATTTGTCCAAAGTTCAACAATCATTTTTTTATCTCACATGTGACACACATCGGGTTCCCGGCTCGTGCAGTGGCGCAAAGACATATCCCCGAGATGAGCCAACCCAACCTGGCGGAGCCTTCTCGGGATGGAGATGCCGTGCGGCCCACTGAGAGTCGACAAAAGATCCCAAAACAGAAAGTCCTAATGGAGAGTGACCAGTGCGCATGGGGGAGAAACAGAGGCCCTTTTGCAGTGGCACGGGCTTACTGCAACGACCACAATGAATCAGGCTCTGCAAAGGAACCTTTGGATTTACGGATTCAGTTCAAAAGAACAGGGGTTCCCCACGAAACACCGTGGTCAAAAATCTTGGCACATTTCTCGTCCCATTGTCAAAATAATCCAACCGTTTCGTCTAGCATTTCTGTCCATCCATTAATACATACAGCACGCGGTTGGATATGGCTACTTCACAGACAGAACAACTCGCCTCGACGGGCCAGTTTCACAGCTCTCATGAGACGGATCGCGGGCAGGGCGCCCAATTGGAGCAACTGAAAGTCGAAGATGGTCCTGACCAGCGCAATCCAGTATCTGATGCGCATAGACACCTCTTCGTCACCAACATGGCTCTCTGGTTTGCCGGTCTGGGTATTCTCATTGTCGGTATCGTTTGCTGGACCCAAGCAGCTCGCCATATTGCTCTAGGCTCGGCCATTTGCGCCACCATCTTGGTGAGAGGCTGTCCAAAAGCTAACCTATGCGCATTAATACAACCGCTAACAGGATGATAGGGTGGTATTCACTTGCCCTTGATGGGCCCGGTCACCAGGCAGAGATCACCGACCGACCCACGCCCTAGCGCAAAATATATCTGGTTCTTGTACATCGATGTGCTGCTTTGGCTGGCAACAACATGCCTTCTTTTTGTTCAGTATGCTATCAACGACAACGTACCGGGCGACACATTTACCAAGAGAGACGTTGGAAAGTATCCCAACCATCGCGACACTCGCTTGGCGCAAGCCGCAGTAGCTGGAGGTGTAGTGAGCATACTCGCCTTGTAAGTGTTACCTTGCTCCGTCCGGCCCCGACATACTCTAAGCAGAATGCTTACCATGGAACAGCCTCGTTTCCATCTGGGCCATCATCCTGACCCGTAGATTGACTCACCAGACGTTTTCCGCCAAGGACGTTAATGCGAACTGGGAAGCATCGCTTCGTTCCTACTTCACTCCTCGAAAGGTGACGCAGCCCAGTAGGCGTGTATATGCCGAGTACACCTACAAGCGTGACCAAGTATAAAATGGCTTTTGGGGGTATACGGAGTTAAGATGGGTTTGTTAGTCGCGAATCATTAGTCGTAGAAATCTGCGACAGCACGGTTTACAAGCGTCGATTTAGACGGAGGTTCACAAGTTGTTTGATGGAACGAATAACGATTGCATCAACAGATTAGAATTTACATTTATATTACTGTTTATTTATTTCTCATTTCGCTTCTCGTCGAGTGAGATGCAAAGAGCCACCATCAGCGCCTTGTCCACGCCCGGCGCAACAGTGACAGCATATGTCTGCTGACCGCCAAAGAACTCGCGCTTATTGAAGAACTTGCGATCAATAACAGCAGCAATAGGACCGCTCTTATCTTCACCTAGAATAATTTCGGCGGTCGAGTCGAGCCAATCGCCTCGCATCGTAAATGTGTGCACTTGGCCATCCGGAGCTGTAAATGTGCCTGTGGCCTTGGAGCCAAACACTACATGCTGTTAGTATGGAGCGGTGAGACAGAGGAGAAAATAGAGGGGTTATAAACTTACATTTGATAGAACTCTTAATCTCGAGGAAGCGATGCTTCTCCGGTGTCTCTGCAGCATATGTGCTGTGAAGATGGAAGTGCTCCTTGAAGAGGTCGAACATGTGGTTGTCCTGCATGTCGTACACCGACTTGCGACCTGAAAGAGTAGCATGTCTTCCCTTGACCTTGAGAAGGGGTTCTCCTGCCGCAGTCTTGATATCAAAGCTATCGCCCGATAGCGACAACACTTTTTCCTTGAGAATAATGGTTTCGGGGACGCTCGCAATGGTTCGGTTGAACTGCCCGATAGGCGGGTTGATGAGGGGTAGTTGAGGAGCAGCCATTGTGAAGTGTTTAATAAAATAAGTGGTATCTTATATAGTCAAGTATACAAGTTAATGATGTATTAATAAAATACCAAGTAGCGAAGAAAGCAAAGGGGCAGTGTTTAAATATAGCATTCGCAAACAGGGCGGACTTAAAGAGGGAGCCAGCTGTCCACCAGTTGTCCACCAGCTGGCCAGCCTAATGACGTCAGGCCCCACGGCTTGGCAGCCTTGCGGTAAACATACCAAGGCCGGGCGAATCTAGTTAAGCTTAACTAAGAGGGTCTGTTTAAATTGGCCAATGGAGAAATATAAATACGAAGAAAAGAGAATAATGATTCATGGCTTTACAGTAATCCATATGCGAATCTTTTGCTTGTTAACTAAAACGTCCTGTATCTTTGATTAAACGACAATAACTGTTCTTTTCTTTACCACAGTGGCATCCGCGCTTGATTTACCCAGTCAATATTATTGGCTTCCGATTCAATGCGCGGATGAGTTGTTCCAAAAAGCCGATCCCATACTCTCGTCTGCTTGCCATAGTTGTAGCTCTTGCGATAGCCCTTGCGATGGTGCAGATCATGGTCCTCGACAGCAAGCTCGCACCCAATCCAAGTGAGAATCGGCGCGAAAGTAGATGGGGCAATGAGATGGACTCGCAGGCCGCTATGGCCCCAGACCTCTGTGTAGACGATATACTGCTGGCAGATCCACCACTCATAGAACCCTAATTTGAACCCAAGCGCCTCCATGCTGAAAAATGTGAGGAGCGGCACGACAATCATGTCAAAAATCTCTTGCTCGTCATCTGCATATGCAGAGAGCAGCGGATTCGGGTGCTTTGTAAGATGGTGCTTGCGGTGAAAGCGCCAGAGGGGCCCAATGTCATGCATGGCGCGGTGGTAGAGATAGAACCAAAAGTCTAAGACGACGGCATACAGGCCAATCTGGACAAACACCTTGGGCCACCACGACGGCTCGGACAATGCTTCCAGTGGAGAGACGGTCTTGTCGTATGCTAGGTAGACGAAGAGTCCGAGGCGGCCACCAATCGTTTTGAAGAGCGAATAGAAAATTCTTGCCACACCCACGTCGGGGATTCCATCGCGTTCATGCTGGTCGCCGTCGAGAAACCCGTGTATGTGACCGAGTTTTGCGAGGACTCTGACCTCATGAACTACCGAAAAGTTCAGAGCATTCATGTACAACAAGAAGACGGCCACCGGGTGCATGGATGCCACACCAGTGGTATAAAGATACATCTGATGAATGGCCAGAGGGATCCAGGCAAAGGAAAGAATCCAGACATGCTGTGACCACTGTGGTAGGTGCGGCACCTTGTCACTCTTGGGGTGGACTGGGATGGGCTGGCCAGCCCGAACAGGGTATACGTCGAGTGTGTCAATCAATTTGTGATAAATTTGCCATCGTGATCTGTCCCATTTGGGCCATGTTTGTTTCATAGAATCATTGGGATTGGGCGGCGAAGAGGTAGATGAAGAAGTCATGGCGAAGGTCGGTTGCAGAATCTGATACAGTGTGTCTGTATACAGGCGAGCGAGCTACTCCTAAAGGAGCGTTTGTGAAGGTGCCTTGTGTAGGCTGGAAGATGTAGAAGCGAATGCAGGTTGATTAATAGGGCCTTGGTATAGAAGCGCCTTGTAATATATATCGGTTTTGGAAGGGTGGCTACAGCTGCATAAGCAATAGCATCCTGTAACGGTAACAACAGTTTGACAAAAAAAGCATGTGCCGATGGACAGAGGTACGACGCAGACACGTTAGATGCCTAGAACGATCCCTGTGTAGATGGTGAATGAGGGGTACATGCATGATTTGGCTATCCTCGGTCATACGCTCCGCAAATAAGCTTCCTGGGGAACAGAAAGCGCCACACAATAGTGCCCACGTTCTCGCTAACCCACATGGTTACAGTACAAAGTAGAGGCTTTCTGCACCGTAATGGGGCGCTGTGACAGGTTACCTTGCCCGTCTGGTGGATCATAGCGCTAGCCAACCGAGGGTATACAAAGAGTATAGGGGCGGCCCCAAGCCATTAATACGCCCGACTCCGTGCCAGCTCTGCGAACAACAGCAGTAATTACAGTACCAGTAGCAGGAAAACAACCACGCCACAACGGCAATTGCATTACATTATACTGGTCCCTAACGCGAATAGAACATCATCTGACACGCCAACTGCTCCACGCGTCATCGTTTCCCTCTTTGCTAGAGCTAAACCGACGAGCTCCCCGGCAGATCTTTATCTATTTTCGTTGTTGTTACTGCACTCACTACTATGCCGTCCATCGCTAGGCACATCGTGGGTGGCAACGAGCCATCGTTGGTCTCGCGCATCGCCCTGAATCCCATTTTTACCGGCGCCGTTGTTATTCTTCTCCGAGGCGTCCCGGAACATGTCCGCAATAATCTTCTAGCGCGCCTGTCCATCTCGGCCAAGCACGATCTCTCACTGCCGACAACGCTCGCAACAGCCCTATTTGCGTTTAGCGTCGCGCGCTGGTTTAATGCTAAACTGAGCGATGTGTCTGCGAATGCTGGCCGCTGGAGTACCCCCAAGGGTTGGCATTGGCCCAAGGAAATCGCTCTCGTTACTGGCGGTTGCAGCGGCATAGGCCAGTGCATCGTAGCCAACCTCGTTGCCAAAGGTGTCCGCGTCGCCATCTTGGATGTTCAGGAGCTTCCGGCACCGTTTCAAAAGAACCCCAAAATCCGCCTCTACAAATGTGATATCACAGATTCAGAAGCTGTCGCAGCTGCCGCATCTCAAGTTCGCAGCGATCTTGGGCATCCTACGATTCTCATCAACAATGCTGGCATTACCAAGTCGCATGGGATTCTGGATGCGCCACAAGGCGAGGTCGATAAAATCTTTGCTGTCAACACCATATCGCACTGGATCACGGCCAAGGAGTTTGTTCCCAACATGGTCAAGACCAACCACGGCCATATTGTCACTATTGCCTCTGTAGCATCCTTTGTCGCGCTGCCCAAGTTTGCCGAATATTCCGCGACCAAGGCGGCAGCGTTGTCCTTCCATGAGTCGCTTACTGTAGAGCTGAAGCATATCTACAATGCACCAAACGTCATGACAACGGTGATTCATCCCAACTTTGTATCCACGCCGCTTATTTCCAATATCGAGGACGGACTCACCAAGCAGGGCGTGCCACTGCTTACCCCCGAGTTTGTGGCTACCAAGGTTACCAACCAAATATTTAGCAAGCGGGCTGGACAAGTCATCATTCCCCAGGGATCTACTGCCGTTAGCGGCATTCGCGCCTGGCCAGTGTGGTTACAAAATACGCTTCGCGACTTTATTGGCAAACGGCACGCAGCTCTTACTGCGTAGTGGCAGTTAGTAATTAAACCCCTTCTTTATTATACAGCAATATTGATGTCAAGAACCAGAATGTAATAAATTTCTCAATAATGATTTTGTGCGACTTGACTCTATGGTATTGTTCATATAACCGATGCTTGATGCTCTTCAGTACAGTACTTGCGTCAACGACCGCCGTATTTTCTCAAGCAGAAGAACACAGGATATCGATATTTACATATACAAAAAAGATGAAGCATCTGAATTTCTTCACCTGTTATCGCAAACTAGTCCGTCGGAGGTCGCCGGCGCATGGTAAACCGTATTGGCGCAGTGACCCGCGTGGCGTTGCGGCAGGGTCCGATTGCTCGCTCCCGATAAACGAGGAAATGCACATGGCTCTGGAGCCATGATACTCGGCCAACATGGATATCATTCAGTTCGGCAGATCGCGTCGCATAATAGCGTGCAGGTAAGCGCCTGATGGACGCTGTCTCCCGTTTTACCGGTAAAAGGAGCCGCATGCGATAGTAGCTGACCAACAAATGGCGGCTGGATGCTATCTTCCCCATGGGGTTGGTGGACAACGGTGGCGTTTACCCATCGAGTATAAGAAGGATCATGAATCAGTTACTCTTTTCTGCTCGATCAACGGACCATCGGCTGCTCTCCAGATACTGAGCACTCACCTACTGGTGAAATCGTTAGCACAAACCCGTCTTTCTCTTTCTGTCCACTTCCAAATGACCGTCTGCTTTGACTCGTCCAAGCCATTCAACCACCATGCAAGAACACGCTTCCACCGCTTTTGTCGGTTCCGATATCGAGCGGGGTGTGGACATGTCGTCGACAATGAAGCGTGAACAGTCTTCCATGGTGGAAGAATCGGAAGAATATCAAACTGCACCCGCGATGAAAGGTCGCCTCGTTTGGATCGCCAGTAAGCTCCATGTGGAGGAGCGAGGCATTGAGCGTGTGCCAGATGATGCGCGTACTGATACTTCGTACTGGAATATCAGTTCTATGGTGAGTGAATAATCTTCTAATGTGTTATAATACTAATGGTCTATTTGTATTAGTGGTTGGCTGCCAATTTGGTCGTCCCGTCCTTTACCATTGGTGTACTGGGACAGCCCTTGTTTGGCATTGGCTTTCTCGATGGTGCCCTAGTCATCATCTTTTTCAACCTACTGGGTACAATGACGGTTTGCTTCTTCTCTACCTTTGGCCCAGCATTTGGTCTTCGACAAATGGTTCTGTCTCGCTTCTGGTTTGGCTGGTGGGGAGTAAAGCTAGGTTTGTGGCAACGTCTCTGCTGGACACAGCGATTTCATACTAACGACAAATAACTAGTCGCGCTCTTCAACCTTCTGGCCGGTATCGGATGGTCTGCTGCCAACATCATTGTCGGGGCGCAATTGCTCAATGCTGTCAACCCAGATCTCCCTGGCTGGGTCGGAATCATCATCATTGCACTTTGCACCCTCTTCATCGCCTTCTTTGGATACAAGGTCGTCCACGCCTACGAGTACTGGAGCTGGATCCCCACCTTTATTGTATTCATGGTTGTCTTTGGAACCTTTGCCCACACGGGAGACTTCCGCAACGTGCCAATGGGCGTTGGTAAGGCTGAAATCGGCAAAGTGCTTACCTATGGCTCAACCGTCTTTGGCTTTGGCACCGGCTATACCAGTCTCGCTGCAGACTACACTGTGTATCAGCCAAGCAACCGGCCACGCAGACGAGTATTTTTGTCCGCATTTCTGGGTATTTACCCAACCCTGCTCTTTACGGAACTGCTTGGAGCAGCGATGGCCACTGCGATGACCCTCAACGGTGGCGACAACATCTATCAGGCAGGATACAACGAGTCTGGTATTGGTGGTCTGCTTGGTGCTGTCCTGCTCCCACATGTAGGGCTCTTTGGAAAGTTTTGTCTCGTCATCTTGGCCCTTTCTATTGTCGCCAACAACTGTCCCAACATTTACTCTGTGGCTCTGACACTGATGGTACTTGGCCGATGGACACGGCGCGTACCTCGATTTGTGTGGACCATCCTCGGGTCCATTGTCTACGTTGCCATTGCTATTCCCGGATACTCGCAGTTTGAGGCTGTGCTGGAGAACTTCATGCACTTCATTGGCTACTGGCTCGCGGTGTACGAAGGAGTGGCGTTGACGGAGCATTTCATCTTCAAACGAGGGTTTTCTGGCTACAATGTGGAGGATTGGGACAACCCATCGAAGCTACCACCTGGTATTGCAGCCGTCTTTGCCTTTGGCTGTGGCATCTGCGGCATGATTCTGGGCATGAGCCAAACGTGGTGGGTTGGCCCGATTGGGAAACTGGCTGGACCCGAACCCCATGGCGGCGACCTTGGCTTTGAGCTAGGCTTCGTCTTCGCAGCCGTAAGCTACTTTGTACTTCGAACGGTTGAGCTTCGTCTTTTCAAACGATAGACAACCGTCTCTTCTGTGGTTGGTGGCTATCCCGTTACTACTCCATGCACCCGGAGTACAGCACCAACCGCTGTTTTCACTTTTCAGGAGGCGACAATTTGCAACACCAGTCGTTTTAGCCTCTTTTTTTGTGATCATGTATTTGCTTTAATCCAAATTGCTGAATAGTTCTTGTTCTGCGTATTCCACCACTTCTGCTCGTAGTCTGTCCATGTGCTTTGGGATAGCTCTGGTTCGGAGATGTATGCCGAGTCATGCAACTACCTAGAAGGGAGACTCTGACATCCATGCATTCTACACGTGGCGTGGAGCTGCTTGTCTACAGCCTACAAGTACCAAAGACTGTTGGAGCTTATTTAAATTTGCCACGAATGAGAATGCGTAGATGCGCCCAGGCTGTGTTCCGATGGGGAAAGGGGCATTTATGGTTTCAATAGATCGAGCCAAATTCAATTGTATGGCCACGTAGAATGGATCGGTTCCTGACGCTAAAATACCTCGGCGCTAACGGAGGAAACCTTTTACGGTGTACGTATTGGGGGTATAGTCCTGTAATAGCACTCGCTCTATATCTTGAAGATAGAGCCACATAATCTTTTACATGGATTCCGACGCTTCCAAGTAGTTACAGCTTGCAGAGAGCAGAGACACTCAAATACATCGCTCTCTGGCTAACATGAATACCAACAATGGGGTATCTCTCTTCACGTACTGGACGAACCGTCTGGGGCGATTTTATCCGCCAGCAGACGAAATTGCGGACAATCTGGAAGCCGTCTGTAAATCACCTTCCCAACTCGACGCCGTATAGATTATGGGCTCGCAGCGTAGACCACTTTGGTGAGCTTGGGCGCGAGCCGGTGTAGCAGGATGGGTACCTGAGTCGCGTCGCATTGTGTCCACCATGGACCGACTGTGTCCAAATCGCTCAATTGTATAGGCAAGGTTCAACCTAGATGGTCAATGTATAAGTGCCGTTGTATGTATTAGACTCTGAGTGTCTAAATTCAAGGGTTGCTATCCAGAATACAATTAAGAATAGCCATAACTGAAATAAATACTCTTCACAGTGCTCTCTATTGTATCTTGTATGCTACAGTCAAGCTGTATACCGCTATTAGCGCTGGATTCAGCGCTAGTAAGCTCGCGCCTGCCCTACTCGGATACCGCTACAGCCCCTGGCCACTCCATGAGTCGTCCAGCTTCTAGCGTGACCGTAAGCACACCACATAGGGCTCCGTTCTGTAGAAAATCCAAGACGAACCTGTTTGGCCCAGACTAATATCCTCCATTGGACGAATCAGCACGTGGGGCCGAAACAAAAGGGTCCCCAACTTGATCCCGCGATTAGGCTTGATACCTACCCACTTGCCGCTATGGAAAGCGGATGGATATGTCGAGACGGAAGATTTCGTCGACCAGATCCGTGAATCAGCTTCACAAATTTACTCGGAGACTTGTTTAGAGCTCATATGGCTAGGGAGAAACAGTCTGTTGAGATCCACTGTAGCTCTATGGAATCAGAATCGAAATGATGGCATACGTTCTCATTGCCTTTTGACCACTGGACAGCTCGTCTCATAGGTGGTGATGGCGGGCTATGGTCTACCGGTTATATAAAGCACTATAACTGGCCAGCTCCTTCACAACCAGAAGCTTCTCATCATCCCTCAATCACTCTTTAACAAACACTTTCTTCCCTCTTCTCACTTTATCATCTACAACCATCGCAATGTTGGGCCAGGTCGCTGTCATCGCTACCACTCTTGTGGCTGCCACCGCTGCCGTCCCTACCACCCTTGATGCCCGCAGCAACGAGGACAAGTACGTTGCCTACTCTGGCAACGGCTCTACCAAGGACAAGTGGCCCGCCATGTCTGACTGGGCCAGCTACGATGAGCTCTGGAAGGCTAACAAGCCCTTGATGGAGAAGTCTTGCGGCTACAACAACTGGGGCGCAGAGAACTCCAAAGACGAGATTGCCGCTATCAAGTCCTCCATTGACGATGTTGCCAAGAGCTCTGGTGTCGACAAGCGCTTCATCCTGACCATCATCATGCAGGAGTCCAAGGGCTGCGTCCGTGTTCCCGTCACCGACAACGGCGTCCGCAACCCCGGCCTGATGCAGTCCCACGACGGAAAGGGCAACTGCGAGAAGACCAGCCCCTGCCCCAAGTCTGAGATCCTCCAGATGATCAAGGATGGTGTTGAGGGCACCAAGAAGGGTGACGGCATCAAGCAGACTCTCAAGACCGCCAAGGAGAAGACCAAGGACGATGGTGCCCGTGCTTACTACGCCGCCGCTCGTCTCTACAACTCTGGCTCTGCCGACTACAAGAACCTCAACGACGGCAAGGGCTCTACCCCTTGCTACGCTTCCGACGTTGCTAACCGCTTCACGGGTTGGACCCTTGCTGCCTCCAAGTGCACCGCTTAAATGCATCCTTTGCCTCTGATTCAAATGACACTGGAGCGTAGATCATGCAGAGCATGATTTTGTATATTCTTTTGTACATATATCTATATACATATCTCTATCCGTCTATATACAATGAAAAATGAACTTTTAGTCTCATAGTTGTCTACGTTTTTATACACTGTTGAACTCCTGCAATGATGTGTTTTAAAAAAGATAGTGATGGAATTGATAGAAAGGGAGAATTGTATATATACAGTATAAAGTGTGTACAAAGTTTGTAAGCGAATGAATATGTACAAGAAGTAAAAAGAGGCGACCGTCCCAAATATCTAGTTTTGGGCTGACTATGTTGAGTACTGGGCAACGTAGGCAACTTCCATCATGCTGCCATAACCATCTTGGGTGTTGCCATCTGGGTTGCCAGGCTATATACGTTGTTAGTTTTAAAAGATATTTATATATGTATTGCGGACAGAATAGTAGACGTACCCAGTTGCCACCAACGGCGACGTTGAGGATGAAGAAGACGTTGCTGTGGGCCACAGCGTTCCAAACGTTGTAGTTGTTGATGCGAGAGCCGGTGATGCGCTGGAATAGCTGGCCGTCCATGAACCACGAAATGCTCTGCTGCGTCCAGTCTCCGTTGGTGAGGTCCCATTCCACACGCCAGGTGTGCCAGCTCTGGTCGGGGATACCAATAGACGAGCCGATACCATTGCCCTCGTTGCAGATACCACCAGGAAACTGATCGCAGTGCATTGTACCGTAGCCAGTAAGTCTACCATCGACTGTCTCCAGGACATCAATTTCACCGCAGGCGGGCCAGCCACCACCATGACGGATAGAATCACCAAGGAGCCAAAAGGCAGGCCAAATGCCTTGCTTGTTGCCAGGGTTGTTTCCGCCGAAGCGAATGAGAGCCTCGGCACGAGTGACACGCCCGTTATTGGGACTGAAGACGTACTTGCTTTCAAGGCGGCCAGATGTCCATCCGTTGGGAGCAGAGCCATCTCTCCACGGGACGATTTGCAGCGTGTTGCCGCCACTCAACTGCACGTTGCGTGTGCTTGACGTGTAGTACTCCAGCTCATTGTTGACACCAAGACTGCCAGTAATCAGATTCCAGTTGCCTTGGTTGGGCGAGCTGCCGCCAGAACCACCAAAGGTATCAGTCCACACGAGGTTGAAACCTCCATAGCCAGGAGGGTCCCAAGCTTGGACTTGGCGGACGAGGCCTAGGACAGAGGCATAGAGAACCGGGGTGAGACGCATAATTGCGAAAGTGGGAATAGTAGATCAGGGTAAGGTAGGCTAGTAGGGAAGGATCGTCGATACTACACACTGACAGACAGCGGTATACTTGACATGGACAAAGCTTATATATATCTACTACGTCCGGCTTTTCCAGTACAGTGCCTATATTCTCCTTTCCAGTGCCGCGGATGACCGTGCACCATGCACATGGAATTCAATTTTGTTCGCCATTGGGCCAAAATCGGCTGCTTTGCCCGATTATTGGTTCTCTGGCCACAGACGACCAAATCACTTGCGGGATTCAGCCGGGTCTTGCGCGACCCAGGCCCAGCAGGACCCTCTATCAGGCGCTATCCTTCTAGGGAATGAGACGGCCATTTGACTAATGAGAGGCCGCTGCGCGCCGGTCGCATGGCCGAAATGTAACGCTGGTGTGTTCACGCTAGGGCGACCCCTGGAATTTGGGACAACGGGCCGAATGGGGATGACGGGTGCTGAGATGTTATAACATGACTGTGGCGCCCGAACAATAGCAGCACCTACCCCTAAAAAGAAGAGAATGGAAAAATCAAGCGCTGTATCGAAAGCAGTAGTGCGCACTCCTACACGGCGCTGCTTCTCGACCAATGCACAGTTTTCTGTTCAAGCAACGAGCATATCGCGATCCCATGGCTTTTTCTCTATCCCATCGAAAATGCCACCAAAAAAACGCCCCCTTTTTCAAATTCGGCAATATTCAAACGCCATGGCTGATGGAGAAGCGAATGTAGAACAGGGCAAACCAGCACGTTGATTGGCCGCCGACTACAATGCCCAAGCGTGGTGGCGTTAGTTAGACCCCAGGGGAAAGTCTGCACCAGGTGGGTTTACAGTGGCGCTGGAAGCAAACAGGTCACTCCTGCTGCAGTATCATCCCATCGGCCGATTCAGCACGGGTTTGATGTGCAGAGGCTGCCTAGTCACGGGGCCACCGTCACCTGTGCGCTGCAGCACAAGCACACAGTGAGCCAAGATGTATTGGTTTTCTCGACGGCGAGGTGCTTTCCCTGGCTTACTATTATCCAGCCATCTACTCCGTTCAAACCTTATTGCGGCATGGTGGGCACGTTACATTACACATCTCATCTGCAAGCCACACGGTTCGTCCTGCCTTTTCTAGTTTGTTTCATCATGACTGCCACGAGAGTAAAGGCCGACGAGCGACCGGACCGCCCGTTTAGGCAAAGTCCGTCGTTCAATTTCGACAAGGCTGCGTCGGTGTTGAAAGCATTCGTCTCTGCGCTACCCAGGGTTGCGCCGCGCCCGACGCGTACCAAATTTCCTCTTCGCTTATTGGTGTGCTACCCTGGTTTGTATTCACTTCGGGGTGTCCGCGTACTTGTAAGTATTCATTTGCTTGTTATCCTATACTAGAGAGCAAATATGTACGGCTGGTCAAACAAGCTGTCCCAAGGGCGGCTCGGCGATGGCCAATAATACCCTCCGTCGCGCCAGAGATTACCCAAATACGTATGGGCAACTATTGCTGATGCGGTGCCTAAATTTCGAGCAATCCAAACGAGTTCTCCCAATATGAACTTTGTGCTTTCGTAATCTGACGATGCAGTGGTCAGCCCAGCTACCATCAGAGGCCACATTACCATCTTCCGGTGGTGATTTGTAGGTATCAACGAGATACGACGAAGGGTTTGAAGCAGAGAGCCTTGGAATCCTTTGGCAACAGCCATTAAATCCATAAAGATCTGCTGGCCAGTTGAGTCCATAGTTTGAGTATATGGCAGGTAAAGAGCTGAGATGCAATATAGAGCCGCGGCCTTTTGATATATGCTCGCAATGTCGACCCACGATTCATGTGGCACGATTTCCACTGTCGCATCGTATTTAACACTATTATTATCCCCTTCATCGTCATCGTCACGTATCAGTATTAGTTGGGCAGCACAGGCTTCTGTTGCCCAATCGTGAACACTGATGGATAATATGCTTTGTAGTAGTCCTTTGGTAGCTGAGACCGCTTCTGAGAGAGTAGGAGGTGAAGATTCATTTACCCATCGCTGACGATTGATCTGCATTAGTAACTGAAGTATTGATGGTGGACATGGAATGCATGTTTCAATATTCGTCCCAAAATATGCTGGGATCAAGTCAACAACGTCAACCTGTGACTGGATAATATCGGCAGATACATTTGGCGATGTTGTAGCGCCAAATATGTCCACACTGGGCGAGATAGAGTTAGCAAATATAAGGCAAAGTAACGGTACCAGTTGATGAACTTACATGAGGACGTATTTTAATATGTGAGAATGGCTGCCTTCGATTAGGAGTTTCCGTAGCCCACCTCTGGCTCGGAAGATGGCGTGAAGACCATTAAAGTGCTGCCGCCATGGAGATGCCACCGTGCATTGCTGAATCTGTTACACAGTCAGATACAAAGTCTGATCATAGATCACTATGGTGAATTACTTGCCTCGGATAATAAAAGTGATATAACTGTGAGCAGTGTGGCATCACCAGTGCATAGGTTCGGGTCCGCTAAATCTTCACCTAACAGTCGGATCGCCTCTCCGCGGTGGCGCTGCAGCTTCTTGGCTAGTATTAGAGTCTTTTGGGATCCAATATCATGCGATGTTTGCATTATTCGATGCGCAAGAGCTGTACATATCATTGATTCCATCATGGCCTGCGGTAGGTATGGGATGAATATTGGGTCTATCCGGTAGGGATTGCTTGGGGAGTTCCATAGAAACGCTGCTGCATCCGGGATCATAACTTCGTTGTCTGTAAAGGTCAGTATGTAGACAATACATTGAACTGATATATATTGGTGCTTACAGTATTGTATACTCTGCATTATAGCGAGGGCGTCATGGGGGCGAATCTGTTTCGGCAAATGGGAGTCCACGGATCCCACCTGCGCAACCGCCTTCTCCAAGTATGCCGTCCGGCCTTTAGACCTTGTTTGACCTGGCTCTAACCATTTCAAAGGAGGTTTGTCATAGCCAGGACAGCTGATACCTCTTCGCCGACATTTGGCACAGCACGGCTGTTCTCCATCGCCTGTGTTGATTGATTAGCATGCGCGGACAGATAGCAAGATAGAGACTACGCTTACAAATGCGCCGTTTCCTGTGGCATTCCCAGCACGATGTCCTCATAATTCCGGTATATATGGCTATTCTCACAAGATGATGTTTGCGAATTGTTCCCGTGTGGTGAGACTGCCGAAAGAAAGTTTTACTGACCAAGGTGAGGCTGAACGGCTGATGGCCCCTTTTGCGCCTTATAGGGAGGAGATCTACCCTAACCTCAAATGGAAACCGGTGCTCAGCTATCACAGCCAACATCAATTATTATACGAATTAGATATTAATAGATGTTTAGGGGCATAAAAAAACGATCGCTAGATAAAGAAACCAAAAAAAGGCACAGGCAAAGAAAGCAGCTAAAAAAGCGAGAGCTAAACACGTTGAGACACCGAAGCAGACACCAGCTGAAAATCAAAAAGGTAAAAAATCGAACCAAAGAAAATCAAACAAGCAGAAATCAAAGAGTGCGACAAAGAAAGAAAGCAAAAAAACACAACAAAAACACAACAAAAACAGAAAAGAAATGATGCAAAAATAAGGGAAAATGATTCAAAAGCAATGCGGAAAGAGCAAAACCCAGAAAGAAACAGCCAGAAGTACCAAACAAACTTTCGAAAAAAAGGGCTGAGAAAAGAAGAACAGAAAGAAAAGAAAAACCAACCAGACTCCCCGCTGAAGAAAAGCAGATAGATGTGCATGGTAGAGACAATATGAAACTAAGAGCCGCCTAAGCTGGAATAGGTAGACGACGGGATGCACCACCCATTTACTGGGCAGCGGGCATCATACCAGGACGCTGAACAATAACCGGCAAAGGCTGAGCAGCGGCCTGCTGCTTCTGAGCTTCAGGCTGGGTTGTGGGCATGGGGATAGGCTTGGCTGCCTGCTGCTCTTGCTGCATCTGTGGCATTCCCTGCATCTGCTCCTGTTGCATCTTTTGCTGACGTTGAATCTGCTCCTGTTGCTGCTTAATTTGGTCTTGCTGCATCTTCTGCTGCTGGGTTTGGCCACCAGTGTTACCGGCGTTTCCCGTGTTACCAGTGTTGCCCTGCTGGTTCTGCTGCTGCTGGCTTCCCTGTCCGGTGCGATCCCTGAACATGTCTCTGTTGCGTTGATCGTGGTTCTGTTGATCACGGTTCTGCTGGTTACGATCCTGCTGGTTACGATCCTGCTGGTTACGATCTTGTTGGTTACGATCTTGTTGGTTGCGATCTTGTTGGTTGCGGTCCTGCTGGTTGCGGTCTCTGTTGCGATCACGGTTCTCTTGCTCTCTCTGACGGTCGCGGTGCTCCTGATCTCTGTTGCGATCGCGGTTTTCTTGATCTCTGTTGCGGCCTCTATTCTGATCACGGTCGTCGTTGCGGTCGTCGCGGCCGTCTCCATCTCTAATCACAGTTTGACGAACGCCAGGACCCGTGGTAAGCTGTCTTGTTTCGTTGTTGAGTCGGATAGATGGCTCAAAACCGCCCTGGACACAGAATCCGGTGCTCAGCGTCATTGTACCGGAGATTAAAGCTCTCTCGTTGCCCTCGCACTCCATGCGGCCCTTGACATGCTGACCCATAAGAGCGAAAGATCCAACAGCGTCGCTGCAAGATAGAGAGACAGCTGTGTTGAGAGTCATGTTCTCACCACGAGGAAGCGGGCTGCCCAAGACGCTGTATGCCTGAGCGTGGATGAACATGCCTCGCTGACCCATCTCGCTGCGGTAAGAGACAAAGATGCTACCAGCGTCGTTATCGAGGTTCTCATCGCGTGTGAAGCGGAATGTGACACTGCCCGTGTTAGGCTCCTCTTCAAAGTCGGTGATCATGGCCTCACGAGGACCGATGGTGGCCAGCTTGGAAAAGGTGCGATCCTGTCTGTAGGCAAATAAAGGAAAGTTGCAGTAGTTGTAGTAGGACACAACGCCAGCGCTTCTCTCGTTGCTGCCATCAGCGGCCGTGAAGGTCTCTTCGAGCTCTTTGCGAGCCTCAACCAGACCATTCGGAAGGGCAACTTGCTGACCGAGGAAGTTGGCCTTGTCTATGATGATCTTGGCCGAAGCGGCATTGGCCAGGGCCAAGGTAAGGAAAGTAAACTTGACCATGGTGATGTAGTGTAAGGAAGAGAAGGGTAAGAGTGTGGATGATGGGTTGATGGATAGAATTCCTTTTGCGATAGATTAGAGGATATTGAAGCTGCCTTTATACATTCATTCTCTCGTTTGACAGGAAGTAAAAGAATCTAAATTTATGCCCTAGCAAGATATTTCCCCAGTTCGCAAATAGCTCACGGCAGGAGCCAAGCGGGCGACGTTGATTCTATCACGACGCATGGCGGAATCTCTGGGTGTCTCGGGACTGCTGTTGTGTAATGATAGCCGAGAGACAGTTCCACTTGGCCCTTATTCCAAGACTTGGAAATAGGTAGAAATAGAAACCGTATAAAAGTATTCCGTGCTGCTACAAAAAGGGCCAATCCTTTTGGTAACAGGTCACGTAACGAGTTGCATCGACAGCGTTGTAGCTACAACAGCCATACTGCGTGGCTGCCAACAACGGCGGCGGGTATCCAAGCCAGACGCTAGCTTCTTTGGGACAATACGCGGATATGCGCGCGGGGCTCCTTTTTATTGTACAGCAAAAGTTGGATATGCAATAGCGCCTCTTCAGGCGAGGCAGACACGCACACCGCTGTGGAAACGGGGCGCTGTGTTTTTTCGGCTGATTACGCGCATGGCGTTGGTGGAAATAAGGCTTATGAGCGGAAATAGAAAGAGGAGCAAATCAATAAATACATAGCAAGATGCCATGCTGAAAAATGGCGCCCACTAGGCGACATCAGTTTGGCTATCTAGCTCTTGGCATCGCGTATCCAAGACACACTATACGACCAATCTAAGCCGCCATGGATGATCAAGTCCAGTCCATTCGATTTTGCCCCGGGCAGCATCCCACTGAATCCGAACAGAACTGGTACCGGCTGTCCTCGGCGCGAGAGCTCGGCGTCTGTTCGAGATGCTTTGCTGATTCGGTCAAGGCATCGGCCTTGACGGCCCAGTTTGAACTTAAGAGAGACTTGTCTGGGCAGGCCCGCTTCTGTAATTTTGCGACAGCGCGATCCCGGGCGCTCTTCAAACAAGCATGTGAAACGGGCGACTTTGCACCATGGAGAAGCTACTGGCAAGCACGGAATGCTATTCGCCAGTGTCCTGGCGTTGGTGTCGATGCGGATGCTGCCGATGGTGTCACTTGGTTTCAGATGGCCGATCCCAACCTGCCCCCAGGCTTCTACGCATGCGCAGCCTGTATAGCCGACTATGTCCAGGCTGGACATCTGGCTTCACACTTTTCTCCGGCTCCAAGTCAGCCACAGGGACAACCGAGGAGATGTGACCTGGCTTCGTTGTTTTCACGGAACCTGGTCGCCACAGAAAGCAACTGGTCCCAGGCCGCGAGCTGGCTTTCCTATCGCAAGACGCTCCCGCCATGCTCACAGGCCGCAGAAGTCGAAGGGACTTCGCGAATGTGGTTCAAGCTACGATTCCACGAGTTTCAAAATTTGTCGGCTTGCGAGACGTGCTATTATGACCATGTGCATACTTCCATCGCGCAGGAACATTTCCATCCCACAAGACAAGCTCTGCCATCACTTCCTGGCCAAGTTTGCTTTCTAGGAGGATCTATGCCCCTCAGGATTTGCTTTGACGAGGCCAAGAATAGATCCAACTGGGATGTTTTCCATCGGGGTGCTACGGCATATGTCCGTAATCCTCTTTGCCATAGAGATGGTATTCAACAGGGAATTTGGTACTCGGTGCAACCGGCGCAGGCAGAGTTCGATGTATGTGCGTCGTGCCATGCTTGTATTTTCGAAGCCCTCAGCTATGGCCACTGGCTCGCACCGAAACAAGTTCCCCCAGGTCCGCGCCTCTGTGATTTGAACCTGCTCGCACCACTGGCACCAATCTGGTATAAGAAGATTGACGCAGCTTTCGAAAGAAACGATCCAAACTTGATGGCGTATAGTGTTCAAAAGGTTCTCGCTGCGCCAGCGTGCCCTGGTAATACTGTTCACGAAGGCAAAGTTTGGCATACACACGACATGTTTACCTGCTGCCCCTCGTGCTGGATCACAGCACCCATCGAAGGAACGACATTTGCACACATCTTTTCCGACGAGGTGCTTGTACCGACAAAGCTCCGATGTGATTTCTATTCTGCAAGAGTTCGAGGGCTCTGGCTAGAAGCTTGTGTCAAAGATGATATAGCATCATTCATAAAATTCATGCAGCATCGTCTCGAGGTATGGAAGCAGACGTACCCACCCATTCAGCAGCATCTGGCCATGATGCGAATGAATGCACAGCGACAAGCCACCCTGATGATGGCTTCTGTTATGAACACGGGAGCCAATAACATTGCCGCCGCCTCGGGCTCATTTGGTAATTGGGGCAGCGCGTCCACAGGCTGGGGCTATGAGACATTTGCTGGTGCCCAGGGAGCTATGCAGTTTCAGCAGGGTGTTGCTATGAATACCTCCAATGGAGGGGCGATGATGAGCATTGTGCAACTAGAGGCGATGTGGAAGGCTGTAGAGTAATGCTGCGCAAGTGTGTGTCAGCTTATAGAGCATTCGCGTGTGCTTTTCATCTTGGCGTAGAGGTTGTAGAAGTAGAGCAAGATGTAAAATAATTCATAACATATAATACCGATACTATCCGTACATTCCTTATATACTGTTCTTTTCTTCAATATAACTTATACCATTAATAAACACTTAGCAATCAGCCAAGTTGATAAGACCGAAGAATCCTCCAACCTCGGGAATAACACTGCCAGCAGTGCCAATCTTCTGGAAGATCTCACACAGGCCATCCTCATCCTCAAGTTCGACGGTGATTTCCATGTGGCCCTTCTCGTTGCCGTCACCGAAACGGTTCAGGATCATCTTGGAGGGGATGGTGAACTTGGTCTCGAAAGAGAATCCGGGGGTCAGACTGGGCTGGTTCTCGTGGGCAACAACCTTATCGAGAATGTTGCGGACCTGAGTGTTGAATTCATCCTTGGCCTCGGGAGGGAAGATGGCGTCGATCGTGATCTTGTAGTTGTAATGCTCAAATTCACCAGAGCACGACGAAGTCTTGCACGAGTCCATGATCTTGTCGTGAAGTTCGTTCTTGAAGTCGGTGTGGAACTGGTCGCAGTCCTCGGGATGTTCATCTCCAGGATGACCGCAAACCTGGGTGTGTACCTTCTTGGGAGCATACCAGTCGAGGTTGGAGTGGGCATCGCCAGCAACAACGCCGGTAGCGGCAAAGAGCATGGTGGAAGCGAGAGCAAGGGCAGTCTTGGCGAACATTGTGATAAGATTATATGGGATTGACTTGATTTTACAAACTATGTATTTACTTTGCTTCGAGGGATAGCATCTCTTTATATACAAGTCTTCCCAGCAAACTAGTCAGACAGGAACAGTCGTCCTTGGCACCCAGACCGTAAAGCAAGGATCGACAAGAAAATATTAAAAATTGGGTTGCCTGACTCGGCATTGGTTTGTTCTCTTTTTCAGGCACACATACGTCAATACTTCACAATTGCATGGATGCCCATAGGGAAGCGACCACTGTATTGTCACTAATTCCCGGTTCACAAGGTATCGCCAAGTCCTCTAGGGCTGACATGGTGGAGAGCAACACCCCACAACATCGTCATCAATTAACGAGAAGTATCCGAGGCTGCATTGTGAGTGGTCCAACATATGGTTTTCTGGTTCTACTTTAAATTTCAGCTTTAAATCCGTGTATAACGGTACACTCCGTCTCTCTGTATACGCTCTTTGCCGTAGTCTGCCAAGACATTATACCCGGCGTATTTAGTTGCTAGTCGTACATCTAAATTAGCCTGAACATCGTGTACTCCGCTGCCTTGGCTAATTGGCTATACTCCCAAGTGCACCTGACAAAACGGTAAGGAACTTTTGTGATTGCATGATTTCATGTTATTATTATTCTTTATTGGATTGCAGAGCCCGGTGGTTCAGCCACATGTGTATGGTACTGGATACATGTGCAGTTCGTTGTACAATGGTACCTTGTATCGGTGCAGCTCAAGCGTTTTCGAACGGATATAGTTACTCTATCTGCCAATAGAAAACTTTATCTAAAACAGTCTATGAATGGAGTTACATTCCAAGGGGTATTGTCGTTGGCCCCATTAGAAGCCAGCGGCACTGCAGATCGTTCCAGCCTGGCTCGTGTATTTCTTGTACGCGTCGGGAACAGCGGAAACCTGAACCTTCTGGCACAGTGTCGCAACATCCATTGTCTGCCAGCCGCTAATACCGGCCATCTTGGCCAGGAATAATCCTGCGGAGCAATCGGCTGTCATGTCGCATTGAATGTTGGTGTAGTACTTGGCGCGTTGCTGGAAGATGCCGACACTGTCGTGATCGGAGCCGAGGCCGTCGTGAGCGTAGTTCAACGATGAGGGCACGGCGTTGTTGGCAAGGATTCTGATACTAGACTATACGACATGTTAGTATTATTTCGGTAGTATAAACCCGACCATCGACGTCTTTCCAAAGTCATTCTTGTATACGTACCTCTGTGAGACCAGTAGTAATGGCGGCCAAACATCCCTGGCGTCCAAGGTTTCTTCTCTTAACTTCGGCAATGATGCCGTTGGCATTGCGGCTCTGAACACTGTTAAGAGTAGGCAGGTTACCGCCGGTAGGGGGAGGGGGGTTGCCTCCACCGTTGCATGCTCCAACAACCATGCTTCCAGTGTTCGTCTGCACATACCAATCAGCCACATAGCAGTTGTCGGTTGTCTTATCCCAGAGCTTGTCGTTATTGATGCTCTCGCCCTCGGTCTGGCAAGTCAGGGTCACCATGTCGCCCTTGTTATACTGGCGCACAACACTGGACTGGGTGTTGGCCCCCGAGCGGCAGTTGACATTGTCGCCATTGATAGGGTACGCCTTGGCATTGCATTCACCCACAACCATGTTGCCAGTGTGAGTCTCGACGTACCAATCAGCAACATAGCAACCGTCTGTGGTCTTGTCCCAGAGGCTATCATTATTGATGGACTCGCCGTGAGTCTGGCACGTGAGCGTCACATCATGGCCCTTGTTGTAGGTTCTCACGATGCTGGAGCCGGTGTTGGGTCCGGAGCGGCAGTTGACATTGTCACCGTTGATAAGGTATGCCTGGGTAGCACCGGCAAAGGTGAGGGCAAAGGCGACAGAGTAACGCATTTTGAAAAGAGAAGTAGTGATCAAGACTTGATTGCTTTGGTGTTATACAGAACAAAGACAGATCAGCGCAACGGCAATCCTTTATACTTTATGGCCCGTTGAGTCGAAAGTAAGCATGTCTGTTTTATGCCTTCGAAGCAGGCATTGTCGGATGAAATCTATGGCCGTACACATATAATGACTCGAAATTATTTGCGTCATGCTCTAACTTAGTCGGGGCAAAAAAGTGGCAACGCTCTGCAGCTGAAAGCGAAGCTATCCCAGTCGCTACCAAGTTATCTTGAAACGTGCCTGCTATATGTGGGCCTGCAAGGCAGAGCTGATGCTATTAGCCTTGGCGTCTATTGAATCGGCACTCCATCTTACCAACTGGAATAATTGTTACCGAGTCAAGGCCTAAGCGACCTTCCTTGATATAATTGTGCATATGTATTTTTTATGATTAAGGACATTATAATGGCGCATGTCGTACACCTTATTCTCATTGAAGAACAATGGCATCTAGAATATCTTGTAGTCGCCCAGAAACAAAAGTTTATTGTGTAAGCTACTCAGCCTTGCTAATTGGGGGAAACCTTGGTGGCGCAGCCGGGTCGATGATGCCGCCCTGGAACCCCGAGTTATCAGCTGCCGGCATGCATGCCTGTTTCAGCATCTAAGGGCCTCTCAGCTTCAGTGTTGGGCTGATTGGCTGGATCAGTTACGAGCATCCATAATCCATGCTGGGCTAGTACGGAGCTGATCGGCAGGCAACAGGACGCCTTGCGCTAGGCAGCGCATCTACATTGACAACGTGACGGAGGTTTCTGGGTGCTCATATAGATTATGCTCGGCGGCATAGCAGTAGGGAAACAATATGGTGTTCTTTGCAAGACTGGGCGTCGCGATAGAATAACTTGCGATGGTCGATGCAAGAGAGTCCAAACCAACTGCCAATGTTGTGTCGTCGGCAAAGCTGCACAAGAACTCCCCAAAGGCATCTGGTAATGACATCTTCAAAGCCATGATGTCGGGGACGGCAGTAAAACGACCCGCATCAAGCCAAGCGTCCGATACCAAGAAACGAAAGCCTAAACCATTACCAGCAACCTACGCCCATCTACCTCTATTACCTGATGCTATATCCGATGGACTCTTGGTATTGTTTGTTGGTTTAAATCCAGGTTTGGAAACAGCTAGATCTGGTCATGCGTATGCGCACCCGACAAACCATTTCTGGAGGCTCCTTTTCTCGAGCGGAATCACGCCCCGAGCCTGTCGACCCGAAGAAGATGGCAAAATGCCCGAACTCTATTCACTTGGGCTGACCAACATTGTCAGCCGGCCGAGTCGCAACGGCGCCGAACTAAGCAAACAAGAGATGGACGATGGCGTGGCACTACTCCACGAAAAAGCGCGCAAGTGGCGGCCTGAGTCAATGTGCATCGTTGGAAAGAGCATTTGGGAGAGTATCTGGCGTGTCCGACATGGAAAGTTACCTGGCAAGAACTTCAAGTATGGCTGGCAGGATACATCAGAGAATATGGGCGTGATTCGGGGTGAGTGGAAGGGCGCGAGAGTATTCGTCGCTACTACAACAAGTGCACTGGCAAAGAACATGTCCATGGAGGATAAGCAAGAAATATGGGACAAATTAGGGTCATGGGTTATGGCAAGGAGGATAGCAAGGGAAAAAGACAAGGTAGAGGCAAAGGAAGGCGCAGAGGCTGAAGCAGCGCTTAAAAAAGATTTGCCTACAGATCTATCTAGCGTCAATAGTGATGATACGACAACATAGCTTAGCATTTATGAATCTGTATATATATATATATAGCTGAGAAGCCTGTATTGCGCGTTAGCCGCCAAAGAAATACGCATCATACTACATGCGGATGCTGTAATAAGAAGGTCTTTAATATGATCGAAATCTCCATACCCTGGATTTTACGACAGTAATATCGCACAAGGTGATCTAACCCATGACTCGGGTGGCCCCTGCTGCTCCAGCTTCTTAAACGGCACAATAGCGGTACACATATTACTCTCACCATTTCCACTAACAAAAAGAGAAAAAAAAAACGCATCTCACATCTCCAACGGAAGCAATGTGGACACCAGGCGGTCAAACCCGACGCATGCCGCACGGAAGCGCAACACCGCGCCCGGCGCCGGCCCCGGAGTGTCAGCCACGTCGTTCTTGTTGAGAAATGCATCGCAATGGCTTCACGATCTAGACTGACTCGGATAATAGCGGTGCGTTTTGGCCCCGCGGAACCCGCTACACCGCACATGATCAGAAAAAAATGAGTAAAAGACATGCATGCAGCTGTATGTCATTTAAGATCAGCACGCCAGCTTCTTATATGAAGCTGAAGAGTACGAGGAATGCTGTATTTTGATATTTCCAAGAGTCCGGGACTTCAAACTCTTGTCACAATGGCGAAAGAACACCACACTGCAGAAATCTTGACAGCGCCGCCGTCGCCTCCCCAATTTGCTACCATGAAGGAGACTAGCAAATCTCCTCTGGCTAACCCCGTAAGATGACAATGACAGAGTGTGGCTTTGTTCGTCATCAGTATAGGCGCCTAACATTGGTTTCACAGGCTCCATTGGCCATGGGCGGCTTTGCGACTACCCTACTGACCCTGTCCCTCGCCATGATGAACTTTCGCGGTGTCACTGTGCAGACTTTCTTTATTGCCAACCTCTGCTTTGTGGCTTGTGTCGGTCTGCTCATTAGTGCCCAATGGGCCATGGTACAGGGTGATACCTTCACATATACTGTGTTGACTGCATTCGGTATGAAACTGAAATCAGGGCTCGTGTGTGTGTCATTACGTTACTAACGTGTAGATTGCAGGACTTTTCTACGGTGGCTACGGTACAGTCATTATGCCTTCTCTTCATGTTGCGGAATCCTATGGTGGCTTCACACCGCAATACTACAACGCATTCGGCTTCTTTGTCCTGAGTACGTAGTATTTTCAATACTGTTCTGCGTTTTAATGTCCAGCAAACTAACTATCTGCTCAGTTTGGGCCGTTCTCAACCTCTTCTTCCTCCTTGCCTCGATCCGAATGTAAGTTTGGGCAAGTTCAACAATCAGTTTACCTACTAACCGGGTATAAGCTCCATTGTATACATCATGGTCTTTGCCTGCATTGAGCTGTGCCTCATCTTCGACGGAAGCTCTCAGTTTGCCAAGGCCGACGGCAACGACGATATGTACGCGCGACTACAAACTGCCGCTGGTGCCTTTGGCTTCTTGGCCGGCTTGCTGGGCTACTACAGCACAGCCCACTATCTCTGTCAAGATGCCCTAGGCTTTGAGCTGCCCATGGGTGACACCTCGCACTGGTCGCTGACGAAGAAGAACAAGACTCATCTCAACAAAGATCTCGAGGTCTAGATGTTGTATAGCCAGTCTTTATTCCCACAAAATCACATCACAGTCCAGTATATTCGACTACACAAAAATGATGACACGAACATCTACAACGGGGGGGACTTCGATCGACACGGGACGAAACGTGGGTTGTGACTACGGACAGATCGCATAACGCTACCCCTACCGAAAAGTTTTGCTTTTAAAGGATGATACCAAAATAGCAAACTATGTAGATACAGCTTGCATCCTATAATTTTACTTCACACTTTACTCTACCGAGTAGGTGTCTCTTTACCATATACCTGAGATCTATACAAGCCCCATCAGTGTACAGTCAAAATATCGCTAGAAGCCTAAAAAATGGAAACAGTGGATATATTTACGGCAAGCAGTCTTAATCTGAAACTAAATACATATAAAACGGCAATCGTTTTATGGGAGGTCCAAAAAGTACTTGAGGAGCTCAGGGTACTTGGGCGTACCGAGGCCAGTAACAGGGTCCCAGCCTTCAACGGCAGAGAATCCCTTGCCATTGCAAGTAGCATCGCCAAGGTGCGCACCTAGAGTTACATCGCGAAATGCGCTGGGGTTCTTGTACAAGGCCGGGTTGGCAAAGCCAATGACCTTCTTACCGACGTTGAGGCGCTCCTCATTAATGCGGTTGAGGATGGCTGCAAAGATGGGCGCCGACATAGAGGTACCTCCAATGCGGCCAAACTTGCCCTTGAATGCAATAACACCATAGTCTCCGACAGAAGAAACATCGGGGAAGCCACGACCAATGCGGTTGTAGATGCCGCCGTTGTTGGGGACGTTGTTCTCGGAGGTGTTGTAACTGGGGAATCCAGGGTCGTGCTTTGCGAAGTAGCTAATAGCAACAGTTAGTGTAGTCCTGGTCAGATGGATGCGTTATGTAAACTCACGTAGCCAAGGCATCAGTCTGGTAGGACGGGGCAGTCCAAATGTTGCTAAAGCCGCCGCCAGATCCGAAGCGGATGGTAGCAGATTCGGGGTCTCCAATCTTGGAGCCCGCAGGTAACAGTGTCGCACCAACAGAGGTGACATAGGGGCAAGATCCAGGTGCCGCAGGGTTGAAGATTTCTTTGTTCTTGCCCTTGCAGTCTTTGCCGTGGCCGCCAGCAACGCCGCCATCACCACTAGCAAAGACAAGTGAGCTGCCCTGAAGGCCGAGCTTGAGGAACTCGTCACATTGACGCTGTTTTGTGTGGTATTAGTATATGTGTTTTTTGAACTTGTGAGCATCAAAGCTTGTTACATACCTTGAGATACTTGGTAGGCCAAGCCGATTCGGTCAGGCCGTATGAAAAAGAGATGACGTTGGCAGGTGCAAGAGTGCCGCATTCTTCAAAGAGCGTGACGCCGTCGGTAAGTATGTCGTCACCGCCGTCCTTGGAGCAGTACGAGCCATCAACAGCATCCAGGAACTGGTTTAAGAATCCTAGAGTGGTAAGACCATTAAAGTTGCTGTGCGTCTGGTAGAGAACTGTGCTTTGAGGGTACACCACGGGAATGGCGACGTCAAAGTCCAAGGCAGCCTCACCTACAGCGTTGTTGGGGTCCGGCTTGGTAATCAGGTAATCAATGAGATGGATGTCGGGGCCGAAACCCTTGGGGATGTTGGGTGCATATGTACCATAGAACATGTCCAGATCCTCTTGTGTATGCTCCTCATCATTAGACTCAAAGATACCAAGCTTGTTGTTGGGGTTCGCAAGCGTGGTATCAGAGATGTTGTAAAGCGCCTTGATGCAGACGGGTGTCATGTGGCTAGCACAGTCGTCAAGTCCTACCATCTGCATGTTAACGACCAATGTTGCTATATACTAGAGCTTCGATTCACATACCGTCAGCTGTAGCAGCGGCTGCTGCCTTGTTTTGGTTTGGATAGGGCTCAAATGGGATGACTCTGGGGAATGGCGCAGTCTTTGTTTCATCGCGTTTCTCTGTTGCACGTCTCTTCTTGACCTGGGCCATGGCAACACCAGGCGTGATAAAGTCCACGTGAGGTGAGACGCCCGAGGGTAGCATGTAGCTGTCGGTACCAAGATGCTCCGTGTTGCTCTCAGGATGTGAATAGAAGCTATAATCTGTCTTGAGCATTGATTCAAGCTTGGATACAGTTGTTGCAAACTCAAGCCAGCCCTTGCTGCTTCCAGACTTGATCTCATTGGCCGGAATGCCGCTCTTGATCAGCCAGTTGGTGACGGTATCAATCGATTCGGCACTAGGAGCAAAGAGTTTCGCAACTTCGGCCTTGGTATAGTGGTTTCCGTAGTCCTTGGAGGCAGGATCGGATCTGGATGGTGCCGTGTTAGAAGACAGAGCTGCCAGGATCCGCGGGGGTTAAAGACTTACACGGCGAGCAGGTATTGCATGCCATTTTCCAAGTTGCGCTGCTTGAGAGCAATGCGCACAGGGACAATTGTATCGGTCGCCGGTGCAGACAGCTGTTCCAAGACGGCCGTGGTAGCTTCACGAGTCTCATGGACGACGTGGTCCAGAGGAACGCCAAACGTAGCGGCCACAAAGGCGCTCAAGAAGACTGATGCGACCTTCATAATTCTTCAGATGACAAGCAGGAATATGTAACTTTGTGTAGCTTGGTTCAGAAATCAATAAATAACTGTGATCAAATCCTAGTACGCAAGTCCAGAGAGTTGTTCAGCTTGTACAATGGCCAGCCATCGCTGCTACTTATACTCCGACTCGGGCACATGCTGCTCCTCGTCCACAATAGCGATTGTGCAATACCGCCAACCTCAAGGCAAGTTCCATTCGCGAATACGCTATGTGTCACGCCTGCTGCACACACAACTCGTAGCTTGCGCTTAGCGAGGCCACCAGAGGTCTAGAGGCTGCCATCCTCCATCTTGCAGGACCTACTAAACTAAATGGAGAAGGTAGCTGCAACACACCAAAACACTAGCTCATCGATAGCTCGAGCTCTTTGTAAAGCGCAAATAGCGCAGAAAAAGACGCTATCGCCTACGAAATAGGAGTGTTGGTGACACTTATGGCTTGATTATGTCTACAAAGAGATTCATTGCCGTCTTATTGTCTCTACTTGGCATCGATGAGGCGTTGATCTTGCTTACTTTGTCCTAGCCCGCCTGTCGCAGATCCGATTTTCAGTGGCTTTGCTATAAAACATGTCGAGGCCCGCTAAATTAGCGTTCCTCTTAGCGACCAAAGCCACCGGGACAACGTGACCCCACGATAAAGAACCCCCGCAGATACTGTCGCGTGTCTGTATTGGCGAGCCCGAGTCATAGGTGTATTGCTCCATCTGGGGACCAGCCAACTGCCGGAGCACGTCGAATTATTGGAAGAATGCCTGCTCGGCCTGGGGATGGGGCCCTATTGTGCCATATCGGGCCTCCATTGTAAAAGGGACTTTTGTGGAAATTTATCGACCATTTATTGGATCTTTTGGTCATTAATCGTCCCCCTCAGGGCATAATTGCTCTCCTGAACCCGACCAATAGATACGCTGCCGTGTAAGTGATATTCTACCTTGTCCACCGTGCTTGTATAACCAATTACTACGATTTATTAGCTACATCGGCCATTGGCGCCGTCTAAATCAGTCGTAAAAGTCGATAGGACGAAGCCAACTATGAAGCGGTTCACTTTGGAATCAAAATCGTAAAATAGTCCATTTGAGGACTAGTGCCAGTGGCTGTGTGAACATGGACATGCCTCTATCTATCCACTTGCAGTATACACCGTACCCCGAATTTCCACTTCCTTTCCCTCCGGAACCCATACTGCCTCGGCCATCGAGCAACCTCCCTTGTCTCGCTTCCACCCCTCATCGCCCTTCTCTACCGCTTCTGCTGAAATCTCCTTGCCGAAGATATCAAGCCAGATCTGAGTATCACGAATTATGGAGAAGCCACAGGCACGGTAGAGATTGAGTCCTCCCGATTCGCCAGTCACATACATAATCTCGTTGTGGTCTTGGCCCCAGCGAATGAGTGTGCGGGCGACGCCTTGGCGACGATGAGACGGAGAAACACCAATGCCATACAGATGCAGAGATGGGCTCGAGGTAGATAATGACGGCGGCATAGCTTTGCGCGACCGAGCCAATGCTTCCACATGGGATGTAATGCTCGGCGGTTCAGGAGGGTTAGGGTGTTTCGCGTGAAACAATTGCTTCGCTTCTTCGAGTATGGCAGTGACAACTAGTTTTGGTCAGCATTGACAGAAAATTAAAATTTCCAGAAGAATCGCGAACCAAGCTTGTCCTCTTGGGGTCTCCATTGGCGTACGACAATATTTCCATCTTTCAGAATTCGTTGTATCCAGATGGCCACGCCAATAACTTCATCACGAGCCCCTGCTGCGGCTGCTTCCACTGTAACAGGGACCACCGCAACACGAATCATCTTGCCGGGATCCAAGAAGCATGATGCCATCCAGTCTAGCATCACGCAATACAGCCATCGAGAATCTCCAATTGTTGTAGGTCGCTGCCATATGGTACCATCATCTGGCGAGTCACAGATGTGCTGCGCAATGGAGGGTAGATCCTCTGGTACTGCGGTGCGATATACTAGCTGTGTTGTCATCTTGTTTTACTAAACAACAAGAGGAAACTATAGAAATTACACTAGGCCAAGGCCGTAATATATACTTTGTGCTTTCCTGTGTGATTGGCCTCTGGAAATATAGCATTGACTAATTGTTAATAATAATTTTTGTGTGAATCAAACAAAGCTGAATGCGTGACTCACTGAGGCTTGTTGGAGCGAGTTGCGAGGCGTTGTCAAACCTTGCATACGCTCCACAAGCACCATTTACTTAATTAACTTAATGCAACTAATTTCACATTTTGTTTCTTTTGCATTATTTGCTATACATATTTTTCACACATATCTCTTACTTGTTTTGTTTGTCTATGACGCCGTTGATTGGTCGATATTTTAGTCTGTCGGGACGGAGACTATGTTGCAGTTAGTCTTTTATTAATTTCTGTACCGCATGATAATATGAAATCTACAAGTTTAAAGCGTTAAGCAAGACTTGTAGGAGTAAGTATTGAAGGATCATTTATTTTCCGCTCAAAGTAACGCTGATATTCCACTGAGAAATGCCGCATCAGGCTGTTTGATAAGGCTCTCAAGACAGCTGGGCTTGTATAATTTATCCTTTTTCCCCGCCCGACGATCCGAACAGTTTCACAACCTCATTCTTGATTCATCACTCTATGAGAATCCGCTCATAAAAGTACTAAATATCCTACACTATCACTTATTCATTCCTGCCTTATTCCGCTGTTACAATGGGTCAGGGTCCGTCTCAGCCCAAGCCGGGCACCAAGTTTCGCGTCATCGGCGCCGGCATGTATGTCTCCGACGGTGGATCTGCTCAGTATATCAGTGAATCCAACTCACAATTTATAAACAGGTCCCGAACTGGCACGAAATCGTTTTCCGAAGCCCTTACTATTCTTCTTGATGCGCCTGTTCATGATGCTGGCGTTGAATCCATTGGAGGGCCAAAGCATCATCGCCAAAACTGGATGGAGGTGATGCGGCTGGCGCCCAATGCCAAAACCTCCGCCGATGACAAGAAGGTCGATGCTCTGCTACACAAACTTCTTGATGGCTACTGCGCCACTGTTGACGTCCCGGCCAATATGCTAACACCAGAGCTTCTACGCGTCTACCCTGACGCCGTTGTGATTGCCACTACGCGCGACTCAGCGTCGTGGTACCGCAGTCTGCAGCGTATGACGGCCATGACCACACCGACCTATGTCCACATCATTGTGTACTGGATCCCTGTATTTGGTGATTTCCGCAAGCATTTCCTCGCCCTCCAGAAAGTCTTCTTGTGGCGACTTGGAACAAAGGATCTGGCGCTAACAGACCTCCAACGACATGAAGACATGATCCGCGAATGGGTCCCTGCTGAGAAGCTTATTTGGTATGAAGTTCGCGACGGTTGGGGGCCGTTGTGTAAAGCATTAAACGTGCCGATTCCAGATCGGCCCTTTCCACACAATAACAAACCTGACGATGGTGTCTATTATTTCCGGTACTTTATGATCTTTGGGCTGAGCCTCTGGGCTCTAGTTCTTGGAGCGGTCTATCTGGCGGGGTACATGATTTGGAACCAGTTTTTCAGATGAAGATTTTAGTGTTTATTATGAATACTTGAATTCTCAATTATGAAGCTTGAATTACTACCTGCCCGTTGACATGTCTCTACCACAGGCGGATAAAGCACAGACAGAAGGCTATGAAACGTCTTCCCAATAATCGCCTTACTGTAACTAACGGTCGCAGTGCATGAGCCTATCAGAGGTATATGCGACAGATCCAGTGCCGAGCCACTGATCGCCTCCACCAACTAAACCTAACTCCCCTGCGTCCGGGGAATACCGACGTCAGTGATGGAGCCGCCGTTGGCTGTGCATTCCGCAACGAGTCAAACTAGGCGTAGCGTTGAGGCTGAGCCACTTTTTAGTGTTCCTTTAACATTCTAGGTGCTCCCAGGAGTCCCCGAATGCACCCTCTATTAACACTGCGCCGCTATTAGTATCCATTTCATCTACTTAATTTTTCAACACTGCCTTGACCGTCAAATTTTGGTTTCTTGGCGGCAGATTTCAATCTCTCGTACAGTGTTGCGACTCAAACAGGCAACGACTGCTATAAGGAGCCATTGACTGGCGACGCAACCCTCCATCCATCTGTACTCTGCGCTGTATCTACACATTTCCATCCATCTCACTACAGCAATATGGCGCAACACATGCCGACCAAATTCTTTCGCCCTGCCGAATGGGACCGTCAGTCTGCCGTCCTCATGGCGTGGCCCGCCCAAGCAAACGATGCCTATGAAGACTCAAGAGATCTCAAGGCTGCTACAAAGGACGTCTCGGCTATTGCAGATGCTGTCGCTCTCTTTCAACCAGTCGTCATCATGGTGACCCCGGAGCGCCTACAAGATGCGCAGGAGAGGTTCAAGCACACCAAGAATGCCAGCGTTGTCATCATCTCGTATTATCACAAACTAGATCTTTGGATGCGCGATATGGCACCCACCTTTGTGGTGAATGATGATTCGAACAGCGCCCAGCTCTATGGTGTCGATTACAACTTCAATGGATGGGGCAATAAATATCCTACCGGATCAAACAGATCTCTGGCAGATATCATTCTGCAAGGTCGATACACGCCAGCCATCCGGTCAAATCTTGTGGGCGAGGGAGGTTCATTTGAAGTTGATGGCGAAGGCACTGTCATTTTAACAGAAAGTTCCGTCATCATCGACAATCGCAACCCTGGTAAAGGGAAGGCAGAAATCGAGCAGGAGCTTCAGCGAACGCTCGGCGTGGAAAAGATTATCTGGATCCCTGGCAGACGAGGCTTGGAGATTACGGATAGCCACATCGATGGTCTTGTCAGATTCGTATCCCCGGGCAAGGTTTTGCTGAGCCGTCCGAACAATGTTGACGAGGGTGGTGTCTGGGTTGATGTTTATCATGAGGCGTATGATATTCTCAGCAAGACAACAGATGCCTCGGGGCGGCGGCTACAAATTGTCGAAGTGGAAGAGGCTGACCTATACGCTCTTGGAGTAGAAAAGAAGCTGCTCAAAGACATTGAAGCAGAAGTCGAAGACTACCCGTCACTCAGCTACGTGAACTATTTGCTAGTCAACGACGGTGTCATCTTTCCCCAGTTTGGCGACAGAAAAGCCGACAAGGCGGCGTTGAAGCTGATTCAGAGCCTGTACCCCAACAGGGATATAGAAGCAGTCTACATTTCAGAGCTTCCATTCTTGGGTGGTGGCATACACTGCTCAACCCAAGAGGTTCCGGTCCCCAAAGACTAAGGCGCTACTATCTAGTCAAGAACGATATGAAACAATAGTTTAGTAGAGCAAACTTCGTTATATTCTTTACAAATTCTGTTAATATAATTGTATTTTTACATTTTGATCCGTTTACAGATTGGCCTTGCCGAGCATCTGCTCTCCTGCTTGGTATACTTTGACGAGCTGTCGGATGGCGAGATCGAGCAGGACATCTTCTGAACCACCAGGGATACGAGCTCCCGGGACATCACGGTAAATCATCTCGACAAGCTCGCCTTGGCCGGTAGCAGTGAATCCGTTGCCTCCAAAGAGGAGCACGGCGCACTGGGCACACTTGTTGAGCACAATGGCACTCTTAGCCTTTGCCAGCGCAGTGATACCACCAAGACGGATGTCTGCTTCGCGACGCTCCATGTGGCAGAGCTGGTAGAGAATCTGCTCTGTCCAGGCATTCATAGTTTCCACTTCAGCACCAGCCTTTGCAAGACGGTGACGCACGACGGGTTGGTCCATGAGCTTCTTGCCAAACGCGTCACGCTTCAGAGCGTACATGAAGGCAGCAGACAGAGCCATGCGGGCCTGGCGCGTAACACCCACGGCAATCGTCAAGCGCTCGTGGTTGAAGTTGTTCATGATGATCTTCATGCCATCACCCTCCTTGCCGACAAGATTGCCAACAGGCACCTTGACATCATCGAGATCAATAAATGTAGTGCCACCCGTCTTTTGGCCCATGACACTCATGCGGCGCATGGAAACTCCGGGGTGCCCCTTGAGCGGCACGACGAGGACGGAGAGACCCTTTGCACCTGGGCCACCCGTGCGAACCGCCATAGTTGTGTAGTCGGACCAGATACCATTGGTGATCCTGCCTGCGCGTTAGTAGATTTCGGGTACACTATCTGCACTGCAGATGTCTTACCATTTCTTGGAACCATTGAGGATGTAGTGCTTGCCGTCGGCAGACTTGGCGGCCGTTGTGGCAATGTTGGCAACGTCGCTACCGGCTCCGGGCTCAGTGATGGCGATGCAGGCTCGCTTCTTGCCCGTGAGCAAGTCGGGGAGGAATTTCTCTTGCAGCTCCTTGCTGCCGTACTTAATGATCGGTGGTATACCAAAGGCAAAGCCGGCCGTCAGCGAGGCGCTAGGTCCAGCAATGCCCGAGCGAGACATCTCGTCCAGCCAGATGCCGCAGTGCATGTAGTCCCAGTCGTCGACCTTGACACCCAGGATGTCGTGGATGCCGAGCTTCTTGAGCCATTCGACGGGCAGCGGCGCCGGGAGGTTGGGCAGCAGCATGTTGGCCTTGCAAAAGGTGTCGAAGACGTGCTCGGGCACCAGGTTCGCCTTTTCGTACTCAACGGCATCCTTGAGCAGGTTGTTCCAGACAAACTTTCGGCAGGCCTTCTGGAATTGGAGATGGGTTTCCTTGTAGTACGGCGAAGGGAGGCCGCGCAGGTAGGGCGGCTCCGAGAAGGGCACGGGGTTGAGCGAGTTCTCGTCCATGATTTCCGATCGATGAGGTTTTATCGAGAGATTTATGCAGACAAGGCAAGTCTTTTCGTAGGCATGCGAAAGTTGGGGAGGCGCAAGCGATCAGCCGTGTTTAAATATGGCTAGCGCTGTATAGCCGAACTCTGTTGGAGCAACGCCGAGGTTCCCCGCATACCGGCCGGGCGCCGTTCCCGGGGATCCATGGTTACCCTGCAGCGTCAACACCGGCATTTTTGTTGCTGCCGATGTGCCGATGCACTAATTCATAATGAAAGGGGTGGTTCATTATATTAAGAGTAAAAGTACAATATGATACTAAAACTAAATTAAACCTCCAGCTATGTGAGGTGTTGTTTGTTGTAGTAGTGGCAAGAAGGTACAAGCACGTGCTAGAAGAGAAGACCTGACTCGACTTAGACGCTGCGATTTCTGCCCAATACACCATCAAATACAATTAGAAACACTCGCCTGTATAGTTGTTATCATAGAAATCCGCTATAGCATAAGGAAAAAAGTATGAGTATAATCATTTGTTATTCTAGGTAATGCTACGTCCACAAAAATACCAATTGCCCAACAACTACAGAACCAACTCTTTTGTGTAACCACCTATAGCCATTGCAACTATTCTCATTGCTTATACTCAATGCTAAAACTAACGGACTGCTTCACTTCCCAGTCTTCCTTCTTAGTACTGTCACCATACAGACGAAGCATCCGCGTCACAAATCTATAGCTTCCTTCTTCTGCTTTGCTGTCATCAGCGAGAGTACCGTTGAGAGGCACCGAACTCCACCGCCGTTGTCGTCTGAAAGGCGATCCTTTAATTTCTTCCATATCTTCATCCTTGCGGCGCTCATCGAGAGGCTGAACATATGCATGCACCCACTCTGAGCCATAGTTCAGGTTGAGTTTGAGTCTAGGCCCACGACCAAGCGCAAATTCATACCCATCCTTGACTTCCACGTTATTATCATCAACCACACTGAGCTTCTTTGATGAGGGCATGCTACGTAGCTTGTTTCCTAGGCCTTGGTAAGCAACTCAGACAAACTGTTCAGCTGCCCTATCTCTGGAGCACGATATACATCAACAGGCCATACATTTTTTTTATATATGGCTGCGATGCAAGATTTATAGAAATGCTCTCTGCTTTGTCTACATCCGTATATTGAACAGAAATTCCACGGAAATATGGCTCGTCAAATTCGTAGCGTACAGCGGCGTCAGCACCTAGGCCTTGGTGAAACGGGGCGAGCGTCTACATAATATCAAGAAATGGGTAAAAAAAGGTTTTAGAGACTGTTAACCACATAACTTACATAGTCATTTGCAAACTCGTAAATATACGCCCCTGGAACCGCCTCCGCTACTGAATCTAGCAGACGTTCTGTAGCTACAGAGCTCGCCGCCAGCCCGAGCCATGCCCAAGAGAGTGTAGAAGCCTCATCATACGCGTATCTTGCCATGCCTCAAGAAGCGGATTATTTAGTCTTGTCCTTGGACAAAAAAGGGATATGCAAAGCGTAGGCGGCCGTCCTTGCTTTTTGAACAACCCACTAGTCGTTCAAGTATCAAGAATCCATTGTTTTGGCTCATACATGACGTAACATCTCTGTACTCATTCTTATGGCTTGCCAAAGAATAAATAGTTTTTGGACAAATTTTGTTCATAATTTGTTTTGGCTTCGATATTTTCAAGGAACATAAGTGATTCGCATTACGTGATGGCAATTCGGAAGTGGATTACGGCTAAGTTAGTGCAACCTTATGGACAGGAAGCCTAAATAATAGAGAGTGTATATTGAAAAATCAAAATGGGGCATATGAAATGTGGAATGAAAGATAAATATCCTAGGATCCTGTATTTCGAATAATTAATCAATTAGTCCTGTATGTTCAGAGCTAAGTCAAGGCAACGTTCTGTAATCTACAGTGAGATACATCATTCCCGTTTTGCCACTATTCTACAACGAATCATTCATATCGCTTTTAATAAATATGCCCATATTTCTAATGCAAGTGGCCCCTCTAGAGAACACATACATGATTCGTCCTGCAGCTAGTATTTACCCCGCGGCTGGCAAAGGACTGGATTGTCCCCGAGAGACCCCACGCCGGAGCCTCGTTGTCAATGTGACTTCCCCCACCTCGCTCGTGCTTTCGTAACTTGAATATAACACAACTGGACAATAAAACTTCTCAATTTTGCTTGTTTCAGTGTAAAGGACCCAATCTGTATTTATATCATGAATCAAGAAGCGACAACTGGTGCAGACCCGTTCACCGAGGAGCTGGACAAGCACATCTCCGCCTCACTGGATAAGTGGCACGTTCCAAGCTTTGCGCTGGCCGTGGTAGATGGCGACAATGTGTACAGCCGAGTGAGTATACAACACAATGTTCCGAAGAAAGATTTTACTAATGTACTGGCAAGGCCTACGGGTATGCTACCCTGCCTGATGTAAAGGCTACTCCCGAAACGTTGTACTTTGCTGCTTCGACTACCAAGGCTCATCTGGGCGCGGTTCTCTCACACCTTATCCACTCTAAAGAGTACCCCCAGCTTAAACAGGGATGGGAAACGACGATTTCCACTATTATACCGGACGACTTTGTCCTCGCGGACGAATGGCTTACGCAAAACCTGACTCTGGAAGATGCCATCTGCCATCGTACAGGCACATCGGCCCACGATGATGCTTGGTTTAGCGAGCGGGATGGAAAACATGTCAGTCTGCGAGATACTGTTCGCAGTCAGCGACATTTCCCCAAGGGCTGGCAACCGCGCTATAAATACCAGTACAACAACATGATGTACGCTACCCTCTCGCATGTTGTCGAGGTTGTCACTGGAAAGTCTCTGGCTGAAGTCTTCCAAACCATTCTCTGGGAGCCTCTTGGTATGCACTCTACCTTTCTTAACCTGAAGGATGCAGAAGGTAGTCCCAACCATCTTGCCACAGGATATTACTTTGATCCAGAGACGTCCCAACATAAGGCACTGCCAGTGCCCGACTTTACCCAGTGCAGCGGGGCTGGCGCCATCATTTCCAATACGCAGGACTACGCAAAATGGGTCAAATGTTTGTTTTCAAAGGGTGCGCCGCTCTCTGACGAGGTGCATGAGGATATCCGTAAACCTAGAATGATTGCCACCACATCGCCCTCACAGGGGCAGGATGTTCGTTTGTATGCCGCAGGCTGGTATCGAACCACCATACAAGGCCATGTCTTGTACAGACATGCGGGAGGGACAGACTCTACTATTACACAAGTCCTCTTTCTACCTGACCATAATTATGGTGTAGTCATGTTCGCTAATGATGCCGAGGGAGGAAATGGCATCACGCTAGACGTTTTGTTCAAGTTGGTGTGCGACAAGCTGTCAATCCCATCGGACAAGCGCCCTGATATGGACGCCATGTATGAAGCTGACTTCACACGTTGACATAAAACTTCTCTGACTAACGATATTCTCTTTTAGGATAACTGGATGGCTGGCATCGGCCGACAAGGACCATGAGGTGGGCACGGTGATGAAAACAGTGTATCCTGATGCACCTGAGACCCCTGAACCGTCACCTGTGGCCATCGGCGATCTTTGCGGCACGTATGAAGACGCTGCCTATGGTAGGTTTACGCTAGTAGAACAGCCCGATTCCCACAAGAGTGGCGCAACCATGCTTACAGCTGAGAGACCGGGGATGATATGGAAGTCCAGCTTTCGGCTTCACCACGTCACCGGTGCCCAATGGGTTCTTTTCATCGACCATGAAAATCCGAGACCAGCTGTCCTAGGTCACTTTCAGGGTGCCGAATTCCAGATTGACGGCGCTGGCAAGGTGACTGGGTTCAAAGTAGACTGGAAGAACTGGGGTGATAAATCTAGCAATGGTGTCACCACTTTTGCCAGGATCTAAGTCGGGGTGGTCCAGGGGGTGATAGACAGAGGCTGGTAGTAGTACAATATAAATTATACATGAAGAGATGATCTATTTCTTGGCGCGTCGTGGCGTTGCCGTTTTCTTCGCCTTGTGTCCTTCAGGCTCTTCTTCCTCATCCGCCTTGCGCTTATTAGCCATTCGCTCCTTTTTCTCCTCGCTTAGGCCGCCCTCTAAAATGTCAAAGAATTGCTGTTCGGTGATTGTTTCCAGTTCGAGCTCGTTGATGGTCTCGAGCTTTTTGGGGCCAGCGCGGAAGCCAAGGACAATGTAGTCTGTGTCCTCCAGCTTTGTTACAACATCGGCGCCGTACTTCTTGGCCGTCGCAATGGACGTGTTGCGGTCCATCGTCTCAAATGTACCAGTAAAGAGGATTTTGACACCTTCAAGACAGCCGGGAATGCCCTTGGGGATTGTCTTGCGGTGGCCTGTTTTCTTGACAGCATCCAAAGCGCGCGATGTAGACGTTCTACCAATGGCAGTCTTGCTACGCTTGCCAGACTCGACTTTTACTTTTGTCGTGTCTTCTTTTTCTTCTTCGGGTTCGTCTTCGTCATGGTCTTCGCCATCTTCATCCTCACCATCCTCGTCCTCTTCCAATTCTTTTTTAATGTGCTGTTTAGCCTTGGCGCCGTCTTCAGCAGCGCTTCCCGGATCTACAACAGCTTCAAACACAGAGACCGTGACATCGTGCTTTTTAGCGCCGCTCTTGGCGCAGTGACCTATTGAAAGTGGTCAATGGTGACTATCTCTTATAAAAATTTTCTGATATTGGGATTAGTAAATACCTTGGTAAAGACCATTTTTACCCTTTCGATGCGTTTCCGTCAGATTGTCGTCGCCGAGCTGCTCGACAACTGATGCAAGCAATTGTCTACCTGCTGCATTGGCTGCGGCCTTGGTCGAATAGAGTTGCGGCTGTTGTAGGCCAGAAGGGTATTTTGACCCGTTGGCAACGAATGCGGACAAAACATAGAGAACTGGGCTGTCTGCCATGATAACCTAATCGATCTGCAGATGCGTGTATGTGAGATGTTTGTGGCTCAATTACGCATGAGCGCCTTTATTTTCTCTTTTGGCGCCACCTGGCAAGCCAACACGAGACGAGGCTGCCAACCCAGGCACCTGGCACCAGCTGGCACGCGTCGGCTGCTACACGTGGTGTCCCAGCTTTTCAGACCAGACCAGCAGATTCGCCGATCCTTTTTACATCGTCACTCTCTGGCTTCTCCCGCTTATCGTGTAATTTCACAGTTTGATGCACTCCCCATCTACGACTAGTAACGATATCGACAAGAGTATACTTGCAAAATAAAATACAAAAAACACTGTCTCCGATCACCAACACAACAAGCTTCCCCGCCAAACTAGGGGGGAGACGCACCCCAAAAAAACAGCCAAAATTAGCGTGCCCACCTAGAGCCCGGGGACAAAAAGCAAGCCATTTGGTAGCTGCATGCAGTCTTCTCTGCCGTTCTAGAATCTCGGGGCAGCCGGACGGGGGAACGGACGACATAATTTAGCCCAGCAAGTCACTGCAACGCTACCTATGTTTGCCCACGATTTGGGTTTTCTCGCACGCACCACCACAACCACTACGACATCGATCGCTTACTTTGGGTCAGGGTGCTGCTGGTGGCGCCGCCTATCTTGCCTCCGTGCAGTTTCCCCCTTTGGCGTGCTTTTGTCTTGCTTTGTCTCGTCAAATCGCCACAGTTGGGCACTTAGTCTCGCAAAACAACACAGACGAACCAGTGCAAACCTTCTCTGGCGTGGCGTAGCGCTTACCCACAGCAGGTCAGCTCCCCGAGACCCACCGGAAGCTGCCCTGTAGAGCAGCCCTCCACCGCTGTCGCCGCTCTTTACCAAGCTGGGTGTCACGGCTCGCGCCGCCCTACAGCAGGAGCCCAGGTCGTTGGTTCACACTACACTACCATCACCACCACTCTCTCGGTTGGCATTTGCACCACCACCAGCACCCACAGCAGCAGCAGACAGGGGCGTATGCGCGTGTGACAATGCAGCAGCCTCTGCACCCTGTCATGGCATTTCCACTACAACAGCCTTAGCCCTTGCTCCTGTTCCGACTCCTCGCCCATTCTTCTTGCGGCCGCGCCGACTCCTCCGTCATGGACGCCTCGTCCAACTCGGCGACGTCTGCTGGCGCTCGCAAGAAGCGATGGGCTACCAAGACAAAGACAGGTTGTGACACCTGCAGGTAGGCACCACCTTCTTCCACTCGGCCCTTAGCTAGTTCCATCTTGTTCTCATGGACCAGAGGCCGTGTCGCAAACTAGTCTCCGCGCAAAGCTAACCTGCTTGCTCCTCTAGAATCCGCCGAATAAAATGCGACGAGAGAAAACCACAGTGCCAGCGATGCGAGCTTGGTCGCCGCACATGTACTGGTGTCTTCTACGGTAAACGATCAGGCAATGTCTCCGACTCGTCCGCTTCCTCGCCGCCGTCCATGGGCGGTGCTTCTCGATCAGCCAGTCCGCCACCACGAGTAGCCGCCATGATTGTTCGAAAACACGGCATCCCGAAATCCCCAAACAACCCTCCCCAATTCGTAGGCACGCTTGACGTCCGCGACTTAATAGACCTCGCCCCTTCGCTCGCGACAGCAACCCATACGGTGGAAGCAAGCGCCAATTGGTACGAATTCATCCGAGCCAGAGTCCGCGAGCTCACATCCTACATATTCTACCTACCCAGTAGGTCTGGCCACGACAATGCGTTGGATAGCGCTATTCGCTGTACGGCATCTGGATTTCGAGAATTCGCACAATCTGGCAGTGACAGTTTGTCCTTGTTTCGCACCCGCGATAAGTCTGTCGCACTCTACACATCCGCACTTAGGGAGCTGCAAACAGCACTGCAAGATCCCAATCGCTCCACCTCTGCCGAGGTTCTTTGTGCTACAGAACTACTATGCATATTCGAGGTATGATTTTCGACAACATGGCGAATCAGATTCAAGAGAGAAAACGAGGAGCTGCTAACAACGAGGCAATAGTGCTTGAGCAGCGTCGATCCAGACGGAACCGTCCAGCACGCAAAGGGTGCCTACCGCCTCATCCAGAACCGCGGCGCTTCACGATTCGACTCCGAATTTGACAAGTCTCTGTTCATGAACCAATTACCCTTACTTGTGCGTCTAGCAGCCGTATTTCCCTGTTTGTCTACGAAACTAACCTTAACCACAGGCCGTTCAATCATTCCATCTAGACCAAATCTGCTTCCTCGGCCAACCGCACTGGCAAGCACTCATCAAAGCCAGTGTGCCCACTACTACCGGCATGGACCCCCTCGACGACTACATGCTCACCTTCTACCTCAGCTCCATCAACATCACAAACACGTTTATCAAAATTACGGCGATGGTCTTGGGAAGCGTTCCTGAAGCGCAAGTCGAGAGCTTTCGCCAGGCTGTTATGCTTGAGCTGGAAGAGGAAACGATGGATTTGCAGCGCTGGAAGCTGCAATTACTCCGAGGCCGTCCACCATATCCTCAAGACGACAGTGACGATGACAGCTTCAGCAAGTGGCAAGACTTGTACGATGCCTACCAATGTACCACGCTTTTATTCCAGCGCATGTACGTTGCTGTCGGGGCCGAGCAGGCCGAACTCTTTGAGCAGCAAGCCCAGATACTTGCCCTAAATCTACTGAATATTGCGCGAGCCCGGCCGCAAAGCAGTATTCGACGACCAAACACCCTTTTCGTGGAACCAACGTGCCTGGCAGTCATTAATTCAGCAAAACCTTGGGCAGAATATGCCACACACTGCACTGCTCAGGTTGCTATTGGTCAGCCAACGATGATTGTGCCACCGAAGCCATACAGACTGTGGACGTCGCTGCTGGGTATCCAACTCCGGAATCATCCTACACCAAATAACGGTACTGGCTACTGAATCCACAACGCGAAAGTAGTATTATGAATCAAAATAAAATAACGAGATAGCCAACAACTACACTTCCCGCTACAGGAGTACCAGTGTCAGAAGCACCACCATGTTGGTTAGCTCTGCGGCTAAACAATGTACTTGCTATGGAGGAAGTTAATTAGCTTATGGGAAGCCTATGATGCCCCGGGGTATGCGCAACTCTAAATTTAGAGAGAGTTGCATACGCACTCAATCTTGTTACGTATTACGTCACTGGTGCACCCTTGGCTCCGAGGACCATCACCTCAACTCTAACCAAAGCCGCGGCGAAAACCCAACCGCAAATACTCTTTGAAAGAAAAAGGGGTTTGCAGAGGAATATGGGTTCGAGCATATTTCAAACGTTAATTTCTGGACTTGCGTTATGGACTTCGCCTGTCGCATCACTCGCCTTGAGTCATGGTAAGTGCCGCTGTGTGCGTGACGTCGAGCGCTGGTAGCTAACATATTCTGTAGATGGTCGACTAGCGAGCGGTGCATGCAATGAAGAAGCAGCTTTTAAACGGCTCTTGAAAAATTGCCATACGGTGGCAACACAAGCGGAACGCAATGTAAAAAGCTCCCATGCAGACCAGTTGGAATACGGCTTTGGCAGAGGCGATGAAGAGGCGAGAGCATTGATTGCCAGCCGCTACCGCCACATAGCAAATGATTGCGCACAAGCTGGGCCGCGGACCCTCGCGCTAATCTGCGAGGATACCCGCAATCAATGCGTAGAGCATGCCCTTGCTATAACTAATGACAACACCACCCATTTCGAGATGATTATATGCCCCTCCTTCTACACCCTACTATCGGATGACGAGATTAAAGACTGTCGAATCGGCACACAGACGCGGCAAGGACCCCAGCTGATTGAGCTGGTTGCCACGGATCCCCACGGACTCAATCTGACCATTGGCCACGATGATAGAATGCAGGATGCAGGCAACTATATGATGTGGGCACATTACTACGGACTATGTGATAAATAGAGACACAATCAAACAAGTTTTTTTTATAAGCAAGAATCAATTTCAAAAGGCTAGTGTAAAGGTAAGCTACTACAGGTGTGTCCGCTAATTGACATAGAACAAGGACTGCGCTATCAAGTTGAAAAAGCCAAAGGCACGCTACCAAATCAAACTAGAGTACAATGGTTGATTGGATTGGGGTGTATGTTCATTCTCGCCCACTTAACGATTGCAGAAGACGGCTTCGAATCACCAAAAAGCCGCCGTCGCTTAGTGGTTGTGCTGGGCGTTGCTGGGGTTGAAGCGGCCACCGGGCTGGACGCTGCGGCGGCCAGTACCAGTGTTGCCGGTACCGGTACCGCCAGTGCCAGTGCCAGTGTTCTTGTTGTTGCCGGTTCCAGTGTTNCCAGTGTTGCCAGTACCAGTGTTCTTGTTTCCTGTGCCATTGTTGCCAGTGCCGGTGTTGCCTGTGCCAGTGCTTCCAGTACCGGTGCCGGTGTTCTTGTTACCTGTGCCGGTGTTGCCAGTACCAGTGTTTCCTGTGCCAGTGTCCTTGTTACCAGTTCCCGTGTTGCCAGTACCCGTGTTGCCGGTACCAGTGTTCTTGTTGTTACCAGTGCCAGTGTTGCCGGTACCAGTGTTCTTGTTGTTACCAGTGCCAGTGTTGCCCGTGCCAGTGTTGCCAGTACCAGTGTTCTTGTTTCCTGTGCCATTGTTGCCAGTGCCGGTGTTGCCTGTGCCAGTGCTTCCAGTACCGGTGCCGGTGTTCTTGTTACCTGTGCCGGTGTTGCCAGTACCAGTGTTTCCTGTGCCAGTGTCCTTGTTACCAGTTCCCGTGTTGCCAGTACCCGTGTTGCCGGTACCAGTGTTCTTGTTGTTACCAGTGCCAGTGTTGCCGGTACCAGTGTTCTTGTTGTTACCAGTGCCAGTGTTGCCCGTGCCAGTGTTGCCAGTACCAGTGTTCTTGTTTCCGGTTCCAGTGTTTCCAGTGCCAGTGTTACCAGTTCCAGTACCGCCAGTGCCAGTACCGGTGTTCTTGTTGCCTGTGCCAGTGTTTCCGTTGTTGTTGTTGTTGTTGTTTTTGTTAGGGCGGTTAGCCTGGCGCTGAATCTGGATGGGAACGACACCACCGAAAGGACCAGCGGGGGCTTCGTTCTGGCAGCGAACCAGGCAGACACCGTCCTCACCGGAAACTTGGCCACTGCAGACCTGGTTGTTGGGGACAATGATGGTCAAGGGGTGGCGAGTCATCTGAGTGTCCTTGTTGATACCGTTGTTACCAGGAGCGTTCTGGACAACAGACATGGGAGACCACTGGTTACCAGTAGCGTCGGTGTTGAGGAAACACTTGAAGGGACCAGCGCCATCAGCGTTGACCTGGTACATGGAGATATAAAGCTCACCACCGCCAGAGACCTGAGGAAGCTTCTGGCCACCGTTGGCAGCCATGATGGTAGCAAAGTTCTCCTCAATGTTGTTGTTGCCGCGGGCGAGAGTGGCACCAATACCGGTGGGGTTGGACATCTGCTGAGCATTGATGGGGTTGATACCGTTGTTGTTGTTGTTCTGCTGCTGGTTGTTGTTGTTGCCAGTGCCAGTACCGGTGTTGCCCGTACCGGTGTTTCCAGTACCAGTGTTGCCAGTGCCGGTGTTGCCAGTGCCGGTGTTGCCAGTGCCGGTGTTGCCAGTGCCGGTGTTGCCAGTACCAGTGTTCTTGTTACCGCCGGTGCCTGTGTTGGCAGTAGCAGTGCCAGCCTGAGCAGCAGCACGAGCAGCGAGCTTGGGGTTGACCATCACTCTGCTGCCGGCACCGCCGCCCATCTTAGGGCCAGCACCGGCACCAGCCATGCCACGCTTGTTGAAACCAGGGATGTTGAAGGGGAAGTTGGCAAAGGCACCCTGCTTTTTGTTGTTCTTGTTGTTGTTGCCACTGGTGCCAGTGTTGCCGCCAGTGTTGCCGCCAGTGCCAGTGTTACCTGTGCCAGTGTTGCCGGTACCAGTGTTCTTGTTACCACCAGTGCCTGTGTTGCCAGTACCCTTGTTGCCACCAGTGCCAGTGTTGCCCGTGCCGGTGTTACCGGTGCCAGTACCCTGCTGCTGCTGGTTCTGCTGTCCAGGACGGACACCGAAGTAGGTAGAGTCCATCTGGAAGGGGTTCTCATCGGTACCAGTGCGAGGAAGGTTGGGATCAACACCAAGGCCAGCGGCCTGGCCACCGAGGTTGCCAGAAGCGTTGATGATGACGCTGTGAGCAGCAATAAGCTGCATGGAAAGAGCCGAAGCGGCGAGGAAAGAAAGCTGCTTGCTAGGGGCCATTTTGAAAGAAAAAATTGAAACTTTCTAAGCTTGCGAAAGAAACAAAAACAAGACAAAGGAGAAAAGGAAAAGGAAAGCAAAAAAGAAAAACGAAAAGGAAATGAAAAACTGTTGTTATTGTGTTATTGTTGTTGGTGATGAGGAGAAGAAGACTGGATATTGAGCGGGATGCTAGGGCCTTCCTTATATCCACGATGCCTCTATAATTCCGTAGCGGGAGCTATATCATCCATGATTATTATTTGTCTCGTTGCCACGTGCCCTGGCTCTGAATATGATTCTCTTGTGCTTGCTGCAAGGTCTTGGGTTCCGTTGAATGTCACATAGAGGCCGGCCGTCGTAACGAATACTACGACAGCCGGGTTAGTGCGAACGGGACAGCCAGCATATAGTAACGCTACGGGGCCAGAAGTATAATGTGGCCAAGTAAATACGTAGTAGAGATAATTCATAGGCAAGTACGACACTCGCATCATGGCGGGTGCTAACAACGCTAGATGGCCACGCTGGATGGTCTTCGGCTCCAGTTCCGACCTCTGACATGGCTTTAGGGTAACATCGCGCCGCGGCTACCGGCCGTTGAAAAAGAGAGTCCGCACTGTAATTTCTATGTAAATTTATCCAAGGTGCTCTACTACGCCAGCCGTGAGAAATAAAAGTTGTTTTTAGAGATGGCCACTATGCTTGGCGTTGAGGCAGCATAACACAAGATCCAGCAGTAATATATGGTTAAGTATGTCAAGGGTGGCAAAGTTTCTTGAAATAGTGCCGTCGATGGTACAAGATACTTGATTCTATGATTCATATATTTGTGTTTCAAAAAATAGATAGATTCGCTATAAAGATCAAACTATTTTACAGGAGATGCAGGGATTGGTAGCGGGTAAATTTACAGGTGCTTGGGGTTGCGGCACTTGTCAGCAGCACAGATCAGACCCTCGCAGCAAGAGCCAAGGGGCTGGCCAGTGTGGGAGAAGCAGTCGTCGTTCTCCTTGAGGCACTGCTGCTCGGCCTTCTTGCCAGCAGTGAGCTCCTTGGGGTCGCGGCAGCGGTTGGCAACGCAGATGAGGCCGTCGCAGCAAGCACCGAGAGACTCGCCAGTGGTGTCGGAGAAGCAGTTCTGGTAGTTGGCAATGCAAGTGTTCTGGTTCTGGTTGGCGGTCAACTCCTTGGGGTCGCGGCAGCGGTTGGCGACGCAGATGAGACCCTCGCAGCAGGAGCCGAGGAACTGGCCAGTGGTATCGGAGAAGCAGTTGCCTACAGAGCAGAAGATGGTTAGCGTGTATTGCTCGCGTAATTGTATAAATTGGATGGTGTTCATGACATACTGTAGTTGGGAACACACTGGTTGTCAGTGGTGGCAGGGGCGGCCATAGCAGAGCCAGTGAGGGCGGCGACAATAGCGAAGGTAGTAGAGAACTGCATGGTGAAGATGTAGATGGGGGTGTTTGGTATTGGTGTTTATGATGGTAGGTAATGGACTGCTGTATGATGTGTTTGAGTGATGATTAGAAAATAAATAGCCAGCCCAGGACGTAGAATCGACGTTCCTTTATAGCCATTCAACATCAACAGCACGTTACGTCATTTCACCGTTTGTTTTTATTGTTTGAGCATTGTGTGGAGAGCAATACGAGACTTCCTCAGCATCGGTATTGCCGGGGCGGCAGTTGGCCGAACCTTACTTGCAGCGCGAGCACCCTATGACTTCATAGGGCTCCGCAGCCAACAGGGTCGAAATCGGCAGTATAGTGCGAAACAGCCAATAGCAGTAGGTTCTGTGGCCAAGATTGGTGTCCACCATCACGAGAAAATCTCCACGCCGGGTACAGGGACAATTTGACGGCGACCCGCCGCGGCCCCCAAGCCCGGCGGAGATCTGTGGTCCAGGACGTGGCGAGCATCGGCCCATCGACAAGCGTCATTGGTGGACTTTGAATACGAAACGGGACTTGCACATCTCGCCGTCAGTTGCCCAATTCATCGGAGCGTCGGGGAACTATCTCCTGCCACAATAAAGGAGGGATTCTATACCTTGCCCAACACTACATAGACCGACGCTTGGCCGTTTTTGTTCGGGCTGACAATTGCTTCCAAAAAAAAAGAAACGTTTACTTTTACTTTTCAAGCTCACTTTTACACAGCCACTGTTGCGCATCTGGTGCTAAAATCGGTAAGTGTAGGAAAGGAAAACACTCCTCACGAGCCGCCCGTGTACGACCGCGCGCGTGATGATATATTAGTGCAGAGGCTATCCTTTTCCCCGGATCTAAGCCGGAAAGTATAAATACATCGTACCATCATATTCCCCTTATTTGCCACCTTTGTTGTCCTTGTCAGGAAGAGGGATGATGCCGAGCAACGTCGGCTTCTTGGGCTTGGGGCACTGTTCCGGCGAGACGTATTCGCAGCCCTCGTCGTCAAAGGGGATACATTCTCCTCTCTATCATTCGCAAAGCTATTAGCACCCAATTGCGTTGTTTTCGGGGTTGAGAAACCAAAACTTACCAAGTCACGCTTGTAGCCCTGCTGGCAGTAGCAGCCAACCTGGCCTCCGAGACCGCAGACCTTGAGATCGCAGCGCGAGTACTTGCAGCTGTCGCCACAGCCTTCCGACTTGGTGTACACTTCAAGTGGCTTCACTCTGAGTTAGAATTTTACTGTTGAAGGCTGGTCTCATAGCGCCAGTAGCTTACCTTGCGGCACATGTTGGGAAGTGTGGATGCTATAATGTTGGGAGCCAGCAACAGCAGAGAAGCGACAAAGACGGAGCGAACCATTATGACGTTTTGGTGTGTTTGTGTGCTGATGATTTATATTCTAAAGAGTTGTTTAAGGGAATACAGCGTAATCGTGGACGCAGGGGCTCTAGTATATGTATAGAGTCTTCCCTATTCATCCCGCCGAGACATGCTCGACGCGCGCCGCCCGCGATGGAATGCACCAATCGATACAACAGCGGCCAACACCTACACTATACCAGACGCTCGAGGAAAACAATCGGCATAAATATGGAGTCGCAGGTATGTTGAAAGACACTCTGGAGCTGATAGATATTTGATTTTCTGCGCCGCAGGGACAATGGGGTGTAAGACAATCACAGCCATACGCGATGGGATTTGTAGTAAATTTAGCAGGGCTATGATGAGCCTTTATCCGCTGGAAACGAATTTAACCAGATTTGAACAAAATACGCGACGTTTGTTTTATTTTTTATTCTGATAATATTTTTATAGCTGTCTTGGACAAGCCTATCCGTGTATAATATGGCATGCTTACAGATTGCTCAACTAACTGGCAGAGCAGACTCCAGCCGCCGAATACACCAACTATGGTAACGGTATCGATATCTTTGGTCCGCGTACTGATGTTCTCTCGGTCAGTTACAAGGGCGACGACCAGTACCGCCTCGACACAGGCACTTCTATGGCGACCCCTGACGATGCTGGCGTTGCGCTGACCATTATGTCTGTCAATGGTGTCGGCTCTCCTGGAGGAGTGACTTCCAAGCTGCTCGAAATGGCCACGAAGGATGCCATCACAGGCGAGCTTCGTGGCAGTCCTAATGTGTTGGTAAACAATGGTAACACTCAGCAGGCTACGTAGACACGTACATTCAGGGGTGCATTCAACAGTATATTTTTGAAAATAGCACAAGATAACACATTATATATAAATATGTATATTTTATGAGTAAGATATACCTGTAGATGCTCCGAGGAAAATATATATTCGTCGTTGAGTGCATAATCTCTGCCATTCATCGGATACGGAGTCTACGTCTTAAGAGTTCCAAGACTATATCTTATAAGTCTCCATCTTTACAGCTCATCATTTTCTTCTGTAGAATCCACCACCAAAAAGTCATTGACTGTTGCTGTGCCATCGACAACCTTGACCCAAACTTCCGGAGTGCACGATTCAGGCGCCAAAATATAGCACTTGGGCTTGGGCTTGGACGGCGCCTCTTGCTTAATATGCCAGGTACTGCTTGGTCCAGAAGTCTGGAGGTCATCTCTCACTTCCATCTGGCCCGTGGCAATATCCTTGTTGAAGAGCGAGCGCATAAAAATGTCGTACGCTGCTTCGGGCTGGTATGCTGGAACAAGATGGCCCGACTGAAAGACGCGGGTGAAGCTGTAGTTTCCGTGTTGGCGAGTCATGCCCTTGAACTCGCCTGCGCTCGTCAATAGTTCAACATAACCGGCACTACGGAAGTCCTCAATCCTTTTGTATGGAACCTCAAGTGAGGCCGCTTCGCCACCAACCCAGCTGCATGCATAGTCCCTATCACCATACATCATATGTACCTTGACTCCGCTGTCGAGTAGGTATCCAATCGCGTCGAGGAAACCACCCTCATAGGCGTCAAATGCATTGTGGAAAGCCTTGCTCACAGCACGGGAAGAGGCAGTAAAGTTGACTGGCGATCCCAACGCTTGTAAAACGTCGCTTTGCGTGAGGTATCCATTGAGGTATGGGGGAGGGAAGGGCTCGGCGTGAGGGTTGGCAATATCCAGCCATCCAAAGTCTCGTGACTGGTAGATTGTCTCTGCAGGCTCGTCGCACCAGTCGGCAATATCGCATAGGGCCTTGGATGACGCAATAGTAGCGTAACCATTACGCCTGTTTTCCTCTTCAAGATTCTTACGGCACCGGATATACTGGTCTTTACAGCCCTCAGGCTTCGTAAAGTTGTGCATCAACTCCTCGTAGAGGGACTGGTTGAATACTTGGATCCCGTAGGTCTGTTGTTTGAAATTGTTAGCGTACCACTCCATTGTTTTGTGTTTCTATGCATGAAAAGCGTACATTGTTGTAAGGGAAAGAGATGTAGGACGGGTTCTGAATCTCCTGATCCATGATGCCGTTGACAATACCAAGGGTATCGAGGTGTAGGTAATGAGCATGCTTATCATCCAGAGTGCCATTGGCAATCTTTTCGTTTTGCTGCTGGAAGAAGCTCATGAAGCGCGGGCCGTAGTGGCCACCATAGCTCTCGGCCCAGAGGCTGATGCGGTCATCGTTGGGCTTGTACTCCGGGAACTCAGAGAAGAAGGTCTGCGCAAAGTGCCACATGGCATGGGCAGCATGCTGGGTATTGTTGGCCGTCGCCTGTATATCCTGGCTGGAAAATGTACCGACGCGGTGCGTAAGATTGGTAGCTGGTACGCCATCTAAGAAGTCTGCGGGCTTTGTGCCGCGGTTTTCGCCTGCGAGCTGATACGTGCAGTTGGTAGCAACATCGTAAGAAAATCCAACTTGTGTTGGCTCATCAATATAGAGCATATTGACTTCATTGTTCCAAGACCATGGGTTGAGCCTGGATGTAGCTGAATCGGCATTGATCAAGCATGGGCCATTCTCGGACAAGAGACCGAACATAGAGGAACTGCCTGGACCACCGTTGAGCCAGATGGACAGCGGAGCATTCTTGGGATCCTTGCGCGCTTCGAAGAACCAGAAGAATCTATAAAAACACGTGTTAGTAATATATAGTAGCGACTAGGAAGAGCAGTACAAACGTGTTGACAGGATAGTCGCTGGCAGCATCCTCTAGGTAGCCTGCTGGGAGGTGAACATGGCCAGCGTAAGATTTCACTCCAGGTGTTGTTTCACATATTCCAGGCTATTTTTTATCGCAGTCTGTATTAGTATGATATTCTGGCCACCAAGAAGAAAGGCTGTGAGTCTACCAACCTCTTTATATGAGATCTTTACGCCAGGGTGATGCTTGGAGTTGACCGTCTTGACACCCTCTAACTTCGGCGGAAACTGTGCCGCGGCGATGCCAGCTAGAGCCGGTAGGAAAAGAGAAGTCTTCATCGTGCAGATGATTAACTTTGGACGGTCGTGTGATGAAGGTGCACCGACCGATGCGGAAACAAGCAAGAATGTTTGACGCGCCGAAACGCGGAGGCTTGGTCCGGTAGTTGACTTTGCGTGGCGTCACCTTTGTAGGTGGTCTTGTGCACCAAGCCAAACTAGGAAAGTCGTTGTCATTTCACAGCGCCTCGTTTTTGTACGCGATGGATACGAGCACCAAGAGGGATGGACGAAACTAATTTTGCAAAAATTGCCAGAAATGGAATGACGAGCAAAAGAATAAAACGTAGTTGTGATTTATTGTCCTATAACAATAAACTCTAAAAATTAAGCCTTAGTTGCAAGAGTTCGTGTCGCAGTGGCTGCGAGGGTCGTTGCACACAGAATTCGAAGGATCAACGCAGTAGCTCTCCGGCTGGCTGCCCAAGCCGTACGTATGGTTGCAGACTTGGTTTCCAGGGCAGTCCTTATAAAGGTCAGCATTTTTCTAGATTTATTTTCTGGTCTGTATATTCCAGGGAGATCTCAGCCTTACATGGCAGGAGTTGCATGGCTGGCCAAGGACCACAGCAGCAAGTAGTAGAATAGGGGTAAGAAACATCATTTTAAAGTGTGGAAAAATAGTTGTTTGCCATTAGACATCTAGTTGCGCGTTTTTCTCTATTTTATAACATTTTACAGGATTAATTTCTAGGCATTGGCAATGCTGTTCTCGCCTTGGGCTACTGAATTAGGATAGCCGGTCTAATTGCTGGCGCTCCGTACATCCAACACAGTAGTAGCATATCCGATGGAGGGCGTGTCCAAGTACCCAAAATGAGGGAGAATCCTCGCCTGTACTCTCGATTGTAAAAGTGAAAATACAGGCCAAACAGCATTCTCGTTACCGTGCCTGCCGGCTTCACCAAAAGTCTGTCTTGTACTGGAATCATGCCCGGCTATTCTTTGGTAGAACTTTTGCTGTTGTCCCCGCAGTAATCTGACAGGCGTTCCCACGATCACTGTAAAAGTAAAAGCGAGGCAAGAAGCCAATCTTACGCAACCCATGACAATGGCAGTGAAAACTTCACCCACAGTATGATTAGTGGACCGGGCATGGTGCTGGGAACGTTGTATTTGGCCGGACAGGCCGTTCAACGGAGGGAAAGCTCAACCATAGTTTATCCGTAATACTTGAGTAAAAAAAAAAAGTACCTAGCAGAATCAACGAAATCTAGTAATGTCGGTAGAAGCGGATATATCGGACGAGGATGATGTCAAGAAATATCCAGCACATGGCAAGGTGTGTCATTTAGACAAGCGTCTAGAACACTACCTAATCATAAGTTAGTTGTTAAGTTCCGGGAAGGCTTGCTAAGCAACCGGGATTTTGATTTATCGTGGCTGCTCTAGGCCCCAGACAACAGTCAATTGCTTTGTAAATACACCGGCTGGTGGCCAGGCAGCAATTGACGAGCCTCCCAAAGGGGACTTGATGGGTTTCTGAAACCCGCGCTAACATCATTCTGCAAGAAAAAATTATTTAGTCCCGCTAGAGCTACTGGTGTTTTAGCGGTGCGAGAGCCGGTGGAGGACGCCACAACACACACACTTCGTTTTCATATTGGCCGGAGAGTCGTCTCAACAACCCGACAATTGCGGGACGAAGACGCCAAGGAATAAGAAAAGAAAGTTTATCGCGCTGACACACACTGCATTAGCACCGCAGACAGGCCGATGGAGAATGAGACGGGCAGGCTGAAACCGGGAGCGGACTTTTAATTCATCGTCCCAAGGTTGGTCTGTGTGCCCTGGTAAGACGATGAAAAACAGGAACAGCCAAGCAAGAGACTGGGTCTCTGCTGCACGATCTGCATGGCCAAGCGAAGGATATGCTATGCATTCATTGTATGGAGTTTGGCTGGGGCCGGCGACAGACCGAGCTGTGGAAAAGCCCGTAGGCATAATCTACTGTACATCTACAATGTGTTGTGTAACTTGAAATTCGCATGGCCTTGCGCTGAAGAAGGAAGCGGGCGGCGCCTCTCCCGCTTCTCCAGCATAGCGCATGAAACCTTGTAAATCACTTTGTTTAGTGTGGCTGCCACCGAAACCTACCATCACAAGCACCACCAGGCGCTAGGTGAGCCCGGAGCAATATCCGGCGCATCCAGATAACAAAAGACAAATGTTATCTAGCCCACGCGACCGTCTAAAACGTGGCAACCCTTACTATCTGGATCCGTCGAGCCGCAATCCTCATCGCCCATCGTGGATTGCTGCTCGCGTTCCAGTGCTCTCATTGGCGGCCTTTCTCATCGAGCTACCACGGAGAATTCGATTGCACTCCGATCGGACAAGAGCGAACCTTTTTTAGCTACCACTACAATGGGTACGCTAAATTAGCGGCAGGCCGGACCTGAACGAAGGGGCCACAGGGCACACTACCGTAAGCGCTTGTCCTGTTGCAGCGAGCACATGCATAGACACTAGAAAAGAAAGAAAATAGCAGGGACCTTAACTTGCAGCACAAGCTCATGCTGATGCTCCACATCGGGCTTTCCGGCAGTCGCCCGCCAATGCCGCCGACAATTCCACCGTTGAAAGGGGACCCGGCCCATGGCGATGGGATATGGTGTTTAAAATTTCCGTATCGCTAATAGCAGCAGATCGTCTAGTAGCGTCAGCATGAAAGTGGAGAGAGGCGGCAGAGAAGAAGTGAAGAAGTTTCCTGCGATCGGATTACATCCCACTTGTATATAAGACTATCCATCCTCCTCGCTTCATCATGTCTTTCTTTTCGTAGCATCCGCCTCCTTCTATCCTCTACTTTAATATCCTCTCTTCTTCTTTTCCTTCTTCATACCCACACAATTCCACAAAGATGAAGACTGCCACTTACTTGGCCGTCGCCGCTCTTGCTGGCGCCGCCATGGCTGCTCCCTCCACCGAGGCCAACGCCGCCTGCATCCCTCAGCACGATGTCAACCCCAAGGACCGCGCTGCTGGTGTCGCTGCCCGCGATGCCGGCTTCATCTACGGCCCTTCGCTCATTGGCGAGGCTGCTCCTTTCCCCAACGGCACCCTTGGCAACGCCCGCTCCAAGGCCGACTACGACGACTGGAGCGTCGATCGCAAGGAGATTGATCGCCGCATCGGCCTCGATCTACAGGCCCTCCAGGCTGCTGTCCAGGCCAACGGCGGCCTCAAGACCTGGAAGGACTACGAGACCGTCCTCTACGATGGCCAGCTCAAGAACGCCAACCCCCGCGGCGTCACCCCCGGCATGATTGGCAACGCTACCCAGGATCTCCTCTTCTCCATGGAGCGTCTTAGCGAGCATCCCTATGCTGTTCAGCGCGTTCTGCCCAAGCAGGCCCTCCCCTTCCCCCTCGACAACAAGCTCACTGCCCAGATCGTTGGCAAGGGTGTCACTCTCGAGTCGCTCCGTGACAGCAACAAGCTCTTCGTCGTCGACCACTCCTACCAGACCAACTACAAGGTCGCCACCGTTGTCCAGCGCTACCCCGTTGCCTGCAGTGCCTACTTCTACATCCACCCCAAGACTGGCGACTTCCTCCCTCTTGCCATCCGCACCAACGTCGACATGGACCTCACTTACACTCCTCTCGACTCCGCCAACGACTGGCTCCTCGCCAAGATGATGTTCAACGCGAACGACATGTTCCACGCCCAGATGCTTCACCTTGTCATCTCCCACGATGTCACCGAGGCTGTCCACCAGGCTGCCCTCCACACCCTCGCCGAGAACCACCCCATCATGATCCTCCTCGAGCGCCTCATGGTCCAGGGCTACTCTTCCCGCATTGTTGGTGAGGAGCTCTGCTTCAACGAGGGTGGTCACTGGGACCAGCTCATGGCTTACAACCAGTTTGGCTGCCGCGACTTTGTCTCTGAGCGCTGGTTCTCCGATGGCCGCTTTCAGGCTGGCTACCTCGAGAACGACCTCAAGGCCCGTGGTCTCATTGACGACAAGGGCAAGTCTCTCTTCAAGTCTTTCCCCTTCTACGATGATGCTAAGGAGATCCGTGACAACTACAAGGCCTTCTTCACCACCGTTGTCAACTCCTACTACAAGACTGAGAAGGATCTCTCTGACGACAAGGAGGTCCGCAACTGGTTCATTGAGGCCAACATGAAGGCCAAGTCCCAGGACTTCCCCCAGGAGGAGAACCTTTCCAAGAAGACTCTCATTGATGTTCTCGCCCACTTTGCCTTTGCTACCTCTGTCTCTCACCACAGCACCAACGGTGGTGCCCCCATCTCTTCCGGCACTCTCCCCTTCCACATCCCCGCCATCTACACTCCCATCCCCAAGGAGAAGGGTGTCAAGGACCTGATGCCTTACCTCCCCGACGTCAAGACTGCTCTCCACTACCTCGGCTTCATGTCCTCCTTCAACCGCCCTTTCTACGGTGACGACGGCCGCACCCTCGAGGATGCCTTTGCCTCCGCTAAGGCCATCGACCGCCTCAACCCCGAGACCAAGAACGCCGCCAAGACCTTCTTGACCAGCATGCACAAGCTCTCTGACAAAATCCGCGCTCGCAAGTTTGACAACAAGGGTCTCAGCCAGGGCATGCCTTTCATCTACCGCACCCTCGACCCTGCCTACATTCCTTTCTTCTGCGCCGTCTAAGCCAGCGGACAGAAGTTGGTGAATAATACATGCAATGTACTAAAGAAAAAAACGATTAGAATGAAACGTAATGGGACCGGCGCATATTTAGACAGGCTGCTTTTTCTTTTATTTCCTTTTTGGGTTATCTACCATTAATATCAGATTCTTTCTCAAAAGCTTTCCTTGTTCTTCCACTAAACCATGTTTTGTCTATTTCCTTTTCTTTCAGTATTATTCCCACTGATGCCATCTCTAAAACACTAATAGCAGAAGCGACCTGTATTAGTCTATATGTATTAGTCTATATATATTAGCAGTCACGGTGATGCAAGAGACAGGTATTTTTAAAGGAGTGTATGTGTATATATATTAAGTATTAGAATAATGGAAAGGAATGCAGTCTATAAACAGCAAAGATCAAATCTAGCTTGGAAAGGTCCAAACCGAAACAAATGGTCCACCGAGCAAATGCAAGTGTAAATTCAAAACATCAAAATCGTCGCTTTTATCATGGCGTAAAGGAGTGAATAAGAAGAAAAGACAATGTGATTGCTTAGAGCATCAAAGTAGCAAGACCGGCGACGGCAAGGAGACCGGCCATGGCGGGAACCTGGAGTCCAGTAGCAGCACCGGCGACAGGGACAGTAGCAGGCGTGTCGGGGACGGTAGTAGGGCCCGAAGGGATGGTGCCGTTGTTGTTAGGGCGGACAGAAGTGGTGGTGCAGTCCTGAGCAGGAGGAGAAACAGTGGTGGTAGACTCGGGGCAAGGAGTGGTGGTGACAGAGACGGGTGTGGAAGTAGAGCAGTCGGTGGTGGTAACAGAGACGGCGGTGCTGCTGCAGCCACCAAACTCGCAAGGGGGGAAAGAGTCGATGATGGCACTGAGACTCGTGGAGCTAGAAGCGGGAGCAGTGGTGCTAGACACATGGAAGGTGACGGGCTCTCCGACGCAAGTAGTAAAGCCATCCTTAACAGTGCAGACAGCACCAGAGGAAGTGTACTCGGTCACACTAGCAGAACCGCTAGGCTGAGGGCCAAGGCCGTGAGAAGAGCCGTCATCGCAGACAACGACATCGGCAGAGGTGGTGCACTTGGGGGGAGCAGTGGTAGTAGCAGCGCTGGGCAAAACAGCTGCGGAAGAGATGGAGACAGAGTCGGCGTTGGCGACGGCCGCAAGAGCAACAATAGTGGCGGCGGTGATGAACTGCATTTTGAAGTGTTTGGTAGAAGAAACGAGTGTAATTTGTTTGTTGGTAAGTGGTGCAAAAAGCGGGTGAATGCTGTGTTAAGCGAGAGAAGAGAAGAGATGATGATGATTTGATGATGAGTTCAAGAAATGGAAAAGAGGTCATCATCCGGCCCTTTTAATACTTTTCTGCTCTCTCGTCTTATCCACCAACGATGAGCTTCTTACTCACACATACAGAAACCATCCGTAGTCCACAGCCTAATGTGTAAGCGCCCTCCGCGAAATATGGGGATCCGTACGATACGACCAGCCTTACCGTGCAGAGCAACGGCGATTACACAGACCGACAAGCCACAAAGTATCCATTTCCGCGAAAATCACGACGGATGATTGGCGGTATGCATGAAGCCTCGTCCAAGCCAGCGCCCGTGGCGGCGGATGGGTGCTTAGTGGGCGACCCTCTCTGCACTATGACGTGGTTTTTTTCCCTTTTGGGTGGCTTCAGTAGCTTGGGAGCTCGCCTCAGTGGTCTTGGAAAAAAAGCTTGTTGGGCTTCTAATTTTAGACACGGACCATTCAGCCTCGTTTTGTTCCACCACCGCCGCGAGAATCCCCCATTTTGTTCGGTTTCCACATTCTGCGCCTGCGCCTGCGCCTCTTGTCTTGTCATAGGTCAACGTTACATCTAGAAGTCTTCTCTGCATGTGGCTGCTCCAGCCAAAGTTTTTTTCAGTTCTCAGTTCTCAGCCTCGCATTCTTTTGGAGTGGGAGGCGTTCACTGTAGTGACCGATGATGCTATTCTTGGAGAACAGCCTTTTCGCTCTGGTCCGGTGGCGTCCGGATCTTCCATCGTGCACGCTGCTGCTTCGTATAATATTGGACTAAAAAAAGAAAGGCTATTTTATGGTTTTACGAAGGAACGATGCTTCCAACGAAAAAGGGTTTTCCACATGGACAAGCGCGTAGGCGCTAGACGAGGGCGGCTACGGGGCTAGAGTCATAGACTGACCTGGGGGGACTCTTCTGGCTGAGTAGTAGCCATACAATTACTAGCTATCATTTGTTCAGAGGTATTCACCTGAATATCATGCTGCTAAGCGCGCGCATTCCATCCCGAGTTCAACGCGATGTTGTGGTTCAACGCCACATGCGTCACAGCCAACAGGTCTAGTCGGTACACTCTTTCCCCAGACACAGACTCTTGTTAATTGTTAGATAGTTGTGCAATTACTTGACGGCAAATGAGAAATAAAATTCCTTGTAAAATATAAGGAACCAACGGCCAAATACGGCTAGTGGCTCAATGTACAACTCCCATCAAGATGTAGAGTAGACAAACGACATGACGGCAAAAAGATGAGTTGCAATACCTAGTTTTGATCTAGGGACCAATGGGTTATGAGCCCACCGCTCTTCCACTGAGCTATATTGCATGTTTCTTTTGTTATTAAAAACAAGCCTGTTTAAACTGCATTTTAAGGGCTGCTGTTGGCGACGCGAGTGACTCACCAAGCCAGGCTACAAGGTGTACTAGACCATCCACCAGCAACTAGAGTCAGCGCTGCAGAAGAGACATGATTATTTATAATTATTATTATTATTAGGCTAATGGAAGCTATCTAGCTTATCTAGCTCTAGCTATATATATTATAGGGGAAAAACAAAGAAAAAACCCTATATTTGGGTTGGCCGCGGTAGGTCCATGCCGGTGTCGTGGAGGGTTCAGGCCGGAGATGACGCTGGACCGGATAGTAGGAGACAAAGGTTAGTAATACAGCAGGAGAAATAAATATACAGGTAAACAAAACTATAAAGAACGAATAAGGAAATAGTGATATCAGTTAGTTGTTGCTTGTCCAGGTCGGCCATCGTGGGTCCGGTGCGCTGCCGTGAGGTAGCCGATTCGGCCTGTGTCTAGTAGCCATCGCGCTAGTCGCGCGGCCTCGTCGGGTTCGTCGAGAGCTCGGCGAACAGCCGCCTCAGTCGACAGCGACGGGCGGTCGTAGAGTTCGCAGTGTAAGATCATATGGAACACGGTCTCCCGCCCGGATCCACAGCGGCACAGAGGCGATACCAGGTCGGGTACACGCCGGCTGAATAGGAAGTCGTTTAGGCCAATCTTTCCAGTTCTCATCTGCAGCACCAAGGAGGAGATGTGTTTTGGGGTGTTCCCGCCCCGGTAGGGCGCCGGCAGGCGGCCAGTGCGGAGCCGAGGTGGGAGCTCTGAGCAGTTCGACGGTCGGTGGCCTTGTGCGCTGCTCCAGCGGGAGAGCCGTGCGGACTCCTGGTGCAGCCAGTGCTGCTGCCAGCGCTCGTTCAGGTGCTTGGAGAGGGTTTTACGATCGGGGGCCGGCCCGGCCCCGAGAAGATCGCGACTATACTGACGGTGGTAGTCCTCGAGGGGGCGACGGTAGCGCTGGCGACAAGGGAGCCGCTGGAGGCCCGCCACCGCGGCAGACGCGGCGCGGACCCTCGCAAGAGTCCCGTTATTCTTGAACCGCGCAAGGGAGCGTTCGCTGCGGTAGGTCATGTATAGATGGAGGGGCGGGATTTGAAGCTCAGCTTCTAGGTGGTGCGCTGGCGTAGCCCGGAAGGCCCCGGCTAGGAGTCGGAGCATATCGTGCTGGGTACTACTCATGGTACGTGCCGGCCCTAGGGGGATATCCCCAGGTTTGTGGAAGAGCACTGACCCATATGTAAGGATAGAGCGGTGGAGCATTGTGTAGATAAGGCGAGCATTCTCGAGCCGGGTTCCCCACGCCATCCGGCCGGTGCCGCTCAGAGCCCCGGCGGCTCGGGCAGCGCGGGCCTTGGCTTCGCGTGCGTGGTGTTC